ATCAGTCAAATACAGAAAACATTGCAAACTAAAGCTAGCACATCAGACTTATTCGTAGAAACTGTAGACAGGGAAAAGAGAAGGAATTCCATTGCTGAAGAGAAACTTCTTTCTGAAAACGAAACTTTGAGACAAGAAAAAGTTGATCTGTTGGGAAGAATCAGAGAGCTTGAAGAGAAGCAGAACAAGAGTGATGAACTTATTCGAAAGTTAGAATTGGAACTGGCCTCTTTCAGAAATAGAGAATCAATGGAAGTTACTGATTCAAAAACTGAACTAATCCTTAATGAGATTACTAACTTATCTGCCAGAAATCAAGATATGATTTTTAATTACATGCTTGAGATTATTCCAAATGAGAATGATTCCGAATCTGAACTATTCATTTCTCTCCTATCAAAATCTGTTTACAAATTAGAACCTGTTGATGAAAGACAGCAAATTAGCATGGCATGGGATAAGTTTAACTCCTCAATTATGAAACGTTTACCAAACTGCTACAAATTATTAATAGAAAACAAAGTTTACAAAGACAAATTCTTTGAAATTTTGAAGAATTGTCAAAGAATTAGTGATTTATGTGAACAGTCACGAATTCCAAAGATTAGAATGGAGTGGGGTTCGTCTAAAGCAGGAATGGAGTGTATCTGCCCAGGAATAATGGCTGCCAATAGAGTAATAGTCGATAGCATTTATTCTAAATATTTCTAATAAAGGTTATTCGAAATGATTGACAGCCATGTGAGTCATAAAGGTGACAGTGGTTGTTACTTGCTTTGTTGCATCTGTTGGTATAACATCCACTCTCAAAGCATTAGCAGCACTCAAAGACAATCTCACTCTAAATATATCTCCAATACTCATGGACGAAACATCCACTTTCAGATCTGCCTGAAATACACAACCCATCTCATCAACAAAATTAACCTTTTTGACAGCTCTATAAATTTTGATTTCAATAATAGATGCATCAGTATTCTTTACAAATTGCTTATCAACATAGAATTGATCAGTGATTTCCTGATTAATGTTAATCATTGAGGAAAATACTCCAGTGCAAACGAAAGGTTCAGCCGAATCTCCCTCAATTCTCTTAAGTCTCTTCTCATCATCCTTACCAAATTTAAATGCTCTCTCACTTTCAATACCATAGGCATGTTTTGATCTTCTGCATGCAATCTTGTCTGGATTTCTTCCCAAATAGGCAGCACCTTTTACAACAGATTCAGATCCAAATGAAGGAACGACAATTTTACCCTTTGCCAACTCTTGAAAGACTTCCATTCTCTTCATAAGAAGTTTGGATTGTGAAAAGCCACCAACAAAGATTAAATAATTATAAATATCCTTATCAAGAATAGAATTGACAAAATCTTCAATTTCAGCAAAAACTGAACCAAATACTTCAGTTTCTAATTCTTTCTTTGAAACTACAATGGAATCTAACTTGTACATTGAGTGACCTTTGAGACTTGGAATTGTGACTTTAAGTGGACAATATCCTTCATAATTAAACATTGTAATCTTTTGACTTTCCCATTGATTAGTAATATTTTGAATGTCAATGGAAGACAATGCAGAGTACAAATCGCCAAGTTTCGTTTTCAAATACTCTAACAAGAGTCTGTCTAATTTGGTACTTCCAGCATTGATTGCAGTAGAATACCTTGAACACTTTAATTTACCATTCAATACACTGACAGCTGTCACATCAACAGTACCACCTCCAGCATCAACAACCAAATATCTTTCCCCATCTTTCATTTGCAATTGACTTTTACATTCTTCCAAAATGTAAACAGCAGCAGCTTCAGGTTCCAACAAGAACATGAGAGTTTCTTCACCAGGATCTTCTTCTTCTACCAAACCAGCTTCAAAGAACACCTTTTTAATAACTTGAATGTGTTCTCTTTCCCAATTTGCAGGAACAGTTGAAACCCAACGAACAGAATGAGGATCAAGTTTATACTTGGTTAAAGCAGAAGCAGAGAATAGTTTCAAATAGTCTGCTAGAACTTTAACCACACTGAATGATATGCCATTCACTACCATTTCCTTATCTTCGTCTGGATCAATAAATAGAGCTTGTTTCATTCCTGTGAGAAAGTAATAGTTGACTTTAACGTCATCTGTCATGGCAAAGTATTTCTTGCTTGCTTCGTAACCAATGCTATCCACCTGGAGAAATGAATTGTATAATACACATGTCTTGTTTTTCAGTTGACTTTTACCATTTTCATCATCGTGTCTAACAGTTTCAGGTGTTTGTGAAGTTTGAGGAAGAACACAAATACCACTCAGTGTCGATCCTAGATCGAGAGAGACGTTTGTTTTAGTGAGTGTGTCAATGAATCCTACCATTTTTTTTAAATATTGGAAGTAAATTGACGTGTTGACATTGAAGGATGGTTGGGAATTGTCAAAGACGTGTGACAAAACTTGACGAGTGATACAAAAACGTGGTGGCAATTAATTGTATCAATTTTGAGCTGCTATTATGCTTGTCCAATTGGTTTATTATTTATATTGATTCCTTTAATTCAACTTGTTGCTTAGTTTGAACTACAGAATTAACTACTTGCTTTTCAGAGGAGTGATTAGAATCATTCTTTCTATCCTTAATCTTCTTCCACACAATTTCAATGAAATCAAACACAGCACGTTTATGTCTAACTCTAAAATCATGAACATAATAAATCAAACAACTACAATTCCAATACTTAAGGTCAATCAAAAATTCAAAAAGAAAAACGTACGCATTAACAAAAGATCCGCCAATAATGTTACCAATTGTTACTGGCAACAAATTCATAATGAAAAAGTCATAGAGAGTTACATTAGCTCCGTACTGTTAAAATCAATGAGAATTCTATTAACTATTTGTGGATTAGAAAACTTACAAGCATGCCAAGTGGAATATAGAATGCATTAGCGATAGAGTGTTCAAATCCAAGAGAAACGAATGACATTACAGGAAACCAAATACCAATAATCTTTGATTGTACTGTAGTAGCTGCTGTTGCATTGAAAACTCCCAATGTAACAAGCATGTTACAAATAATTCCCAATAATACTTGATTTCCAAATGTCTTATTTGTCTTGGCTTCAGCTAAATGTTTAATATATTCAATCCAATGAGCTGAGCAACATGGTTGTGGCAAATACATGAAGAGATAGGCAAATATAAAAGCTCCAAAACAATTAAAAATGTAGGTTAGGAATAAGTTCTTCGAAAATTGAGCATATCTAATCAATTTGAGTAAGCATCCAACAATTAAAACTTACTGGATGAGAATCTTCTTCGACCTCCAATTTCTCGAGAACAATCCAATCAATACAATCACTACATTTCCTGTAAACAATTCAGAACCAGTAAGATTGATCAAAATCAACCCAATTGGAAAGACACTATTCAAATAAATAAGCTCAATAACTTGAAAGAACTACTTACGCTCCACCAAAGAATTTTTGAATTCCAGGATTTGTTTCTTCCAAACCAGGAGAATTACCTGCTGTAATCACAGTTACTGCACCAGCCAGTCCTTTGAAAATACCAGCAAATAATGACAATATTATCAATTGATCAATTGTTAACTTTGATTTCCTAATACCATCTGCCTTGAATTTATCCAAAACCATAGCAGGTGTATTAAATAATACCAAATCTTTCTTCTCTGGTATTGGTGTTTCATCATGATGCTTTTCATCAGATAGATGATTACTTGTTAATGTCGATGGAATTGATGATCTCGACAAGACTCTCGGATTCTTTTCCAAGTCATTCTCCTCAACATCCAAAATAAATTCCTCCTCTTCTCCATGTTCAGTCGATGCTGAATTTGGGTGTTGTTGTGGGTGTTGTTGTTGTTCTAGTTGAATAGCATTAAATTCCTTGGCCACCTTGATCGTATTAAGGTTCAACAGCACTGGTGAGTGTAATTCCTCTCCGGATCCGCTCGCTGTTGATACGAGGTGGTGTTGTTCTTGTTCTTGTTGGCTCATGATAATTTGTCAGTTCCTCTCAATTTAATATGAAAATGAGCGAGACGACCTGTTGTGGTGTTTTTTTTTTGTTTCCTTAAACTCCAACACAACGGATTCTTGATTACGTTTGTGTGTTTCTGGGAAGGGGTACTTAAAAGTGAGGGTGAACATAATAAGGACCTAGAATAGTAATTGTTTCTGGTGGTTTCGGTTATTTTTTTCCATTGTTGTCGTCCATGATTGTTGGATGCAGAGCATAAATTTCGCCAAAAAAAGGCCTTTGAAAAAATGTCAGTTCGATCTGGTCATATTTGAAATTAGGTCAGCATTGTTTCATGAACCAGAGGCGGTTTATTCTAAACATGTTTTGAAGTATTTTCTTTCAGTTCAATATTTGAGTCGGTGTTCTTGTTGTTGTTGGATTTGTTATCTTTGATCCTTTTCCACAATTTTTCGAGACCATTAAAGATTGCTCTTTGATGTCTAACTCTATAATCATGAACATAGTATAACAAACATCTGATTATTAATTGTTTTAATTAACCATTAAAAAGAATTGATTAACTTACGCATTAAAGATGGCTCCTCCAATAATATTTCCAATCGTTACAGGAAGTAAGTTGCCAATGAGGAAGTCATACACTGTGACATTAGCTCCATACTTTTAAAATATATAGTAATCATATGAATCAGATACTTACATGCATACCAAGTGGAATATAGAATGCATTGGCAATAGAGTGTTCGAATCCAAGTGCCACAAATGACATAATAGGAAACCAAATTCCAATGACTTTGCCTCCTAGGGTAGTTGCTGCATTGGCATTGTAAATTGCTATAGTAACCAACATGTTACAAATAATTCCCAAGAGAACAAGACTTCCAAAGGTTTTTGTTGTTTTTGAGACGGCTGAATTTTGGATAAACGTTATCCAGTGAGCAGAACAACATGGTTGAGGAAGATAAATGAAAAAGTATGCAAACATATAAGCCCCCAAGCAATTGAAAATGTAGCTCACAAAGAGATTCTTTGAAAATTGTGCATACCTTGAATAATGTGTTAGAAAATTGAGCTCATGGATCTTACTTACTGAAGTAAAAACTTTTTGGCTCTCCATTTCCTTGCAAATAATCCAATCAAGAGAACAAGTACATTTCCTGTAAATAATTCAGATCCAGTAAAAACAATCAGCATCAAGCCAACTGGAAAAACACTACAACATGGTTATTATAATATGTTTCGAATAACTTACGCTGCTGCTAATAGCTTTTGCAATCCAGGATTCTCCTCCTCCAGTTTAGCTACATTTCCTCCTATTAAGGTAGCCATCGCACAAGCAAGTCCTTTGAAAATCCCAGCAAATAACGAAAGAATAATCAATTGGTCAATTGTTAATTTAGACTTTTTGATACCATCAACTTTCATTTTTTCAAGAACCATCTTTGGAGAATTAAACAATACAATATCAGGATGAGTATTGATAATCTGTTGTTGAATAACTGGTTGTTGTCCTGAATTTTGATTTGCATTTGTTGTCGTCGTCGATGACTCTTTAGAAGCCTTCACATTCTTTTCCTTCTCTCGAACTTCCACAATGTCGACAACAACCGTATCGACATCTTTGGTCGATTCTGGAGCCGAAATCTGCTGCTGCTGTTGCTGACGAACAATGGGTTTCTCCTGACTTTCTATTGGCTGCATATTCGTAAAAGATGAAGAACCAAAAGAATTTTGTTGTTGTACTTGCATGATATCATTCATCGAGTTGTTATTAGTAGTAGTCGAATTAGTATTATTAAAGAGGAGCATTGTATTTTCAGTTTGTGGTGGTGGCATTGCCGGATGATAACTCAACAAATTGATAGTAGAATCAATGGATTCGTCGCGGTAAAGGAGTTGTTGCTGTTGTTGAGTGGACATTTTTTTTGTGTGTTTGTTTTTTTAAAGAAGGAACAATGCTCAAAAAGGCGCGCTCATTACAAAAAGTAGCCGAAATGAAGTTTGCAGTACGAACTACTCAGATACAGCTGTAGTAGGGGAAACTATTTGGGAATAGTTCAGAATGGTTAGTAATCAGCACACTCGAGCACTTGAGAGAATGATCAATTGTGAGATTTTTTTTTTCAATATGAAAATAAATTATGTTTATTTGTGAAAAGCGGAAAGTACAATTGAGAGAAAGAGAGTGGAAAAATGGGGAATCAAGAAAAAGATTTTTTGCATGTAGTGGATTGGATTCGTTTACAGTTTAGAATAAAATTTCTTTATATCCGAAAGGTATCTTATTCCATATCATTATCAGATAAAACACTATTTGGTGCTGATCCAGATTTTTGCTTAATTAGAACATTTTCCTTAATAAATGTTGAAAGTGCGAGTGCCATCTTCTCATCTCCAGTAACATGTGGATGTCCATCACAACCCCATTCGTTTGGTTTCAATGTTCCCATAACTTTGGATAAATCATAGTAAAATACAGTCTTTCCATAATTGGCTTGTCTTTCAGCAATTTGTTTCACATATTGAATGTTACCAAGATGAAGTTTCTAATAAATTTCCAATAAATTTCAAACGAAAGAAACTAAACTTACCACAAGAACCAATTTCAAATTTGGATTCCTTACCAAATACTTTGCCTTAATAAGATCTATAACTTTCTGATAGCCAGCTCCAAATTCTTCCAATGAAGGTCTTGGAGGAGTACTAAAATCATTAGTTCCCAAAGAGATTACAACCAAATCTGGAACCACGGAGAAATTCCAAGGTTTTGTGGCATCGTTGGCCAAAGTTCTGCCATAGAAAAGTGGAAGAGGATCCTTGGAGACAGTTGACTTGTCGCCATAGTTTCTAACCATTCCTTTACCACTCCAACATTGAACGTGTGAAGTTGTGGCATTGAGATATCTGGCAGTTTTTTGGACGAAACTCTCATGAACATTTTCAGTAGCTGCTTCAAAGTGACATGGAGCTACTTTCAAATTTCCATATCCGCAACTAATGGAATCACCAATAAATTCCATCTTGAAACTTTTAGACGAAACTATTGGACTCAAAGATTTGATTAAGGCATCACTTTTCAAAATTACAAAACCAGAAAACCAAACAATTCCAAAACTAGCTTCAGTTCTCTTCTCAATTTCAACTTCGATATTATAAGAATTTGAAGATTGCCTTGCCCATTTGAATTCAACAGAATATCCACCATTCTTGGCATCTCTTGGTGTGGTTGCTGAAATGACAAGTGAAGTTAACAATGTCAAACGTTTGTGTTGATCGTTGAGAAGCCAAACGTTGGCATTGTAAAAGTTTTTAGTTTCTTTCAATTTGACAATTAGTGGAAGAGTTGGTTGAGAATTATCTTGAATGTAATATAAACGAGTAGCCATGGTAAAACCAGACCAATCGAATAGAATTTGGTCTCCTTGTGTGAAGTAACGACCATTCGAATAAATTACTTGTGGTGATTTAGCCGAAATGGTCAAGGAATAAACAAGGTGTGAACATAACAAGACACTAACAGCAATTAAACACAATTTTGAGAACTGACATTTTTTTTAATTATGTTTCGTCTAAATCGATTGTTGTAATCAACAAAGAGAGAATCATTGGTTCACTAATAAAAATGTTGTATTAAATTTATTACAAAAAACCAAGACAAAAAAAATGGCGCCACTCGCAGTTGCTGTTGGTTGTGAAGCTTTGTTAATCTCATCATGCCTCTTCGGAATTCATAAATCGATCAAGTACAAGCCTAAAAATTACTTTGGATTTGTATTATTATTTGCATCGATCGCTGTGGCTGCAGTGTTGGGTATTGGTAATTATGCTTCATTGCATCCATCACTGATTACTATTCATCCGATTGTGAGTGGTTATGTGACTAATAGTATTTTGCCACTCTTGTTACCATTCTCTGTTTATCAAGCTCTTGATTGTGGACCTGTTCGTATGTCAAAGAATGTTGGACAAGTAGTTTTGGGAGTGTTGATTAGTTTGATTGCTTTTTTGATTTATAATCCTAAATTTATTACTACTCAATTGGGTGTGGAAGGAGAGGTTATTGTTATTGGATCAGTTGTTTTATGTGTTGTATTTTCAATTTATGGACTTGTTGCTGGTTATTCCAGATACAGATGCAAGAATATGATTCTATGTGTATTGACAATGCTTTTGGCAGATACTATTTTAAGTAAGAATTTATTGGGAACCTTGAATATTAAGACTGACCCTTTTGGAAGTGTTGATGTTTTCCACATTATCTTTGCACTTGCTATGGTATTTTTAGGAAATGTATCTGGTGGTGCCACCTTTTAATGTATTATAGACTAAAATGAATATTTATTGTCCCAAGAATTGATCTTTCAAAGCTCTATAGTTGGAATATGACTTTCTCTTGTCAGCAGCTGCCTTTTCAATCTTTTCATCAAGCTCATTTTCATTTGGATCATCAGCCTTCATTTCTTCCAACATGAGTAAATCAGTAGTCTTCAAGTTATACTTGTAGAGGGAGTAAGCTAAATGGCTAGTGTTTGGATTAGCTTGTTTATGAACTGTGACAGCTCTACTTTGCATCTTCTTAATAACATTCAACATGGCAATAGCTCTCTTTGGAGTATACTTGCTGGTCATCTTGAACAACATAAAGTAAACTCTAAGACTAGCAGCAACATTGTTACAAATTTGAGCAAATGAGGTACATTTTGGAGTGTATCTTCCTCTAATTTGGAATGCAGCATGCTTGTATTGAATGATATCTCTTAAAGACATGAGCTTTTCATTGATTTCTTGTTCAGTGGCAATATTAGGAGTTGAAGCAAAGTGTTCCAAGTTGTGAATATTACTCAAAAGAATTGATTTCAAATTCAAAACGGATGCTTCAAGAGCCTTGATATGTCTGACATCTCCTTTGGTCATTGTTGGTTCTTCCTTCAAACATCTTTGAATGAAGAAATAACATTGGTTACACTTTTCCAATGATTGATAGCTCAAACGAGTCTTGTCAATATTCAATTTGAGGTATTCAGATTCAGCCAATCTATACAAGCTGAATACTTTAGTCTTGATACTGAATTGAGAATTGGTTGCAAGTTGGCAACAATATTTGATCATCTTTTCAGTGTTGTTACAACCATCAGCTTTGAAAATTGGTTCATATCTGGAATATAAATATGTCAACTTGAGGAGAATATTCAAATCCAACTCTGTAATATGCTCAGGTAAAATATTGTTCAACATATTTCTATTTGTACAAGCTCCTGGTGTAATTAGGGATGCTGAAATGTCACCATCAAGAGAAGAGGGTTGAATATCAGGCAACATGTAATCCTTGTTGAGGGTCTTGGCTGCCAAATACCTAGTCAAATTCAAAATTTCAAGAGAAGTGCCAGAGAAATACTTTTGTTGGAAGTACTTTTCAAATAATCTCAAGGCATGCAAATTGTTAGAATCTTTACAAAGATTGTTTTCAGCCTCTTTAACAATTTCATTCAAAACTGAATCGCCAATTGGTCTGAAAACATTTTCACTTCTAGTTTTCAAGATATCATCCATGAGACCGTATCCATCTTCACCTGGGTCCATTTCAGGATCAGCATTTTCAGCATGTTTTCTGTTCAACAAAGCCATTTGCAAATCTACCAATGGCCACATTCTTTCACCAAAACATTCCTTAAGTTCTGAATCCTTTTCAGTCTTCTTCTTTCTTCTAGAACCTTGAACCAATACTGGTACATTCCATCTCAAAAGAGTTTCCATTTCTACATCACCAGTAACTGTTGGAACCTGTTGTTGAAGGAAGAGCAATAAATTGATAGTAATACCCTTGATTGGTTTTACCATCTTGACTTCAATATCAAAAGAAAGTCTGGAATTGATATTTGTACCAACAATTTGTTCATTCCAACGAGTATCATTACCTAATTGTTCAATTTTGAAATTGAGAGCTTTTTGATTTTTCAAAACTGTCTTGAATTTAAAGTATTCATCAATTTCTTTCAATTCTTTACCATCAACTGTAATTTGAGCAGTCAAATAGAGTTGATAGGCATCCAATGTTTGTTTGGATTCATTACCATTGCTTGTACTTCTTTTACCATATCTTAACAAGAGGGATTGATCCAAATAAATGTCATATTGATATCCTGTAAGAGAAGCAAGAACTATTGGGTCAACTTCTAGCAAACTTAGCAATTCGAATGTCATCTTCTTCTTTGGTGTGAATTTGATGCATTCAATAATTGGATCACCATTTAATAAAACGATGGTAATAGAGTTATTTACATATTTGAGTTTGTTCAACAATGAGTAAGAATTGGAGTTACCAGGTACGTTATGTGTCATGGAAGCAGCCAAATCCAATCCCTTGTTAGGATCAGTTGGGAAGAAAGATGCCATCATAGTATTCATAATATTATTAGTAGCATCTGTACTTGTGGAATCAACAGATACATCTCCAACATCAAGAAATTCGAAATTTGGATTTTGAATGTGTTGTTGCAAAGTATCAAATTGTTTGATTTTCTTAGATTGATCATTATCTGTAATATTCTCATCTACATCATCAAATTTTCTCTTTGGTCCTCTTCTTTCATGTTGAAGAACATGTGACGGTGGAGGAGCTTGTTGAACATTTCTTGATGGTTGTTGTTGAACAGCAGTAACAACTGGAGGAATCATCTCCTGTTGTTGCTGTGGAACGATTGAAGAGGCAGCTGCAAGAATACCTGGTGATGTCTCAAATGCAGCATTATAGTCATAAGAGTTTCTGTAAAACATGGAATCTTGATCTGGGATTCTTAGCCATGATGTTAATGGAGTGGCAGGTAAAACTTCTTGTCCAGCAGGAATAACAAACTGTTGTGCATTGAATTGATTGTTAAGTGCAGTGTTAAATAACTGTTCTTGATTACTGTTTACATTGTTTGCTGGAGGAGTATTTCCATACTCAAAACATCCATCAGCAAACAATTCATCAAAATCATCAAACAATGTAACCTGTTTACGACCTGTTTGTTGTTGATACATTGGATTTGTTTGCATGTGGTGTTGTGGATAGTTAAAATTTGGGTCAGAAATATAGAAATTGGCTGGAGTTTGATTGTTGGATGTAAAAACATGTTGTTGTGGTGGTGGATTTTGGAATGTTTGAAGGGAAGGTAAAATGTTCTGTTGAGGAATTACAAAATTTGGTTGTTGTGCAAATGCAGTGCTAGTTGTGCTCGAGTGATGTTGTTGATTATTGGACAATTGGTGATGATAACCATGGTTGTGATGATGTGTTAGTGGTGGTAGATTGTTTTGATGTAAAGATCCACCATTCATGTTGTTGCTATGGAGTGGAGATGTGGAAACACCATTACTACTACTACTAGCATGTTGTTGATGAGATGCAACAATTGATGGCGGAATATTACTTGTTGTTGTTGCATATCCATTGCCATTACTGTTCATCTGTTGTTGAAGTAATCGACTTTGAATGGATGCTTGCAAGAGGGCAATTTGTTCCTTTTGTTGTTCAATCAAATCTCGTTGTTGTTGGAGGAGGAGAAAAGCCTGTTCATCACTCACATTTGGATTAGAGCTTCCAACCAATTGTTGTGTTTGACCCAATAAATTACCATACGACATGGAAGGAATAGAAGCAGCAGCACCACCATTTGCTGTATGATTCGGAAGCATATCTTGTAAAATCATGGAAGGTAATGGTTGGGAATGGCCATTGGTTCCTGGCGAGGAAAGTCTATTGTTGGTTGGTGAATGTTGATGATGTGAATGTTGCTGATTCATCATGTGACGTGAAAATGTCTATTCTTGTTAATAATAATGATAATAAATAGGGTTGGATAACGATATTACACCTAGTGGTCTCACAGTACAATATTCAAGTGTGGTGGTGTGAGACTATATAGAGAGAGAAGTAACAACTGTTTTGTCTGTTTCTGTTGTTCTTCTTATTAATCTTCTTCTTATCGACTTTTTACTATCAAATTCTTCTTCAGTGTTTACCCTAAACAATGAGAGTTTTTTTTTAAATTGTTTTTTGGGAGTTTTTTCTAGAAGGCAACAACGTCGGAATAAATAATCCCTCTAGGAGATGATGATGGACGTTGTGTTTAAAGAGCACTCAGATGGAGAGGGCAAATGTGTGGTTAGTAATGATGATAGTGTGCCTGGAAGATAACAAGTGCGTTCAATTTTTTTAACTAAGAGGACGAAAATTGTGTCCACCACCTCTTTCAATGCAGGTTTCTGCTGTAGAGTATAGGTAGCCAAAAATAGGTCAGCTTGGCTTCTAGAGAGAAAGGGATTTTGTTTGGTGCAACACAATAAAAGAAATTTTTGGATTTGGATTGAGGGTATTTTAATTTAACAGAATAAAGAACTTGTTCAGCAAGACGTAACATTGTGAATAGTTAGGTAATAGTGATGTTACTTCAGGTGTTTTGTGTACTTGGCGAAAGGTCATCTTCCAATAAACAGTGCCCTCTTGTGATCTCTTTGAAATGGAAGGAGCACACAAGCTTTGTGGAATACTAATTTATTAAGATTGATTCACTTTGTGAAATTATCTAGCAGAAGGTGGAGTCACTAATGGTGTTAATGGTGTTCTCAATTTTGCAGGAGGAATTGGTTGACCATTTTTAACACAAGAATAATCCTCCATTAATTGATCTACCTCGTCCATGGCTTCATGGAATTCACCTTCTTCCATTCCTTCACCAACAAACCAAAATACAAATGATCTCTTATCTTTTGAAGGTTAGATTTCATGTTTCAATAAAAACTTACAAAATAATTCCAAGAATCTGGTACGTAATTTTGTGAGTGGATCAACAATCGATGATGAATTGTTATAAACTTGAATATAATCTGAGAATGAAAGTGAGCTATCTGATAAATTTTCTGATTTCTTTGAGAATATTTGGTGATGGAAATTATCTGTTGGTGTTTTCAATTCATCTGACTGCTCCAAAAATTTAAAGGCAAGGTCAGGGGAAAAGTTTCCTCTCAATGCAATATCCATCAATATTGATTTTGAACCAAAGTGATCAGTTGCACTCATTTTACAATCATTAGTAAAGAGATCCGTAAAATTAATTTCAGAACTGACGTTATCGACCTTTTTGAAAGTACTAGCAATAATATTCAAATTCTTGTAAGGGCTCAAAATAGGACAGGTTGAATTATGGAATCGAGTTGGTAAGGTAAATGTTGAAATAGTTTGTGAAATAACGTCATTTACATCTCTATAATTTGGTGATGGATTCCCATAACTCCTGCAAACATTGTACAATGACTCATTGTCCAAATTGAAAATATTAGTCATGTTATTTCTTTTCAGGTCAGCTAAAGTCAATGCTGTATTGTATGGTTCAACAACTTCTGTCTGGAAATTTTCAGAAGGAAACACACTGAACGAAGTTTTGTTCTATAGATGAATCAATTAGTTAAATATTGAAAGAAATTTCACTTACTAATTCTGGATAATCATCTTCCAATATTTCAACAATGAAGGAGCTAGTTCCTGAACCAGTTCCACCTTCCATCGAGTGAGTCATTACAAAACCATCTGGAGAATCACACGCCTCTATCATCTTTCTCACTCTCTCCTTAATATAGCCTTTGAACGCTCCTCCAATTGTAAATTTACCTCTAGCAAAGTTACTTGCTGAATCTTCCTTTCCCTTGATCAAATTCTCTTCCTTTAATAAACCCGAAAGGCTTGGATCTTTCTTCACTTGCTCAACAGTGCACTCATCAGTGTCGATGAACAAGCAACGAGCATGTAATTTATTCTCCTCCCTCATACTTTCATCATATAATGAGGTTAAATTTAAAGAGCATAATGATGACGGTGGTGTTGTATTATTATTCAATAATTGATTGGTGTTGTCTTGTTGATAATAGCCTTCACCATTAACGTGGTGTTCCTTTCCGAAGAGTTTCCATAATCGAGATCCGATTTGATTACCACACTGCCCAACATGAAAAAAGATCAGTTCAGACATTTTTTTGTTGTTTATTGAGTGAGACATCCTAGATAGTTGAATGTTTCACATGTGGTATGATTTATGGTGATGATTTAAAAGTTGTTTCTGTTTCGAGAGGGTAAACCATAAGGCATTGAATTTTGTCTGGAGAGTGAGCTATTGCTGCCTGTGTTTGAATTGGCAAGGTTATCTTTGCTGCTTGTTGTTGCTGGCTGAGCGAGGACGAAACTCTTAATGACGGCTATGGATTCTAATTTACGTATTGACATTCTCTTTTCTCGCTCCTCTTGACGTTTTTGTTTGAGAGCTAAACTTCTTTGAGTATCTCGTGGGGAAAGGAGTCCAGATAATTGGTCATCAGCCGAAAGTAAATTATCTGTAATTGAAGTATCTGCATTACCATCAAAGGAAACAAACGAACGAGAAGGTCTTGGCTTTGATTCATTGATACTTTCAGAATTGAGTGGAGAATCTACAAGTGGAGAGACAGGGGAATTAAGGAATGGTTCAATATCTAGTTTTTTAAGTGATGGTTGACTAGGTGATTTTTTGGGAGTTTCTACAAGTTTTCTATACTTTTTCCATTTGCTTTCATCCTTGGCATAAATTTCCTCTTTCAAATAATAAATTGTAGCATTGAGAGTTGTAACACTGAAGCCATACTCTGAAACTCCATGTTCTTCTTCCAATTGATAATCTTGCATGTAATTGAAATTGGTAATCATGTTGGGAATTTGTGCTCTTACTAATACATAAGCAAGGAGAGGGATCATATCATCGGTGGTAACAAATTCAGTCTTGCTATTCGCTTGGTTAAATCTCGAAATACTATTCACAATCTTGTCTGTTGTATTTTTTATACATTTCATCTTGTCGAATGGATTTCTTGCTAAATTAATGTTTTCAGAAAGGAATGTAATAGCTTCCAATTGATCACATCTGAAACTATTTCCAATACTCAAAACATCAAATAAATCGTATGCAGCTGTTTCTTCGTCTTCCAAAACTGAGCAAGCAGCATTAATTGACATGCAAACATGCAAGAAATTCTTGTCCTCTGAATAATAGGCATACTTTTCTAAAAATGGGAATAACTTGTCATAAATTCCTTCCAATAAAACGCCATGTATAGCATTCTTAACATCCTTATCTTCCTCAGTTGACAAGCTCACATTTTGAAACTCTCCATAAATTACTTGGTAATATTCCATAATCTTGTCAGGTATTGAACTGTGAAATCCTCGTAATAATAAATAATTAAAATTAAAATGTTGAATTGATCGTTTGAGTTTGTCGTTATAGGCCTTATAGTTGACATCTTGAAGAAATTGATGATATTCCTCAACAGTTGTTGGTCGTTTTTCTGTCCATTTGGCTGCTTCACTACCACTTTCAGAGTAATCATTATACTCATTGAGTGCTCCTATTGATATTTGTTGATGTTCCTATAACATTAAATTTTAATATATAACATTTAAAACTAGATCAACTTACATCTGCTATACACTTGTCAACAAACAAGACCTTATAGGGTTGATATTTGTCATTATAACAAGTTTCCTCTTTCAAGACAAAAACATTAAAGCTCTTACTAAATCCCTTTCCTGTTTGCAATACATTTACAAAATCAAAAGAATTTTCTTCTGTTGAATTAAAACCAACTCCGAGAGAGGCAAGAGATACATTCTTCTTTTTCTGTCTGGATAAATTTTCATAAAGTTCCGAATTTTCACAAATTTGATTTCCTCTATCGGTAACATATTCTCCAATGAACAATGGTGAATTGGAAAGAATGTGGTCCTCTATCATGTGGTTACACATAAGAAATACAGCAGTTAGGAATTTAATATATCAAAAGAAACCTACTCATAAAGGCTTGAAATTTAGCTCCAGAATATTTCAAAGTATTAATTACATAATTCAATTCATCATCAGGAGGAATACAAATAGTCTTTTGTGCATCTCTACAAGATTGAAGATATTGTTTACTTTCCGATAATATGTCCCAGAATAATGATGAATCAAGATTTAAATTTCTCTTCCTCGCAACTCTTTTCCTCTTTGATTGCATAATAACAGGTGCTTCCTCTGATACTTTTGCTTTTGACAAATCCTTTTTTTCAAATGTCAAATCCGAAGGAGATTTGTTAATATTATTATTTATATTATTCTTGGCAAATTCTCTTTGAAACCCAGAGGCAGGCAATGATGAAGACATTATAGAATTCTGCGATCCGACTCCTCTACTTTGCCTATTCATCATGATGATTAATTAATAGACGTTGTTGATCAAAAAATAAAAATGATGAAACTCTGTGGTAGCAATTCTTTTGGATTTTTTTTTGATTAATTTTTTCCAGATAATGCGGAGTTTTTAAGGAGTTTTAAACTATTGAATTTCAACAAGATTTCGAATTGATATTGGAAATAGTTTTCAAAATCTCTCTAATACATTGTAGTAATTCATTTCTTCACTATGAATCATTCAACATTGTGAAAAGTTTAGTTGGCAAGATTCTTGCCATATAATGTGGCATCCCTTATCAACCAATTAATTGAATTGTGCACCAATAATTGGTCCACTAAGATTTAGAGATGATTAAATACCCTACCTAACCTCAGATATTGTTATGTTGGTGGTGGTGATATAATTGGTAGGTACCCTTGCTAGGTAGGGGAGTAATACTCATCCATTCAACAACACCACTCATTTCCAGGTCCAACTCGAATTCAAAAAAGAAAATGACGAATAGCATTGAAGGAAAATCACTGCCCAACAACTACCCACCAAATAATTTCACTTCATATCATTCCTATTCTACACAGGCAACAGAAAAGAGGAAGGGAGCATTTGTTGTGGTTGAAGAGGAAGAACATGCTCATGTTTGTTATTATAATGATGGCAAAAGAGTTTCGTATGGAAGTGTTGTGCAAGATGTGGTGTGGAATGAGGAGTATGTTATGAATAGTTGGAGGATTGAGAATGAGGAGAAGGAGAGTAAGGTGTTTCAGGGTTTGTTGTTGATTGTGTTGGTGGCAATTGTTGCTGTTGGGTTATTGGCCATCTTGTTTGGTGTATTGTCAGCTTCGAATATTGACGACAATGCTTTTTATTTACCTACTTCATGCACTGTTTTGGAAAGATATGGTTGCTCATGTGAAAATGAAGATTCGAATAGGTTTCTTTCCGTGATTAATACAGTTTCTAAACTATTTGATTCAACTAATTCCCATCTGAAACAGTATGAATCAGCAAATCCAGAGCCAAATCCTTATCCATGCCCTACAATCAGAAAGTGTGTCTTTAAAACTCTGATACATTCTAACAATTCCATGGACATTAGGACAACATGCGTGCTCTTTCCAGAATCGAATTATCCTATTGGATCGAATACGACTTGCTATTTGAGTGAGCAACATTCTAAACTGGTTTCCTTCACTTTTTACTCGAGTGTGAATGAGGCAATGAAGATGATTGCTATTTTGTTTGGTATTATTGCAAGCAGCTTGTTGGTTGTAACTATTTTCTTTTCTATTTGTGTTGCAGGTTTTAAACTTTGCCAGAGAAGGAAAATTGCCTTAATGAGAAGAAATTTAAATTCAGCCATAGTTTTATAAACATTGAATTCATAACAATACCAATGAAACTATTGTGAAATAAAGTATAATTTCTCTTTTATTTTGGAGAGTACATTCCCAACTTGGTGTCAAACATGAGTTTGGCTTTTTGTTGTTTACGGAAGAAGCTACTTCTAATTCTAATCTTGATTAATTCATCAATTACAATGAATGCAAATGGTGCCAGTAAAATGATAATGTAGGCATAGAATGGATAATTTGGCCATGCTTGTACTCCTTCAGGTCTAGAAATAATGAGGTGAATGAATGTGAAAAGAGCTTGCAAAGCCAAACACAATGGAACACAAATCCACCACATGATATTCATAAAGAATTTAACAGTGAATATTGAGTAAACTCTGTGCATTGTTCCAAGTGAAAGGAAGGAATAATAGTAAATCAAAATAAACATGGTAATAGTTTGGGCATATGCCAAAACAAAGTAAAACTTTTCACTCTTTCTAATTTCATTGGATAATTGATCTCCCCAAATGAGCCCTACATTGTCAATCTTGACAGTTTCATCCATACACATTATAGTCCAAAAGTAAACAACAAAGCAAGCTGGAACTGGAAGGCAAAAACGTAAAAATGTTAAAAGTGCCTTTCCAACATATCTTCCAGTTCTAAATTCATTCTTTGATGAAATAAGGTCCATAATTTTTGGTTCCATTGGAGTGCCGAGTAGAGAGAAGGAGATCAATGGAATGGCAATCATGCAAAGCCACAAGAATTGAATACCAGTGAAAATAGTAGATGGAAGGGCCATGAGAACGGAAAGTAATTGCAAAATGAATAATGAAGATGAGCAACCAAAGAGGAAAATCAAAGCTTGTCTAATATTATGAACCAATCTTCTACCTTCCTTAATCATGTGCAAAATCATAGAGAATGCAGAAAGAGCAGTCTCGGATTGATGAGAGGTAATGTGTAAAGCACATGGATAGGACAAGAATGGAGAAATATCTTCCTGCAAATCTGAAACTTCTTCTTGATGATTATCGAATTCCATTGGTCTCAAATGTTGTTGAGTGCAAGGATCAACAGCAATGGAAATATTGGCTTGATTGAAGGCACGAGAATTGTTAATGTTGATGGAAGAACCAACACAACAGACAACTTCATGATTTTCCTGCAAGACCTCAATCATTTGCTTGGATGAAACAGGCGTAGAGTCGGAGAATAGAGAAACCAACAATGGAACATCGTCAACAGTTTTCAAGTGTTCCTTGATATTTTCAATACCGTGTGGAAGTTTGGCTTTCAAATCTTCAACATCCAGTTCAACTTCATTATCATTCAATGATATGCAACAATTCCAATCAACTTCCATTCCCAATTTTGAACCAAAAGCTTTGGTTTTTTGGGAATTATATGGTGAGAAGTGAATAAATCTAATACCAGAGTTGTCTTGAACGTCACTAATAAATTCGGCAAGATCTCTCTTTGGCTGCTGTCTGAAAGCTGCAACTCCCAACAAAATTTGTCCTCTTTGCATTTGTTCTGCATGTAAGATGAATTTTTCACTGTCAAAATCTTCTTCAGAGAATTCTTCGAGTGGTGTCAATAAATGTTGAGATAGAGATGCAGGGCTAATAATTCCATTGAGTTCTGTCTTTGAATGATTAATTTCTTGACGAGTAATGTTGATAATATCATCCTTATTGCTATTCAAAACATTATCATACTTAGGATCAATTGGGGTGTACGAAATAGCCAAACAATATAAATCTCTTCTTTCTCTCCAATTCTTGACTGTTTCCAAAATATTTTCCTTGAATTGCTTACTCAGTGGTTTAATATCTGTTCCAGAGTAATAGTCAGAGCAATATTCCAATACTAAATCTGGATCACCAAAGGAGTGAACTTGTTTTTCTTGTTCCTCATACTCAACTACAATAGAGCTCATTTCCCAATTATTACATTGGGTGTGGAGTCTCTTTTTAAAAGTAAATGATTCTAAAACACTGTCTGAGAAACCAATTTCCTTACCAAGAAGATAAGCATACTTTTTCCAAAGGTGAGACTTGGCATCCAACATTCCTTCAACTCTATCAAAATCTGGAAGAGGGGAAGAACCCGTAATAAGCAAACTCAAACCAAGTGGTTTAAGTGAATTAGTGTGAACCATCCAATTAGGATCAGTGAATCTGATGACATCCACCTCTCTTGATGCAGTTCTATCAAAGAGGACATCCAAAGTAATAGTTTCTTCAGCCTTCTCAATGATTTGCATGTTGGATACATCAAGAGGGTTAGCCGCATGACTTGACTCTGATGCTTGGTGTGTTTCAGTGTGATGTTCATGTCTTTCCTTATTGTGTGTATGAGATTGAGAATGTTGATGATGGTGATGATTGATTGTTTCATCTTCAGGTCTTTCGACAGTGATGGTAACTTCTGATGGAATGACTTCATCATTAACATTAATTCCACCTACCATTTCGTCAACTTCATCACCCATACCAGTCTTTACAACAACCTTAATCTTTTCCATATCCTTGAGTTCCATTTCAGTAGCATCAGTCAAATCCTCAGGATAGTTATTGGTGCATGAGACAATCTGGCTTGGTGTACTGTTTCTTCTATCTCTAGTGCTGGCATATTTACTATTTTGTTCTGTATATTGTTCTTCTGAAATATCGACAGCGCTTGTAAAGTTGTTGTGTCTTTCATCATCTCCCTTCATGAATAAAACCTTCTCTGGAGCATACAGCAAGTCAGCCAATAAACCAGTTCTGTTAATAAAGCACAAGGCAGTGATTGTTCCCAACACTGTCAAGTTATCGTAATAGCTAGCATTGGCAGTAAGAATAACTTTGAAAAAGTTTCGTACTTGACTAAGGAATGGAACTTTCATTGGAGTATTACGATTTGATTCAGTGACTTGAACTCTTTTCATGTGATCATCCCCGCTCTCACCATGCAATGGCTCGTTGAGAGTTTCGAACAGAGAGAGGAGTTTAGAGTTGGAAAATGATAATGAAAGCAACCAAAACCCAGGGAAGGCGATTGGTAGCAGAACTAAACAGACATAACATGGCTCCACAAAGGCAAATGTAACCCAGTCATATGATGCTGATCCAACGCCAATTCTAATCAAATTACAAATCAGAGCAATACAATATCCAAGGTAGGAAACTATGGTCAATACTGAAATCAAGTTATTGAGCTTGATTTTGAGAGGCATCTTTTCCTGTTGATTTCTATAATCCTCATAAGTTTCTTCAATATAGTGACTCATTGGAGTTAAAGAAATCTTATAAAATCCCTTCTCCAATTCTTGATGGGCTTCAAAACTAATATTATTATCCTTAAAATCTCTATCAATATTGGTTGAATAAACCAAGTCTCCCTTCACCAATAAAATGTGTGGCATCTTACTCCAGCACTTATCTCTAAAAACAAAAATCATCTTGTATGGAATCATGTTAATACCTTCAAATAAATTACCATCCTTGCTTTTCATGGAAAAGTTAAAATCATTCTTTTTCAAAATTGAAAACTTTTGTTTCAGTAAACTGATCACAACGCTATGTCTTCTGTAGTATGAAATGAGTGTCACACTCAAAAAGAAGATTAGTACAAAGAGTAAAATTGTTGCCTCAACAACTAATCTAATAGCTCCGTAATGATCCTCAAAAGGAATGCCGCCAAATTTCAATCCAGCTGCAATATATAACAGGATACAACACACAAATCCAAGAAGTACCAATAATCCTGCTCTAATAGGACTTTTCCTAATTAACACATCCACTAACGCCATAATAAATCCTTGTTTCGATCTATTCTCAATTTTTTCAATAGTTTCCTCCAAAGAATCGAACAAATTTTGCTTGGCTTCACTCGTTGAAAGTCCATCCACTAATGAACTCTTAAAATTCGAAAGTGGTGAAATATTATCATGGACTTTAAAGTTCTTTTCCGAATGTTGAACAGAAGTTACAGATGACAAAATTTGAGGTGAAGTTACTTCCGAACTTTTTCTAGCATTATGAGACCCCTTTGCTGACAATGATGAAGTACTTCCAAAGCCTCTTGATGCTTTCACGCTTGAAGTTGGTAATTTCTTATTTGCTGTTGTTGATAATGAATTTGTATTGTTTTGTAATGATGGATTAGAAGGATTATTGCTGGACATTGCTGTACTATTGTTAATATTTGTATTATTGCTAGTTTGATGTTGTGAATGTTGTGAATCGTGTTCACTTTCTTCGTTATTCGATGATTCTCTTGAAATATATTCCATAGAATTTGGAGAAGTAAGCCTTGTCTCTTCATGTTGTTGTTGTTGATGATGCTCTTCTTCTTCGTGATGATGATTCGACATGGTTTCATCTGTTGTTCCGGAAGGTAAATTTTCATCATATTCAGAATGATGTTCTTCCAAATGTTGTTGTTCCTCTTCGTGTTGTTGTTCCTCGCCTTCGGTTGTTGTTGGTGGCGAAACAGTCGCCACTGCTGCATCACCAGAATTCTCTTCTATTGAAATTTGTTCTTCTTGCAGAGGTGAAGACATTTTTTTGTTGATTTGAGTTCAAAAGTGTTTTGGAGGGAGAATTGCAATGATTGAGATTATTAAATAGTAGTATGGATATTATTCTTAATATTATTGTACGATTCAAAATGAAAACCCTTTCTTTATTGAATAGTACTTAGCAATAATCTACTTTTTCCATGATTTGGGAAACTAGAGTTTCGCATTCATTCTCGTCACAGTCCAACTCATTTAATAGAGATTCCTTGACTTGTTCCAGTGTAATATTTCCATTCTTAATGAGATTGGCTACATATTTGATAGTTTGAGGTTTCCAGAATTTCTTCAACTTGTCACTTCCCAAAAAGTTAGCTAATTTATAAAGCTCAAACATATCAGCATCTTGAATTGTTAAATTTTCCACCATGAAATCTTCACATTTTTTGAAAAGTGCATTATAGTCCAATTTTTGGGATTGTATTGATAGTTCAATACATATCGAAGGGGTAATATTTGCATTTTCACTGTAAGTGTAATTGATTAGTTGTTTCAAAATTTCCATGTTTGGACAATTAAGTTCCAATGTTGCAATTCCATTTTTTTCCTCTTCTTCTCTGAATTGAATTCCCTCAGAGAATCCACAAGACGTAATGATATCGAAATAGGCGCTACGCTTTGTAACAAACTTTTTGTGACAAAGTATGACATCTCTTTCTTGTTCGGAAACTTCTTCATCTTCAATAGATTCAGCTAACTTGATTTTCATGTCACAACCCTTTCTTCTTAAAATATCTAACAGATTGGTTGGCTGCTTGCTTTCCAAACAAAATCCTAGAGGTGATAGGTCTTTTTGAAGTTCCTTTTTTCTAGCATCTTGAAAATTGTCCAAATTAGCTTTAACCTTGAATTTTCTGGCAATGAAATCAGCTTGAACTCCAATTTCCACGAATAGAATCTTTGCAAGATTTGTTAATTTCAATGAATAGGCAGCATCCATCAATTCCTGCATGAATTGAACTGAAGCGTCCCTAATAATGATTTTTTCCAATGGAATGAATATGCTTTTAACTCTAGGATCAATAATTCTACCTGTGTAAATGTAGGCGAGGATAACTTCAAATGGTTTTCTACTGAAAGGTGCATCTCCCAAATTTAAATCAGATAATCTCTCATAAACTTGGTCTATCTGTTCCTCGTTAAGAGTTGGTAACTGATAGGGCAGAAATTTTTCTTTGACATACTTTTTGGCAACAAGAACAGAAGATCTGATGCTTTCCAATGTTGGCCTTTGTAAAACTGAGAATGCAGGAAAAACCTCTCTCTGATATTCACGTGGATCTAAATCATAAGCAAGCATTGTTTTTAAATCCAATGCAGACAAAACAGAGTTTTGGATTGGATGTTCAGATGATTCGTTCAATGCAAAATCAATAATTTCTGGCCATCTGGAAATTAAAATCCATTTGTGAAGTCTGTAAGTAGCTGGTAATTGTTCACCAGAAAATTTGATTGTCAAAGTCATATCAGGTCCATCCATGTTCTCTTCTTCATTTGAGAATATAGCTCTCTTCACAAATGACAATAGTAAGTTCACTAAATTATCATCTTCAATCACACCAGACTCATCCTCTTTAGCTTTCTTTTGTGTAGAAAATGAGTAATTATGATAACTCTTCAACAACCATCTCATTTCTTGACTCAATGAATTGAGATAACAACGAGAAAACTTGTCATCCCTAGCACCAAGATCTAAATTCCTATCAGCAATTGAAATTCATCAAAAACTCAACTTACCCAATAAACGTTTGGCTACATGAACATGTCCAGCCAAACAACTATAATACAGCATTGTATTTCCATGCCTATCAATATCAGTAATTGTAGCTTGCTTTGTTTTGAGCATTTTCTCCACTCGAGGCCAATTTCCCTGCTTGGCTAAACTAAAACCTTCATGATCGCAAAAATCAAAAGGATCAAATCCCTTCTTTGGAGTCAGAGGAGATTTCTCTGAAAAGTTGTGAGCCAAAATCTTGGAAAAGTCATCTCCGTGATTGTGTGCACTATTTGGTGATGATAATTCACTACTGAATTGGCTAGTATTTGCTGCTGTTGTGGTTGTTGTGGAATTGTTTTTCTGTTGTGCTTGTCCCATTGTTGATAAAGTGTAGTATTGGTGATGAAGGAAAAAAGAATCCGTGATGATGATGAATATTCCTTCTTGTTTGTTCTTTTTTTAAATCTTTTTTTATGAACATTTTAAATGTTCATGTTCATCCATTGTAATCTTCCTTTTAATATATGTAGTTTTCAAGATGTAACAGTGTGTTCCTTCATCAACTTGATTTATCTTATTACTTCATCATGATTAATTTTGTTCCGAAATTCTAATTTTCCAATTAGTTGAATCACCACCAATATTGTCCTTAAATTAATAATAAGCATCATCACAACAAAATATCTTTGAAAAAATCAATTATCCTTCTTCATCTCAAGCCCATCTTTGGTAATTTTTTTCATAAGAAACTTTAAACAATTTTAAATATTTATTTAAAATTACAAAAAAAAATGTTCCAACGTTCTTCAACCGCCATTTTGTTACTCCTCATTGCTTGTTTGATGATGATCGGTTTCACCTCTGCTGTTATTCCTGGAGGCTTCTCTCACAATAAGAAACCATCAGCCAAGAGAATTGCCAAATTTACAAGTTTCCTCTCCAGTAAACTTGCCGCTAAATATCCAACCATCACTCAAATCATTGATATCCAACAACAAGTAAGTTTTTGAGGAAGAGAACATTGGATTCTAATATATGTTCTTGATTTCTTGTTTGAATAATTTTTGAATTATTTGGGTCATGATGAAACTTTTGAAAATATTTTGATATTTTCTCTTCTTTTAATTGAAAATTTAATTATTGAAAATTTAATATTAGGTTGTTGCAGGAGTCATGTATAAAGTTACTGCTTTGGCAATAGATAGTAATGGACAAGAAAAGACAATCAAGGCTACTATTTTCGAACCATTGCCACATGCCATTCAAGCTGGTCAATCCAAACTCCAATTGAAAGATGTTAAGGAATTGTAAATTTATTGTAAATAATCTTGTAAAAAAAAACATAGTTTTACAAAATAATTGTGACATTTTTGTAAATGGAACTTATTAGTCGTTTACAATGATAAGTGTTGGGACTCCTCTCGAGCCATTCGCGTTATCAACTCATTCTAGATATTGTCAATTTAGTTTCTAATGAATAACATTATCTCAACTTCGCGTTTTATTTAGAAACTAAAGTGGAACAGTACTAGCCATTTCTAACACCAATGAATTGTGGCAGACTTCATTAGGACCTCCTACTCAACCCTCACTTTCGAATAGATAGCCTCAATTTGTTATTATCTCTGCAGATTGATTTCCAAAATCAAATCAAAAGAAATGGCCAAACAATCTCGATCTAATTCCAATTCAACTGATCACTATCCACTCTATCCAACAAATTCGACTACAAGTAGTGGACAACAAATGATCATGTTTTCTACAACTCCTGACTACAAAAACGAAGCACACTATTATGAGACGAAACTTGGTAGTGGTGCTTTAATTTGTGACACTGAATTGTCACCAGTTTGTAGTTGTAATGAATCAGTTTCCAGTTATTTATCATGTGACGATCAATATCATAAACAACAGTCATTCTCAATTCGAACACTTGTGGTGACTGAACCTTATTGGAAACGAGTGGGAAAGGTACTCGATAATAACAAGAAGAATATCATGATGGGATGTATCATGTTTGTTCTGGTGTCTCTATTCATTGTCAGTACTGTTTACTTTGTAAAGAGTTTGCTGATGAATAATATTGTAATATTAACGATTTGTGCTATTATGAGTTTGTTGGCAGCTTTGATTATTTCAGTTCTTGGAATCATTTGGTTGACCAAACATAGTAGATTCAAAACCACCGCCATGTAGGGTATTTGTTAAGATATTGTAAATAGTAATGTAAATATTAATATTAATGATGATTAGCACACGATCTCTTGTAAATTAAACTAGTTTCTAAAGTAAAAGAATAAATCTTCTTTATCTAAATTTGGAGCATCCTCACCCTCCTTCCAACAGCAAGAAATCAGTGATGAGGTTGGATAAATTTATAATGGATGAAGTTTAAATTAAATAATTCATAAAGAGATTGACTCGGAATTACTTTAATTGTCAGATTTATTTGAGGATAACCTTACTCTTATGAGAAGTATATAGCTCTACCAGAGGTTGTCTTTCAATAGTATTGGCATGAATAGATCCATCCTTAGCATCCTGTAAGTGAATTTCTTCCAATTTTGGAAAATCTGCATTCAACAGGAATTTCACACCTTCCAAACCTATTAAATTCTGATTCAAAAGGAAAACTCGAACGTTTGTCAGTGATCCATTACATAATATTTCACATCCTGCATCCCTAATGTCATTTCCAACAAGATCCAAGTATTCCAATTTTGAAAGTGCATTCAGATAGAGACAACCAGAGCTGCCAACATTATTTCTCGAAATGGTTAAGTGCTGAAGTTGAGGAAGGAGTGAAATACATCTACAACCTTTGGAACCCAAATTATTATTTGAAACTGAGAGGAGGTTGAGGAATGGAAGACTGGAAATGTTTAGGCAACCTTCGTCTCCAATATTGTTGTTATCGACATAGAGTTTAGTTAACTTTCCAATGCCATTGGCAGTCAATTCTGCAAATCCACTTGATCCTATTTGACAATCTCTCAAATATAAATCTTGTAATGAGAGGAATTGAGCTTTTGCCAAATTTTTACATCCTTCATCTGAAATTGGATTATTCGAAATGTTAAGATAAACCAAAGAGGAAACATCTGCATTTCCAATAAATGCACAATCAGATGGTCTAACCTCACAAGATTCCAAACTGAGCCACGTTAAATTTGGCATGTTTCCATTGAAAATAAATTGAATACCAGATCCAATAAGCATATTCTTTGAGAGATTCAATTGGACCAAATTCTTCAAGTTTCCATTTCCCAAATATTGACAAGCATCAAAATCTAATGCACAACATGACAAGTTCAAGTGAGTTAGAGTTAATAATCCTCCATTCGAAAGATATTGACATCCCTTTGAATATATTCTATTACCACTCAAATTCAATTGAATCAAATGATTTAGATTACCGTTGGCTAAATATTTACATCCATTCGATTTGATTCCATTATTATTTGTTTCATTAAGACTTTCAAGACTCACATCTAAACTTGTCAAGCATTTCAATTTACCATTCGCTAAGTATTTACATCCCTTTGATCCAATGGAACGATGAGAAGAAACCATTTCTAAACTTGTCAAACCTGTCAAGGAAGTTACTGCACTACTTGTTAAATATTCACATAAATGACCAAATGAATAACCTTCAAATGAATCTGCCTCCATCTCATTTGCAAAACTCTCTGTCATGGTCAATTTAGTCAAATTAGGCATGGAATCGAATAAATTCTTCAAAACTTTTGCCCTTTTCTTTTTTGGAGAAGAAGGAGTTGAAGGCGAAACTTTCTGAAATATTTTCTTCAACTTTCCAAATCCAGAAACCTTCCTCTCATTCAAACCAGTGCTAATACTTGGTAAATCCTTATTTGGAATTGAAGGATTAGTAAAAGTTGACCCCAAACTACTCGAACTTGAATTATCATCAAAATTTGGTGAATTTGGAGTTAAATATCCACCACTTCCACTGACTGTTTCTCTTCTAGATGTCGAAATTGGAGTCGATGGCGATACACTCACTGATAAATCAAGTGAAACTCTATCTTGCTTTTTGATGTGAAATATTGGCAGTTCACTATAAATCGAATTACTGCAAACTAATTGTTGTAATAAATATTGAACGTGTGAAAATTCAATGGCATGGACATTAAATGCACCCTTTTCACAATTATTAATAAATTCAAAACATTTCAGAGGATCCTTCATGTCAATATTTATAATTCTTGGTAATGTGAAATTTAAAGAATTATTTTGATTGTTGACAGTCGAAGAAGTAATGGTACCGAACATTTTGGAGTGTCGATGGTTGGTGTAGGGAAGGTATTGTTCATCGGCTTCGTTTCTATTAAGTTTGGAGCCAAAGAACATGACAGATTTTCTCATTTTTTTATTAATTGTTTTATTGTAATGACAGGTGGCGTTTCTTGATGAGTTTGATTGCAAAAGGCAAGGAAAATTGACAATCACTGGATTGGTATGATATTAGTTCTTCACTAAGCAATTTTGGGCAACAAATATGAAAGAATCGTATGGAGTTTAGTTTCATTTCTTTGTCTCACTTCATGTCAAGTGGCGTTTGACATCTCCTTTCCACCATTAATTAATGATAATTTTTATTTTCTTTTGCTGTGGTCATTTTTTAAATAAATTTTTTGAATTTACAAGAATTACAAGAATGAAAGAAAATGATTTCTCAAAATTTTCAACAATTTACATATAAATTCAATTTAAGATGCAATGTACTCAAATATAGTTCCACTGTACTAAACAAATCAATTCACGGTACCACTTTTGAAAAAATCCCCAAATGGTTTTATACGAAAGATTGGACGATTCTCTCAAGCAAAAAAAATACAACAACAAACGCAATGATCACAGATGTTGTCTCACCCACCGTGACCATTCACAACAACGACAACAATAACGACGACACAAAGGATGACTCTAACAAACAGTCGACGAAACCTAATGTTGTTTCGGATAGCACAATCACTCCAAACGAAACTAGCAAAAAAACAGGATTGACTGCATCCTCTACCGTAACAACTCTTGACGACATGGAAACGAAAGTAATTCTAACAAATTTAAAGAATGCTTCGAATGTAAATTATGTAGAAACTCAAAATTGGAAGAAAGGTCTAAAAGGAATTAGACGAAAGAAATATACTTGGACATTTCTAACAGTTTGTGGATTTGTTGGTGGAGTGATTATTTATACGCATGATTTGATTGTCAAATACATGTTTCAGGGAAGGTTGACTTTGATAAATGCATTCGATTCGAATAGTTATTTCGGATTACGTTTAGTTTTGTGGATTTTGTTTAATTTGGTGTTTATGTATGTGAGTTTAATGATGACGATTTTCATTGCGCCTGCTTCGGAGGGATCTGGTATTCCAGCTATTAAAGGTAAGTGTTTTCAACTGAAATTAGTTTTATTCGAATGTGTGACATCTTTCGAATAATTATTTAGCTATTTTAAATGGTACTCCTTTAGAAGATCCTCTCAGTTTCAAAACATTTCTTGTAAAAATTATTACACTTCCAGCGGTTTTGGGAACTGGAATGTTTTTTGGTAAAGGTAAGTTTGCAAAATGTCAAATAATTTTTATTCGAATCTCAAAGTTGGACCTTCGGCTCATATTGGCGCTCTCCTAATCAACAACATGCTCAAAATTCCAATATTTAAACCTATTGGTAGCATTAAATCTTTAAAAAATCAAATGATTGCTTGTGGTTGTGTAAGTTTACAATAATTTCAATATTAATAATTTTAAAAAATAGGCACTTGGAGTCGGCTCAAATTTTTCTACTCCTGGAGGAGGAGTCCTATTCGCTCTAGAAGTCATTGGAAGTTACTACAGTTTGAGAGGTTATCTGAAAAGTTTCTATGTGGCAGTGGTTGCTGCATTCACTTCTCGTCTCTTCAATGCTACAGTCAACTTGAGTTTAAATTTGGCATTGAATTGGAATTTCAAATTGACTTATCCTTCATTCTCTATTCCTGAACTGATAGCTTTTGCAATTTTGGGTTTTGGAATGGGAGTTCTTGGAATTGTTTACGTTTATTTGAATGAGAAAATGTATCGATTGAGAGATCGATTTGGAGGACATTACTTGTTTTTCAAACCAGAGCGATTGAAAAAGTACAAATTCATGATGATTTTTGAGAATCGTGTGATTTGGACAGTGTTTATTTGTATTGCAACAAGTTTATTGACATTCCCTGATTTGATTGGCAAGTACATGTCATTGACAGTTGGTGCAACTCTTGAAGATTTAGTTTCTCCTAATCCTCTCACATCAGCCAATGGATGGATCACTAATTCACCGTATGATATTTTCTCCTCTCTTGCCATTTTCATTGTGATTCGATTGATATTCACAATTTTTTCAATGAGTTTGCCACTTCCAGGAGGAACATACATTCCACTAGTTATTATTGGAGCTGGATGTGGAAGATTCTTTGGAGAAATAGTGGCAATTATATTTCCAAATGGATTTGTTGCTGGACAACCAATTTATGCAGGAGCTTATGCAGTTGTTGGTATTGTGGCATTGACAGCATCAGCCACACATGCATTTTCAACTGTTTTCATCTTCCTTGAAATTGTTGGTGTTGCTGTTTATCTTCCAAGTTTAATGGCTGCTTTGATAGCTGTCAGAATTTCAAGATTGTGCACAGCAAACTTTTATGATACCAGTATTAAGGTAAAGGGATGGCCAGCATTATTGGAGAGTATGACAGATTCAGAAGATTTGAAAGTTACCAATATTATGACATCTGTCGATAAACTAGACATTTTGGAAGAGAATGTTTCAATGAGAGATCTTGAACTCCTCTTACAAAAGAAGAAATTACCAAAGATTTTACCCGTTGTTTCAAGTAAGGACAATTTGGTTCTATTAGGACAAGTGCATCTGAAATCTTTGGAATTTCAATATAATCTAATGAAAGCTAGATTGAATAATTCAGGAAAGGAAATCACTCAAGCATCAAATTTTGCACCAATATCTGATGAAGGATATGGATCAGCAAATGATGGAAATGATTCTTCTGCAACTAATATGGCTGGGTATGCCAGTTTCGAATTGCAAGATCGTGATGAAACTGATATTATTCGAATTGAATATGAAACATGTGATATTACAATTTCCGAGTCTCAATCAGCTCAGAGAGCTCACATGCTCTTTTCTCAATTGTGTTTGGATGAAGCATTTGTGGTTTGGAAAGGCAGATTGATGGGACAATTGGCAAGACAAATGCTCATTAATACTGTTTCTGCAAGAGAAAGAAATCAAATAATAGTAGTGTAAGAATAAAGGTTTCTAATCTTCATAAATCTATGTGGAGCCACATTTTCACTCTCAAGTGTGGATAGTATGTTCACAGTTTTAGTAGTTTTAGTGGCCTACCAGGTTGGTTAATTGTTGGAATGTAAAGAATACTGCAGTTAGTGTTGAAGCTCCAAAGGTAGATATGACTATTGCACAAATTGTTTAACAATTTATTTAATATTTAGAATAGATTGAATATTGTTCATCATATTCTTCCATATATTGTTCATACTCATCATCCTCGTCAATAGATGAAACAATTTGTTTGCCTGTTTCTTGATTTCTAACAAATTCCTTCATAATTTTCTTATTCTTCTTATTCTTCTTTTGTGAACAAGATTTTAAAGTTGAGGTTTCTGGAGTTGTTGGTTGTAAAACAGTTGTGAATTCAGCATGTTCTCTAGCAATTCTTTCTTGTTCTTCCTTTTTGAATTTCAAAATCAATTCTCCCAATTGACCATTTGACAACATGTCAATTCTATTATTCTTATCCCAGAATACATATTCATCTCTATACATCAATTGTTGAATTCGGTGTTGTGGAAGTTCTTCAGCCAAATCACTATTTAAGAATTCTTCATATGAAATAAAAGTGTCACCTTCAAATCTGTCTTTGTAAATCATTGACAAGTGAAGATAGGCATCATTTAAATCAGAATCCCACATGATTCTATTAATTGCTTCCTTACAAGTTAGAAAACGTTCCTTTTTCTTTAGCCAAATTGTTTCTTCTTCAGCAATTTGTTCATTCTTAGAAAGGAAATATTTAGTTTGATTGGTGGCAGTATTATTTACAGGGAGGATTTTTACGGTCATGATTTTTTACACAGTTAGGTTGATGATCAATGGATCTTTTTTTTGTTTTGGATTTTCTTGAATTTCAGCTTGCAATTTTCTATTTAAAAGTGTGAAAAAATGTTTCACACCAGAAGTTGAAGAATAAAAATAGACTTCAAGTTCATATTGAACTTTTTTTTGTACAAACTTGAAGTTGAATTTATTGAAATACCAGTGTTCTCAATTCCTGTAAGTGAGGGAAAGATTTTGTGTTTTGAAACCTTAGCTTGAATCTCTCTTCAAAGTTGAGGGATATTGAATGAGATATGAGAGGTGATGAGGAGGCAAATATGTGAATTATACAAATCCTTAAAAAACATCTCAATCTCCATTAATTTCACAAAGTGCGAGTAACTTTTGAAAGCATAAAAATCGGACATCTGGAGAATCAGGTTTAAAACGTTAAACGATTATGGATATTATTTAAAATATTACATAGAGGATTCGAACCTCTGACCTTGGAATTAAGAGTTCCACGCTCTCCCAGCTGAGCTAATATAACACAGATTCGAATAAAAAAATAATACTCGTATCATCAAAGGTGTTTTGAGGCAAACTAACAAGTTCATTGATTGTTAATAATTGTAATCAATGTTTACTGGTATTTAATATTATTTAAAATATTATATAGAGGATTCGAACCTCTGACCTCGGAATATGGTTCCACGCTCTCCCAGCTGAGCTAATATAACCCAGTTTCAGATAAAAACAAATAATAGAAACCCCTTGCCAAGTGCTACTAATCAGAGCTTCAATCCTCTATTGAACGTTTTCTTACTCAAAAAATAGATTATGTTAAGATCAGTTTATTATTAATAATCACAATTTACTGTGAAGGTTTTTCCTTTTTGATCATGTAAAAATTCAATTCATAATTCTTTGAGTTTTCTGTGAATAAAAATCCAATAGGAATACTAGTGAAAGTACTCTTCTTCTTATTATCCAGCTTTCCTATTACAGTTTGAGTCTTGTTCTTTTGATTTTGAGTACAAGATAATCTAATTGTAACTGTTTCATTTTCCAACAATTCCAAATTTCCCAAATAAATGCAAATATTCAATTGTGTGCTCATGGATTGGATTTGATCCCTTGTCAATGTAATAGTTCTTGTATAAATATCAGCATGTGTTGAAATTTTACGATTCCAATAGAAAAAGTCTGTCACTGCATTGAATCCTTCAATAATAACTCCAAAGTGTTGGTCAACAACTGTGAATTGTGATTCGGAATTTGGACTCAGCTCTTCATTCTTATTGGGGAAAACATCAGAGGTGGACATTCTCTTCTTATTTGGCGAAATTAACTCAATTTCATTGGTAGTTGCCTTTTCTTTCATTCTATTTTCAATCTTAATGTTACCTTTGTGTGAATCAACTTCAACCAACACGACACATGGCTGGAACTTTGATGAAACAATAAAGTCATCAAGTCTATCTGCATCTATTTGTCTCACATTAGAATCATCAATAGCAAACCATGATCCAAGCTTCTTGTTATAAACGAGGCAAATATAATGTCTTCCATAGTAACAAATAATGGAAGAAACGTGTCCCATTACTTCAATATCACTACCATTACAATTCAATCTAAATATTTCGTGTAGTTTGATTTGTTTGATTTTAAAATAACTCATAAATTCCAAAATATCATCCTCTGATATGATGTCTCTATTCCAAGAGAATGAGAATGATGTGACAGCTGGGAAAGCTTGGAAAATGTGCTTTTGTGAATCAGATATTTCTTTGCATGATTCACAAGTTCTGTGAAAACTCTCAATAGTTGATCTCAAAGCTCCCTCAAAGCTTAAACTTGGATTTTCTCTTTTTTTCTGCACAAATTCACATGATGAAATGCACCAATTAGTTGTAGTATAATTATGTGGATCAGAGAATTTGTTACACTTGGAGCAAACATAAAAATCCGTAACATAAAAATCAAAGATCGGTATTTGAGAATACTCCAAAGAGTTGTTGATATCCTCAATAATTGCTTGCTATTCAATTGTCAATATTGATAAAAACGATGAGAAACTTACAAAAACCTCTGAGGCATCATCCATATGCTTGAGTTGGAATTTAGAATCCTTATTGTGAGCAAATGATAAGCTATTTCTAACCAGGTTTGGATCCAATATCGAATTTTCACTGTATTTAAAGTGTGTAAATAAATTTTGGAGGGAGCAATAAACACACGATTCAAAACTCTTATGTTTGTGATTTTTAGGATCAATTGATAGGAATAATTCTCTAAATATTTCCAAATTCCACAAACTCTGAATCACAACATTTAAAAAACAATTATATTCACCCATAGGATTTGATAATCCTTTGAGAGCTGCTTTTGATTTCTGATTTGCAGTTGATGTCACATTCGAAGTAGATAAAGGTTGATTCTCAGCAGGTAGGTTGACATAGGTTGCTCTTTCATTTGGTGTTAGAATATCAATCACCTTATTAGCAAGTTTTGTTATTGGACTTGGTGAAGGTGGTGAATTCTTCTTATTGGAATTATTGTGATTCATTGTTGAAATACTTGGTGCTCTCCTTTGATCATAATTTGATTCCTGTTGTGAGCTGCTCATTAAATTACTATTAATACTCTGATTGAGTGCAGTTGTGGTTGCAGAGAAGGGAATAGTTTGACTATTTGGTGAAGTATTATATCTTGGTGAGGCTGAAGGAATTGTACTGTTATTACTGCTGCTACTATTGCTATTATTATATATTAAATTATTTGCTGATGACGATGATTGAAGATGATTATTGTACATGTTAGTTTGTTGTTGATTTTGTTGTTGTTGTTGTTGATTGAAGGAATGAAGATAGTTTTGTTGGGTAGGAACGAGCACTTGTTGTTGAAGATGATTTGGGTTTTGATAGAGAATTGGAACTTGATCAATCACTAAAGGCTGATGATTATTATTATTTGGAGGAAGAATGACAACTTGTTGGGGAGAATTTGTTGAATTGTTATTGTTAGTGTTCATCATCATGGTTGGAGGTGAAACTCTTTGGATTGGAACAGTTTGTTGGATCGGATGTGGTTGTGGTTGAAGGTTAGGAGAGGTTTGTTGGCCATGAATCATTTGTTGTTGTTGTTGTTGATTATTCATCACAATCAGGTTATTATTATTACTATTGGGTGTTAGTGTTCTTGTTGATTGATTCGGAAGAGGAGGTAATTGAGTTGTTTGTTGTTGTTGAGGTTGTTGAGGATGAGCGTGAGCATAAATCATCCGAACTGGTTGCTGTTGCTGTTGTGGTTGTTGTTGGGGATCCATAGAACTAAATAACTTGATGAAAAATCACTTGGGCAATTCAACTACAAATGTTGTTGATATTATTAATACTTTTTTTTAGATAGTTTAAATTGAAACGTGAGCATGTAATGGATTTGAATTGGAAACAAAAAGATTTTAGAATCGTGATTGGGGAAAGGAATTGTATTAGGATGATTTAACCTTTATTAATTGGCTTGATTTATGAATTTGTAAAGAACTTTTTTGTTGTATTATTCTATTGATATTATTTGATGATGATGAAATAATAAATTTATCGGGTGATGATGAAAAGAAAAATTAATTTCATTTAAAAAAATGTCTTCCAGTGTTGGTAAGAGAGGTCTTTCGGAAAGAGAGCTCCAAAGAAAAGAGGAACAATTAGCAAAGACTTATGGCTATGAAACAGATCTCACCCACAATGAAGAGTCTGTAGTACAAAAGGAATCTCCAACCACTCCAAAAACTGGTTCTTTTAAGGAATTTCTTGCTAGTATTTCCACTTGTGAAAAGGGTAGAAAGAAGAGAAAGCCTAATGTTGCTTGCCATGCTCCAGCTAAAACTTTAGATACTGTTGAACCAGTCACTCCAATGACCAAATAATTAAACTATGAATCATTAGAGAACAATTTACCATCAGACAACATACAATTAGACTGAACAACAAACACACGAGAAACATCAACCAATAGTAATATATTCTAAATCTCTAGGAAATCCAGTTCATTCAATCCATTGAACAAACCACGGATGAAAGCCTGTAAATAAATAATTTATCTCATAAGAAATAATCGGAAAGTTTTTCATACTTTCATACAACAACAATAATCATACAATGATGAATTGGATAGAGGAATAACCCACTTCTCCGCTTCTTCTTGAAAACACCACCATCAAGAAATTGTATTGAAAATATCGGAAGACGGAAGCACTTACTAATACATTATCTGACCAGCAAACATTTCATCCATCACTATTCGTTGTTCGTTCATCATGATATTATGATGTAAAGAGACAATGGACGACTCGACTTGAAAAAATTACGACAAACACTCATCATTGGCAAGTCTATTGTCGGCTTGTGTTGATCATCTATTTGTATTATATATTATTATTGGTTGGAGGATTCTTTTAGATATAATACACTCCCGGAGTTCATCATCTAAATTTCAAGGAGGAGGAACAAACACAATTAATTTATTCTAGTTTGAATTTTATAGTAGAATTAAATAATATAATGGGGAATTCATCATCAAATCGTGAAATTACACTAGTAGAGGAAAAGGATGTTATTAGAGTTGATTTTGAATTTCCAACTCCAATAGTTGGCGTTGATATGTCTCCGATTCTTCATGTCAAGTATCCTGGAACTTGTATTATTGAATGGTTTCGAGAGACAGAGGAATTAGATGCTCCTAAACGAGCTTCAATGTCTATCAATCAGAATGATCATTCTATAGACGATTCCGATAGTATTTCTCTATATAATGGGTTATGTTATGTTCCAACAAATGAGGATTTAACCTATAAACTTCGTTTAAAAATCATCTTATTTGACGATGAATATTACTTACAGACAGGTAAATGTTTTTGTAAGGAAATAATAACAAAACCTGTCATTCAAATGCCATCATCTGTTCCAAGAAGAACATTAATTATGAACCCAGATGAGAACATTCTCGATTATAGAGCTAAAACTAGGTTATTACTCACCTATTACAAACCAGATTTTTCATTTTCTGTTGGAAGTTACACCCTATCATATATTAAGCATGTTCTACATCCTGTTACAATACCCGAATTGGATTTTATCAAATACTCTGTGTATAGAAGAAGATTAATTTATAGAGAAATAATACAATCGGATGTGGATGTACTAGCTTTACAAAATATTTCTTCAGCGGAATATCATGAATGGAATTTGGATTTATCAAAGATTGGTTACTCTAATATCAATCATATTACAGAAATTGAAACAGGAAATTGCACCTTTTATAAGCGATCGAAGTTTAGTAGATTCAACGACACTAAAGTAACAGAATTGGAATATGACGATTCTGTATTCAAGACACTTGTCAGTACCCTTATGGAGATTGGAAACTTCACTGAGGATCAAATCAATTTGCAACAATTGAAAAGCATTGCTTCCCTCCATTCGGAAAGGATGAAGAGTGGTCTGCCATCCATTTGTAGTCTAGTCGAATTTGAGATGAAAGATAATGCAGAAATACTCAAAGTATTCAATCACGAGCTCAATGAAGACAAAAAAAACACCAAACTTAGGCCAAATATTCTCTTTGACCAAGTCAGCGTTTTATCCATCAATTTTTCTTTGCATTCACTGTATGTTATTGAGCAAGAAAGTCTAGGTGAGGAGGTCAATATGAAATTCCTCCTTCTTCAGATAATATCGTTATTCAGGAACATACGTTCATATATTGCATCACGAGTTCAGCAACAACCCAAGTTGCGTCTAGGTATCACCTTTTGTGGTAATATTGGTACAAATACCGAAGATACTATCTTACACAAGTATATTGAAAATCAATTTGGTTTCACCGATCCTTACAAGGTTATAACAGGAGATGAATTTAAATTCTTGTCCAATTTTGATCATACCAAGAAGTATAATAGTAATCATATTTGGTTTTCGAAAGAGCATTTCCAAACCACTTCTATTGTGTCTGGCACTGTTCAAGTTCCTCAATTATCAATTGTACCTCAAGACGATTCTGAAAATGAGTTGGCATTCCCTAATGAAAATTTTGTGTGTGAGGAACCAATGCTAAAATGCGAAATTCAATGGATTGATCCGTATGAAAAACTGGATCAATAATGTAATTTGTTATAAATTATTGAAATTATTTAATAATTATAATTGAGAAACCTAGAGGATTGATTTTATTTACATTAACCTAGTGGAAATATTTAAAATTGATAAAATTACAAATTCTTTCTAATGATTGAGGAGATGAAATGCTCACCAAATAAGTGATAATAATCAGTATTTACAATATTTAACTGACTTGATGGCAAGATGCTTGCAATCCAACTTGGAATTGCTTGATAATTCATGAGAGCTAACTCTTTCACTGATTTTGGAGATTCAAAAAGGCCATTTACCATCATATTCAAATCTGGAGTCATTAGAATTTGAGAAACAAATTTGTATTGGAAATTCGTTCTCGAATTCAATTCAGCAATAATTTCACTCTTCAATAAATTCATATTTTGCTTATTGGCCCATCTGGTGTCAATTCTCCAACTTGGAAAGAGATTATATGCATTTGCATAATTGATTACTGTTGTGGAATGGGAATAATAGAAGAAAACTCTTTGTGGACTACTCAAGATTTGATTAAGAGTAGAATTGGTACTAAAGTGAGCAGGATTAATCATCAATTCACTTCCTAAAATGGAACGACTCATATTCAAAAATTCCAAATGATCATTCTGAGTTGAAAATCCATACAAATGATTAAAATCCAAAGTAACAACTTCCTTCTTATTATCATTCAAAAATTGCTTAACTTGTCTCAACACATTAGCAATGGTGACACTTGCCAATCCATGACAAGCAACAAATTTCAACTCACTGCTAGAAACTCCACTCATCTTACAAACTCTCAAATCCAAATGTCTAATTCCTTGATTTAACTGTTGATAAATTGTGCATTCTTGATTCTTAAACCAAGGAGCAACAAATTGCTTAATTCTCTGCGTGTTCAATCCGTACGATGTGAAAATTTGGATCATTTGAGGAATGAGAGTCATGGATGGATCAGATTGTAAGTCAGAACTGTATTCCTGAGAGGACGAAACATTATAGGTGGCAGAGTCGTGAGTTGCTGGAATTTTAAGCTTGGTAATTTGAGTATTTCCAATTTTGGAAAGTAAATCTTGCATCCATCGATTACTTTTGACAGTTCCAACAAAAGATGAAGTGCTAAACGCAAGATCATAATGTCTTTTGCATAGTAAGGAACTGTCACTTGGATGGTGATGATGTTCGGCACCAAGGGTTGTCAATTGTCGTTTTAATTGCATGACCTTTTCCATTGTAAATTGTTTAGAAATTGTTTTAGGGATTTGATGTTGAATAATATCGGATCCGAATGTTTTACTTCTCAACATTGTTCCCACGAATGTATTCTTCAAGTTTCCGATAACTTTAGAGAAACCAGACGAAAGATTAATAGATTCAACTAGTATAATATGATGTTGGATAACAAGATAGATTATACAAATGAGGATCATCGATCTGAAATGTTGCACAGTAGCTTTCATTTTGTTTTTTATGTGTTTGTTATTTGAAATCTTGTTCAATAGAGTTTCTCTCATATTTATTCGAAATCAACATGATAAACATTTCAAATGTCAATGATCAGAATTCAAATTGAAATTACCGTAATTAAGGCAGAGCAATCGTTTTTCATAACACTTAAGGATGACAAGAAACATCACTTTCGAATAGAGAAGTAAAAATTGTGTTAGGAATGTTCAATTACTTGGATTTTTTCTTGAATGATCTGTTGAATGGTGACAGATGGAGTGTTTGCAAAGTATAGTTTTTGATTGTCCGATAAGGTAATACAACCTCTGTTTAGATTTTCAAGTTTCTTTCAAAGAGTTTACAATAGATTATTCGAAAGGGACGAATCTGTTTGAAATGATGGAAAATCATGTGATTTTGTATTACCATGATTATAATACGATTGTATTGTAGTAATTTTTGGTTATTGTTACCCTAAAATGGTTTTAATTGTTGAAAAATCGTATATTTTGAATCTATTAGAAAGTTGTAATTGAAAATAAAGATAAAATTTTCAAAGAAATATTTCAATCTTTAGCTGATTAAATATTAATATCTAGAATCTGGATTGTAACAAATTAATTTTCAGCCAACTAGAAACCGAATCAATAAAATGTCATCTATTCGAAAGTTCAAAAAAATGTTAAAACGTTTCGTCTATCTTTTCCTTCTGCTAACCATCACCCTCCCCTTCATCACACCTTCTCCCAAACAAAAACTTGATCTTTTACGTGGAGAAATGCAAAAAAATTCAATTTTTGCTTACATTATTCCAACGTCGGATTCCCACATGTCCGAATATGTTTCGTCTAGTGATCAGAGAAGAGCTTTTATTAGTGGATTTGATGGGTCGGCTGGAACTGCTCTGGTAACTATGGATTCGGCCTTGTTGTGGACTGATGGAAGATATTGGAAACAAGCCGAAAATCAATTAGATTCGAATTATTGGAAATTAATGAAAGGTGGAGTGGATGTTTCGTTAACAAGTTGGTTATCGGAAAATATGAAAGGAAATCAAAGTGTTGGTGTGGATCCTTTTTTATATTCGGTGGGTGAGTTGAAATTTGAATTTGAAAATTTATTGTAAAGATGAGTTTAAAAGTTTACAAAAAAGCTCAGTTCCAATCAAGGTTATTTATCAAAATTTGGTTGATTTAATATGGGAGAATAGACCACCTTCTCCAAATGGAACTATTTTCGAATTGGGAATTGAATTTTCTGGTCAATCAACAAGTGACAAACTTTCGAATATTAGAACAAGTATGAAAAGTAAGAATGTTAATTGTTATATAGTCACTGCTTTGGACGAAATTGCTTGGATTCTCAATCTTAGAGGTTCTGATATTGAATATAACACTGTATTCTTCAGCTATTTAATTATTACAATGGAAGAAGTGAGATTTTATGTTGACAAGTCAAAATTCAAAAGTTCTGACATTGAAAAACATTTGGAAAGTAGTGGAATTTCAGTTAGACTCTACACTTCGTACATTCAAGATCTTTCCCAATTGACACAACAATCAAGTTCAGTATTTATTGATCCAACCTATTGTAATTATGCAACTTATAGTTCCATAAAAAGTGAAACCATTCAGGAGGGAACTAGTTTCATTCGGTTCGAAAAGGCCATTAAGAATGATGTTGAAAGACAGGGATTTAGAAATTGTCATGTGAGGGATGGTCTTGCTGTTGTTCGTTATCTTGCATGGTTGGAGAATGAATTGAAATTAGGACATGTTGTCAATGAATTTGATGGAGCATTGAAATTGGAATCGTTCAGAGTTGAGGGTTCTCATTTCCTTCGTTCCAGTTTTGAAACAATTAGTGCCTATGGAGAGAATGCTGCCATAATTCACTACTCTCCCACTCGTGAGAATCATGCAAATATTGGAAATGATAATGTCTATTTATTAGATAGTGGAGGTCAATATCTTGATGGAACAACCGATATTACCAGAACTGTTCATTTTGGAGAGCCAAGTGAAAAAGTGAAAAGAAGTTTCACACGTGTTTTGCAAGGTCAATTAGCACTAAGCTCTTTAATCTTTCCAAGCGGCTTGGCTGGCGATAAAATGGAACCTATTGCAAGATTTGCCTTGTGGAAAGAAGGTTTAAATTATAATCATGGTTCTGGACATGGAGTTGGACATTGTTTGGATGTTCATGAAGGTCCTCATGGAATTGGGGTTCCTGGATTTGGATTTAAGGAACATTATGATGTCACTATAGAGCCAGGTTATTACGAAATTGGAAATTTCGGTATTCGTATTGAAAATCTCTATCTAGTAAGAAAAAGTCAAACGCCAAATAATTTTGATGGCAAGACATATTTAGAATTTGAACAAATTACATACTGCCCAATTCAGCCAACACTTGTAGATCCTGAATTGTTGAGTGATAAGGAGTTACAAGCTGTCAATGGGTATAATCAACAAGTATGGGAGAAATTGAGTCCACTACTTTCGAATGATTTATTGGCATTGAATTATTTGAAACGAAACACTCAACCAATTGATCTAAATAATTCAAGCAATTCCATTGTTACCATATTGGCCATTTCGCTAGCAACGATTTTGGTAATTTGTGCCTTTTCAATTATTGGAAATGTTTATTTTGCAATTAAAATTAGAAAGGAATCAAAAAGAAATGGAAGTCATCACCATAATGATGGTGAACTACAAGCATTAAGTGAAGATGGTTATTAATAAATCTTTTCATTTCACACTTCTTAAAACCTTCTTTCCTTTCTTTGAATTTCTGAAAGCTGTTTGGCTTTCTCAATCATTCCAATAATCGTTATTACACTGAAATTTGTTTTATCAGAAGATATCAAATTTAGCTGAATTATCAAGCTACTACAGTAGTCATTACCATGTTTATTACAAAAGTACTAACTTCAGTAGAGAAGAAAACAATTTATTTAAAGAGAAATCTTCCATTCAGCATTGAATAATGTCTTTTGTTGAGCTGGGAGAGACCAGGACCACAAAGTTCTTTGATTTCTTTGTTTCCAATGGCAGTCTACAATCCAAAACTTGCAATCTCTCCAAGCATAGTATGCTTCCAAATTGGCAGACATTGGTTGAGTTTGTAATTGAACATCAACTCCTACAGTACAGAGAGTACCATGGACATAACCTTGAGGAACTAAAGCTGCTTGGAATGAAGCATCCAATTCAATACCACCCTTAATAATGAGCAAGTCGATATCAGCTTGACCATCAATAGTAATTTGAGCAGAAGGAATAACTTCAACCATAGCGCTCAATTGAGCATCACAAATTTGCCATCCCCATTCAGCATCCAAACCAAGAGTAGCACCAGCACTGAAAGTGATTGGAACAATTGAAACCCAAACAGTGTATTCATAGTTGAATCCATTGCTAGTATGATAAAGTTGATAAGTGTGCAAGTTACAATCAATAAGTTGAGTTGGTAAAGTTTGTTGATAAACAACCTTGTCGAAAACACTCAAGAAGATGGTATTGTCTACAGTTTGTGCTCCTTGCTTACCATATGCAGCCTTGGCATCAAAAATACTGGCTTGTTTGGCACCTAAAACATCAACATTGGCATAGGCTTCAATTCTTCCATCATAGTTAAAGTTTGGATGATTACAATCAAAGTTGGTTCCAACAAAGAAATCACCGTGCAAATCAACAGAGACAGTATCACCACCAAGGTTATAATCTTTGGTAATTGAACGATTGTATGGGTATGGAGAGTCATCGAAAGTGAGCTTACTTGATGGAATGGAATACTTCTTGGCAAAGGCCTTCATAACCATTCTGAGAGCAGATCTTACTTGTTGATTCTTTTCAGTGGCCAACAATTTAGAAACGACTGGAAGAACATCTTGTGGCTTGAAAATGGTTTCAGCATTGTAGATGGCACCGAGAATAGAGACAGCAATTGATGAATCAGATTCCTTTGTAAGAAGAGCAGAACGATCGAGCATTTCGAGCAAGGTGGAGGCAGCGTCCTTCTTGACTGAAGCTGGAGTAGTTGATCTAGAAACCAAAGAACCAAAGGCTAATAATGCAGCATCTCTGAGAACTGGATTAGAATCATAATATTTACCAAACATGGAATAAATCTTACGAATGGATGCAGCAGTTGGTTGCTTCATACCAGTGTTAGCAGACAAGAGAGAGTGGAAGAGCAAATCATTGGCGATCTTTGGTTCAATACCATCGAATGATGCTTCAATAAATTCAGAGAAGAATAAATCTTCAAAATTCTTGGCAGAAGTGAGTAAGAAAAAGACCTTATCTCTCATTTGCTTATTGTTGGCTTGCTTAAGGTTGGTAATATACTTCATCAAGGTAGTCTTGGCACTGGCCAAAGTTTCAATAACCTTTGGAGCAGAGCTGTCAAAGAACTTGGCGAGCTTCTTCAAATCCTTGTGATGAGCAATTAATGGCTTTGGTGAGTCCAAAATGGTTGAGATCATTTGAATAGGATCTTCCTTGAGCATTGGCAATTCATAATTAATTGACTTCAATGAAGCAATGGTACTCTTGGCAACTTCGAACAATGAACCCTTCTTGAATGAGGCATTGTTGATTGGAGAAACCTTGTTGAAAGCAGTAATAACTTGTTGAGATTGCAAAGCAATATTCAAAGAACCAGCACTTCTCATATTCATATCAAAACCAGTACTATTGGTGAGTCCCAACTTGGCACCAAGTTGCATGGAAGCAATGTTGGTGATTTGAGAGGTAGTAGTAGAGGCAATATAACCATTTGGATGGACAGCAGTTTGAGCAGTAGCTTGAATGTCGACATTGTTGGCAGTAACTTGAGCATCACTGAATGATCTAAAGTTTTGTTGAGTGAATTGCTTGTTAATATTCAACATGGCAGCTGGAGCAGCTTGATAGGCACTAGTGTGGACACCAACACAATCTTGTTCCAAAATTGTGGCAGTACTTTGGGTGACATAGGTCTGGAAGGCACTAATAGCTGACAATTTAACATTGACAAAATATGGAGAATCGCCATCTTGATAATAAACTTGAGTAATTTCACCTGTTGGAAGTTGAATAAAGTACATGTCATAACCAAGAGCAGAACTATCACTAGCACCAAAAGTCAAGGTTGTCTTGGCATTGGCAATCTTGGTATCCTTGTTAATCAAACTGACACGAGAAGCACGAGCGTGTTCACTAGTTTGACCAACACCAACTTGTGTATTGAACATGTTAGCAACAAAAACAAATGATCCATCCTTTTGAATTTCATTACATCTGTGAACATAGACAGAGTCGAGAGTAGAAGTGGTTCCATTAGTAAGAGAGTTACTCTTTTGAACATTTCCTCTGGCATCAACAGTACCATGAAGATTAAAAACAAATTCCTGACCGACCTGGTAGGATAATTGTGAAGGGAGTGCTGAAATGGCTTGAACCATCATGATGATCGCCATCAAGACAACAGCAACACCACCATACAAACCGACGCGATTAAAGTTCTTCATATTTTGAGAGCAGCGCTTGATAAATAGAGCGCAGCGGCAGGTTAGTGATTTTTTTTTCTGATGATTTTTTGTCAGGTCGCACTACCTTGCAGCGTTGATATTGAGGTGGAAGGTTCGTTATGATATTTAAGAAAAAAGATTTTTTGAAAAATCAATGGCTTTGTTAGGTGGTTGATGGCAATTTACATGAAATAATGCATTAAGGCGTTGTTGTTGTGGAATAATTGAATTTGATACGGATGGATATGCTTTTACTGTAATCTTTGGATTAAAAGTTCTTATTTAGAAAAGCGCGAGGATGATGAATATTCCAAATTCTTAATGTTGTGTAAATTATTCGGTGATGAAGAGAGAAAAAAATGGAAGAACGAGAAAGAAGGATGAAACTCTTAATGTTCAAACATGAAATTTATTCTTCGTCATCTTTGCGACAATCGGAGTTGAAGAGTCTTATACAACAACGAATTAAAAATTATTTAAAAAGTAGAATTGAAAGGAAGCAACCTGTTGATTTGGATCATCCAGAGAATAGGGAATTTATTGATGAATTGATGAAGGAATTTTTCAAATTGGATTAATATTAATTTGTATAAATCAATAATGGACAAGAATAATAACGAAGGAATTATTTAAATTTATATTGATGACATCATAGTGATGAGAATTTAAAAATCCATTTCATACAAATCAGTTAACATGTTCATGATAATTTCAAAGGATGGTCTTGCACTTGGTTCGGTGGCCCAACTCATTTTCATAATATTAACATAACCATCGACTGCGGAGAGGAGTTGATGAGCATTACGAGGATTCATTTCTCGTAGAAACTTTTCACACCATGTGGTCATTTCATTCCAATCAACGAATGGTATGATTGGTCGTTTTTCTTGATTAGCTACAAAGAAGAGCAAGTTGAAGGCCTTGATTTTCTTTTGATCCAAACTCACATGATTGAAATAATTAATCTTTTCACATGTATCATTCCAATAAGGGGTTTCCTCAAAGAAGAGTTCCCACATTATTATTGCATATGCATAGACATCCTAAATTGAACGAATAATATTAATATTTTAGAATAGATTGCTAAAACTTACAATTTTCTTGGCATTCTCTTTGGAAAGTGCGGATGAGGTCTGTTCATTATCTTCTTCAAGAATTAATTCAGGACACCTTTACAAATATTGAAATAATTAAATGGATATTCTAATATTATTACTTACATGTATAATAATGTTCCAATATTTGCAGTTAATGATGTTGTCAAGGTATGATTTGAGACTGTTCTAGATAATCCAAAGTCACACACTTTTGGATTATCATTATAGTCTAGAATAATATTAGCAGGTTTTAAATCTCTGTGAATGAGATAGTTAGGTTGTAATCCATGCAAGTATTTCATCCCATTTGCAATACCAATCAGAATTTTTAGCTTTTCCTTCAAAGTCTTCTTGACAGTTCCTTTCTTCATATTCTTGATAAGTCTCTCCATACTTCCATTCTGAGCCAACTCTACAACCATGTAGGATTGAGTTTCAGAAATACAAATTCCATAGAATGAAATAATATTCACATGTCTGAGTTGTATCAGAACCATTACTTCCTTCTCGAACATGTCATTACTACCCTCCTTTCGAACAATGGTTTTCACAGCAACATCCATCATATTCCATTTGGCTTGATAGACAGATCCTGAGGCACCTTCTCCAATTTTCTTTTCAAATTTCAGTTCATTTGCTGGAATTATGTAATTGGCATTCTTTTCAATATCCACAGAATGAAGGGATCCATAATCAGAGTACGAGACATCATAGGTAAGTAGTTTTTCTTCGATTTCCTTCTCTGATTTTTCTCGAACATAGACTTTCTTGATCTTTTTGTAAACTCTCCAAATTGAAAAGGCAAGGAATGAACAAGTGCATGAGCCAATAACGATACCAATAATCATCACCAATATTGAGGCAACAACAATGACTGGTATGACCTGACTATAGGGAAAACCAAGTTGACACAGTCCATCCTTAATGATATAATCCACCTTGCAAGGAACCAAGTGAACACGTACAAATTTAGTTGTTGCAAATGGGAGTCTTAATTTGAGAAAAAAATAATTATCTTTTTTGAGATCTATGGATTCTTTCTTGAGTGAAATGTGAAATCCAACAATATTCGAAAAATTGGTCTGGTTTACATGCACATCAAAGTTTGAGCTCGATAAAGTATCGTTGATTTCTATAATGGCACTTTCTAACAATACAGGTACATTATTATTTACACCATCAGTCATTTGAGAAAAGTAAGCAGATACTACTTGCCCCGGATAGACATAAATTGATTCATAAGTGTCATCTGATTTCAATTCCAATCTATCTAGTGAAAGATTGTATTGCCTTATTGAGGTGGCAATATCATTTCCGTATTGATCTGCACTATTATATTGAACATCAGGCATATTTTCAATAAAAGCATACCCTTCAATGAATATTCCTCCTCCAATAAATGCAGAGTTCTCTTCCATCATAGGAGAGTATATTCCAATATTTTTTCCATTTGTGAAACAGGCACCACCTCTAAGGGCTGAATTGAGTAGAAATGTTGATTTCGTCATAAAGCCATGCGTATTGATTAGTGATAGGGCTCCTCCACTTCCCTCAACGAAATGACCAGACTTGAAACGCTGTTCCTCCGCTGGTGATAGAACAATTCTATTATTTACAAAACTAGTAAGAAGTAAACTAGCTGCCAAAGTAGTATTTCGAATATAGAGTGCACCACCTGCCAGTGTTGAATTATTTGAATGAAAAAGTGTCGATTCAATTCTAACTGCATAATTTCCATCCATTAATACGGCTCCTCCATTTCCATTTTTTGCTGTGTTATTGATAAATCGTGATCCTAGAATGCATGAAGATGTAGAGACAGAGAGGAGTGAAATGCTACCTCCACTCTTGAATGAAGTATTGTTGAAAAATCTGGAGTTTTTCACAACAACTACATCAGAAGAATCAATAAGTATAGCACCTGAATGTTTGGCCTTGTTTTGTTGAAAAAAGCAATCAACCACTTTGACCTCCTGACACAGATAGAGAGAAACCACTGATTTTGCATTCATTGAATAATTGTCTATGAATGCAGAACGTACAAAATTGACTGTTCCCACTGAAATCCAATCTATCCATCCATACTCTCTCTTTCCAGAAAAATTACATTTGGTTATAAATATCCGAAAGACAAGGTTTGCCTTAATAGCTGAAAGTTCGGCTGGGTCGCCGGCATCTTCCTTTGGATTCTTTCTAATATGATTCCGTAACGGAACATATGTAAAATTGCAATGATTAATATCTGCCTGAACGACAGATCGCAATGTCAACTGTGAATTCTTTGAAAATTCGAATTGGCAATACGAAAACTCGACACTTTCTGCATGTGCAACTAATATAGTAGGACCAGCACTATCTACATCCAATTTGGCTGAAAATTTGGTCCTATTAAACAATACCCTTTCAGCTCCCATTATCATTATATCTGAATCAGTTACACAATTTTCCATTTCAATATTTCCATAATTCATCTCAATAACCGATCCAATAATTCTCGAATTAGAAAGTCTAAATCTATAGTCCATACTACTAAAAATTTTCACCTGATAAAAATCAACATTTGAAGCTTCCATACATGGCGTAACCATATTAATTGCCTTCATATTATGAAACCGTATATAGGAAATAACACTTGATGAATCAGTTATAAAACCATCTGTATCATAAAAGCATCTAATGAGTCGAGGTGAAGCATTGTCAAAACTCTTCACTAACACATTAACTCGAATAAATTGCCGAATCGATCCATCAATGGGTGGAACTCGAGCAAGACATGCCCTTCCACCACTTCTATCCAAATCAGCTAGATCAGTCATTAGAATTATATTAAACAAAATTTCAAAGCATTCACCCTTTCTTCCTTCCCTAGTAGAAATTGAGGATAATGAAACCATGGCAGCTGACATGTCCTTACATGCATTCTCAGTGGTTGATCCACAATCAAGAATTGATGTATAATTTTCCAAATTTACATGAATATCAAAACTAATTGGAATATAGGAAAAACATGTTTTCACTTTTGTAAAATTTCCATTCGTTCGGTTTAATCCCAAATTAGAATTTGTTTCGTCTAATATTCTATTTAATCTTGTTGGTTTATAATTTTTAGAGTACCTAGGGGTGTTGTATTTTAGAGAAGATGATCCTTTCAATTTTTTACTTTCTCTAATGGTTTCTATTAGTTTCGTTTTATGTACAAAATTCGATTTTTCAAATTGTCGTATTTCCAACTCCGAAAAAGTAGAAAAACAATCATCATTTGCAATATTTAAACTACTAAATATTAATAAAAGTAACATTATTATCGTTATCCTAAAAAATTGTTCCGAGACTAGTTTCGTCCTTGATGTTCTTTCGTATAAGAAATAGAAAGTTGTGTTTCGGTGATGGTAACTTTCTATTTCTTCTCGTCCAAAGAACCTCCAATTCATAGTTTCCTTTCCATAGAGTTGATGTTATTTTTTTAATGTCTGTTGTCGAAAGTGTCTGACGTCTGTTTTAGGATTTCTTCCAATAAGAAATGCTCACACTCAAAAACAAGAAACAAAGATACAAAGGAAAAAAGATATTTTCCAAAGAATCTTGAACAATCATTTAACAAAAAAGGTGTAGGAAGACAGGGAATCGAACCCTGATCTTAGGAACCACAATCCCATGTTCTACCACTGAACTATCTCCCTTGTTAATTTGGTAAAGAAGGGTTTTACAACTATTAGACAAATAGATCTTTGTGTTTATTGGGAATTAATCAAGAAATTGAACATGCTGTTTCTGATTCGAATATTTTGGTATCTTTTTTGACCACCTTAGCTAATAGAATCCTTCTTTCTGAATACTTGGAATGTCCTTCGAAAAAGTATCCCTTTTCAATTGCTCTTTCGACAACTGTTTGAATGTTAATATTCTTCTTACAGCTTGTTTCTATAATTTCATAATTGCAACTTCCAAAATTATTCAATAGTTCGATAATTTTCTCCTTAACATGCTCTACATTTAGCGTGGAATCATATTCCAAACGGTCAATCTTGTTAATGCAAATTGTTAGTGGAATAGATTCGTCATCATGAATATAAATAATTGATCTAAAGATTTTTTGTAAAATATTGTAATCATCTTCTTGAGAATTCACTGAAAATAGTATAATATATCCTCTAGCTCCTCTCAATTTGGCTATCAATGAAAATCATTGATTCATAAACAATTTAGATCATTAAACTTACATTCATGAAACATGTAATAATCATTTCTGAAACCATTTTCCCAAATTTCCAATTTCAATTCTGTTTCATTAAATTGAACATTCTTATAAAATACTTCATCCAACGAATAATCATATTGTTCATTGAATTGATCATTTAAATATCGATTGATGAAGGAATGAATACCTGACCCTCCTGGTCCACTAACACAAAGTTTAAAAACATCTCTTTTCGAATAGGGATCTGAAATTGAAAATTGGTCCTTTCTCCTCCTTTCTGCCTCCTTCAAAATTCCAAAAATTCTCTTATTCGATTTCATCTTTAATTTCTCCACAATTTCGTCTTTCTTTTTCCAATGATCATGCACATTAATTGAATTCACCACTTCTCGTCCATTCTTCACTTCCAATCGGAGATTAATAAATTGAAACAAAATAATCTTCCAATAATTTTCCAATAAATTTTGAAAATTTTCTCCAAATTGTTTAGAAATTAATTCCAAGTTACATAAATTTTTGATATTTTTCTCTGATCGGGCGAGGAGTGGATTTGCAATGATGAGAAATTCGAGAATGTGCCGTAAAAGTTCAGGAGGAAGATCAGTTAGGTGATGTTGTGGAGGCATTTTTTTTTGTAAGTTTCGTATTTTCAAGTTTCGAATGTAATCAAGATGTGTGAAAATAGATGAATTATTGTTAGTATGTCAATATTTGATAAATTAATCAAGTTTATGCAAAGATAACAAGACATTTGATGTTTTAGTAAAAGGAGCTTGAATCCGAGATATGTCAAAGTAGTACAACAAGTGAAAGACGTTTTTATCTATCTCTAATTATTACAAGCAACGTTTACTTCAACTAATACCTCCAAACTATTATATTCCCCAAATATTCAATGTAGTTCGTTTCGAATAACCCTTCGTATAATCTTTTGGATTAATAGAATTAAACAATAATACATCACCCCTTCAAATGTTTCATCAATTGGTTGATTGATGTCATACAGACAAAGAAACAAACTCAAATCCAATTGTGTGTCATTGCCAAATGTAAATATTACAATCATTTCGACATCTTTCGAATAAAATCTTGGTTTATTGATGGTAATAACCTACCAGAAAGTAATCAAAAGACCTCAATTGATGGCAAGTTTAGCCATAAACCAACATCTCAATACGCTAGTAGGATACCAAAATTGCTAAAGTGCCAAAAAAATATTCGAAACATCTTCATTATCTGAAACTTGTTTATCCTCAAAGAAAAAAAACTCAAAAAAACAAATCAACAACAACATGAACAGCAGCATTCTATCCAATGAGAGTGTCGACTCTCGAACCCACATTGAGCTGTCAACTAGTCCAACAAGTATCTCCTCACCTCGAAATGTCAACCAACAACAATCATTCAAAGATAATTCACCACCACAATCTGCAAGTGGCACACACTTTGTAACTCAACCAGAATCTACTGTTTATTCATCGGCAACTGGAAAGAAGGATTCGAATAATCGTCAGTCAACTAAGAGTGAACAATCTTCGATGAAAACTCCAAGAAATTCATCGGCTACTGGGTTTAGATCTAGGACATTTAGATGGTATACATGTTGTGGTGTATTGGAAATGAATTGTTTAAAGTTGACAAGTTTAGTTGCGTTGGTAGTTAGTTTAGTTTCGTTTGTTGCTTTACTCGCCATTATTTCAGTTAATTATTCGATTGCAAGGGACTATCAACTCAAGCTTGCAAATTTGAGTACTTCTGGTACTTTTTACAGAGAATTAATGAAGCTGTCATGTAGAGCAGCTGTCACATCAAGTTACAACAAGACATTGTCATTAGAATTTGCCACAACTTACAATCAATACTTTACAACCTATTATTCTGATTTGGGTAAGCTCGTTGCTACTGTTCCACCATCCATTCTCTATTGGAATAAGATGAATATTACAATGGAAGAGCTCAAGTCAAGAAAAGCTGTCAGAATGGAACTTGCCATGATTGCAAATGTCAAAACTGGAAATTATTCAACAGCTTTGGCAAGTTTGGAATCTGATACATATAAGGGCTATTTAACTGGTTATCAAGAAGAAGTTCAAAGCTTTATTAATTATGCAGAAGACATGAAAAGTGACAATGAAAAAATGGATTTGACAACCACAACTGTTTCACTAATTGTCATTTGCATCTCACTAGTCATTGTCATTCCAATTCTCCTAGCATTTATGATATTGAGCTTGAGAAAGGACGATACCAAAGAGAAACAACTCAGACAAGTCAAGAAATACATGATTATGGACACAATTAATGATTCTTCATTGGTGGAAAAGTTTAAGGAATTTTGTAAACAAGAACGAAGTGAAGAGAATTTTGTGTTATTGGAAAAGATTAATGAATATAAGAAGTTGTGTGAAAAGAGTTTTGATATTCAAGTGGTGCTGTATGATACTGGTGATGCTTTGAGTATTTCAGATGTAGTTTCGGATACTACTGCTTCAAGTCAAGATGAATCGACTAAAAAGAAGAATAAGCATAAGAAGGGATTTACAGAGAAGGATTTGCAAGATATTGAAAAGAAGAAATTCGAAATTGCATTCGAAATTTATTCAGAATTTTTAGATATTCAAGGAGATCATGCTGTGAATATTAGTAAGCAATTTGCTGATGTTGTCAAACTTAGTTTAGATTCGTTTGCTAAGGGTGAGAATGAATACATGCCAGAAACTTTATTCGAAAGTATTGAATACGAAATGTGTTTATTAATGATGGATACTCATCACAGATTTAAACAACATATGGAAGTTCAATTGAAACAAAAGAAACAAGTCCTTTCAACATTGAAAAGAAAACCAAAAAAGTAAAAAAAGTAAAAGTTCAAATTCAATATTCTAATATTCTCGCCAAGCATCAACGATTTCCTTTCTATAAAATCCTTGATTGATAAATTCATTTCTCAATTCCCTTGAGGCATAATTTAATGCAATTCTATGAATTTCGTCTGATTTAATATTAGAATCCTGCTTGATTGCTTCCAAAACAACTTGTCTATCATTTCTCAGTTCATCTGATGCAAATAAAAGTGACATTCCACATTGTTTGACAGCTTCCAGAACTACTTCCTTATCATTGCAAAGTAAGTTGTCAGCAAAACGTAATGACATTCCATTATTCTTTACAGCTTGAATTACAATTTCCTTATCGCTACGGAGCTCGTATAAAACATATTCTAAAGCCAGTCCATTATGTTTCACTACTTCCATAACAAGCTCCTTATCTTTCCTAAATTCCATAGAAATTTGTGAGAGCATACTTGTGTTAAGTTTGACAACTTGAATAATGAACTCCCTATCGTTTTGTAATGAGACAGAAGCATGATTGAATGGTATACTATAAGAGGTAATTCCTTGCAATACAATTTCCTTATCATTGTAAAGTTCAGTCGTTTCTAAACATAAAATACCTCCATGTTGCAACCTAGCCAAAATAATTTCTCTATTCCTTTGCAAATCTGCAGAAGCACATTTAAACTCATTTTGATGCAATTTGACTGCATTCAATACCCATTCTTTATCGTTTCTTAACTCAGAATATGAATCTCGATGAAGATAGCACCCATTGGTCTTGAGAGCTTGTAAAAATTCTCTGTCGTTTCTAAATGCAATGGAAGCGTTATTGAATGCGTTCTTGTCTGATTTAATTGCTTGTAAGACTATTTCTAAATCTTGTTTCAACTCAATGGGTGCATAAGCAAGCACAGCAACGTTCTCTTTGATGGCTTGTTTTATAAATTCTCTGTCATTTCTTAAAGATTCACTGATATATTCAAAAGCTGTTTCATTCTGTTTTACAGCTTGAAGGGCAACTTGTCTATCATTTTTCAATTCATCAGAAGCATATCGCAGTACAGAACCATCTCTTTGAACAGCATTTAAGACGATTTCTCTATCACTCTTCAGCTCCTCTGAAGCAAAATAAAGGGACATACCCTCCATCTTAACTGCATGCATAATAATCTCTCTAGTATTTGTAATATCTTCACTTTCATCTCTAAGGACACTATCCACGCATTCCCACCTGATAGGTTCCCTTGCTGTTGAAAGAATCTCAATAACAAACTCTGTAGTTTTCATCTCATTCGGTAAATCTTCAAACCCATAATAAGGTGATCCTGATATTCTAAGAGCATTTAGCATAAAGTCCTTATCACGTTTCAAATCATTGGATGCGCACTGTAAAACACCACTTATAGATTCAGTTCCAATCTCCCAATAAATGTCTTCCATGACCAGATCTTTATCATTTCTGAGCTCCTCTCCACAAAATCTCAAAGTAGAACCAGTAAATGGACACCGTATTGCTTGGAGCACAATTTCTCTATCATTATGAAAATGTGGAAGGTGTTCCAAAGCTAAATAACCACTCCTTTTAACAGCAATTAAAACCACTTGTCTATCATGTTTCAATTCATCAGATGCGAATTTTATCGCATATCCATCTTGCATAACTGCTTTCATAACAATTTCCTTATCATTTCTCAAATCTTCAGAGAGAAACTCTAATCCTAATCCAAAATGTGAAACAGCAGTCAGGGCTATTTCTTTGTCGTTTTTCATTTCATCAGAAACTAAATTCATTGCATACATGAGGTATTTCACAGCTTGCATAATAAATGTCTTGTCGTTTTTTAGCTCACTACTTGCAACTTCCAAGGCACTCCCTTTCAATTGAACAGCTCTCAACATGAAATCTCTGTCATTGAGTAACTCTTGACTTGCATAACGAAGTACACCCGAATGGCATTTCCTGATTGCTGTGTAAAATAGCTCTTTATCATTTTGCATTTCCTTCGATGCAAGTGCTAGTATTCTACCATTACTATCTCTCAGAAGAAATTGATAAACAATCTCTCTATCATGACTAAACACAGAGTTAATATTAGAATAGGAGCATCCTGATTGAACAGCAGCTAGTGTTACATCTCTGTCTTGTCGTAAGTCAACAGAAGCGAATTCAATCAAATCTCCATCAAATTTAACTGCTCTAAGAACCATTTCCTTATTATTTCTCATCTTAAATGGACAATATTCCAAAAATCTTGGAAATAGTTCAAAACCCTCCATCACAAACTCTTCATTCTCCCACAAATTTAACTTTTCACAAATGAGTTTAAATTTCTCTCTCTCAAATAGATACAAATCAAAGAGTTGCCGATAGATATATTTCTTGTCCCTAATCCAATCAAGAAAGGCAATGATTATTCTTGTCTCGAAACTGTCATTATTCTGCCGACTGTTGGTATCATAACTATCATCAAACCTATCCTCATCATGATTTAAATTATTTAAAGCATTAATAAACTGTTTAGTTTCCTCTTCCATCCTTTTTTCAATAATCATATTAACAAGGGATAAAAGTGTTTGGAGGATTAAACGAGACTTTTCTTTCGGTGCCGAGTCTCTGATTTTGAAAATTAATAGATTGGATGAAAAGGTTTCGTCCAATTTACAAGTTGTCATTTTTTTTTGTAAAATATTCATCTAGATTCGTATCATTTTTAAATTTGAGATTTGTGTAATCTTGCTCCGACTCTTACTGTTGAATATCCCATACACCTCAAATTGAGAACATCCAAAAAAGGACTTGTGCGGAAGGATGGTCAAGTTGACAAGAGGCAATTCGCGAAACTCGTGCAGTAACATTATTTCAAAAAAAATGAGGCCTTTGTTATTCCTTGTACTCCTTGTTATCTTGCAAGTTAGCTTGTTGCATGTTAATGCTATTCCTCAAATAACAGCAATTACCAAATTGACTTCAGATTTAAAAATTACAATTCAAGGTCAATACTTTACACAAAAACCAAATCAAAAACCACTTCTGTATTGGCATGCTGACTTTGGCATACTCCCATCAATAGAATTTGGTAGAAAATCTAATTGGGACAGTACTTTTGGTGGTGATCTGGTCAACTCTACCACTCCAAATGTGGTCATTTCAAAGGGATCAAGAAGTGCCATCAGACTTGATCATGGGACAAAGGAAAGTGCCATTCTCTCTCTTGTTGAATTCAACTCTTCCCAACTCTACGTATGGAGAAGAAGATACGATGCCTTTTCATTGGAAAAGGACAGAGCTATCAGAACAAGATATATCAATGCCAAAGCATTGAATGGATATAACTCAACTGTTGTTACTACAGGCATGTGGATGACCACATTGGATAAATCAATTTGGGCTCAGGTCAACTATGCACCAGCTGGTGCAGCATTCTATTCAGCAACTGTTGGAAATATTAACAATGATGCAACTGTAACAGTGCAACGCATTCAGACTGGCACTCCAATCTTATTCTATGGTGAAAATGATGTCCAATTCTCAACACCACTCATCAATGCGACAGCCAATGAAGGCACAGGTGTCTACTTTTCTTTCAATCACAAAGTTTTTAGATTGTGGGTTGAGTATGGAGTGGAACCAATTAATGTCTATATGAGTCTTGATAAATATGGAATGGTGGAAGTGGAACATAGTGTAGATGGACCATTCTTGAGATCAACCTGGATGAATAAGATCCAACCAGCTGAACGTAGATGGGTAAATGAAGAATTTCAGTATCAATCTAATAGTGTTAATGAAATTGATGGAAAATTGCACTTTTGGCAGGATAATTTGAGAGCTTGGAATGAAAGTAAGAGATTTCGGTTTAGAACAACTTCAAGACCAAATCCATTCAAACAAGTATATCAAACTCAAGTCTCTAATGGAGCTCAAATTAATTCATTCGAGTATTTTGACTCGCTCTATATTGATGAAACTTGGCATCGAGTTTTGATAGGAAACTCATCTGTTTATTCCAACTGTACTAAACTGGAATTGATAGTTCCAAACAAGTGGAACGAAACGACCATTGAAGGAACTTTGAGATTGGGAGAATTTACAGACACTCCTCTCAATCAATTGTTTGTTTATGTCCTTGATGCAAATGGTGTGGTCAATAGAAATGGTTTCAATTTGGCAGTTTCAAACCAACCCACTTCATCAGGTCTAGTTGTAGTTGGAACTTTATCTAATACCAAAAGAGTCAATTCCATTGTTTCTCATGCTAATCAATTGGTTTCTTCATTCGCATTCCTGATTATCATGTTCTTTTTAATAGATTTGCAGCTCGCTGTTGCTGCTGTTTCATGTTGGTTTTTTTAAGGAATGTTTTAAGGGTTGGTCACTGAAAAAGTCAAAGATAAAGTGTAATACAAAACAACAAAAACAGACGGACACACTCATTAATTGCTCATATATACTCGTGAGCAATGTCTTACAAGCCTTAATGAATGGGTAGTAGGTATAAATTAAATATCTTTCTCTCTTGAGTACATTATTGCATTGACAGTTTTCTTACTTGTCCAATGGAGCAGTGATGATGAATTTAGCATTATATTGGATGGAAAACAATGATGATGGTTTTGGTGAACTATCGGATGATGGAACACCAACTTGTGATTTTCCATCATGAAAAATAAATTCCATAATTTCATGATGAAGAGAATAAAGGTTCAATTATTCATTGACTACTCAACTCTGTTACAAAACTTGATTGATTTGAGAGATTGTAATTAAAGCTCTCAAATATGGACATTCAAATGATTAAACATGGAACACAACCATCACTTTTCATTAAAATTTTGTGGTCAATTAGTGAACGACATGAAAGAAAAAAAATAACAGAGCTTCAGTTGAACTCTCCAAGAGGATTTTACACAATGACTGCTGGCTCCTCCTCTCTATTGTCGTTCCTATTTCTATTTGTGATTTGCTGTTCTCTAATTCACCAATTGAGTGCACTTTCTTTTAACAATATTTCAACAATTGTTGGAGGAGGAAGTTTTATTGGTGATGGGTTGATTTCAACCAATGCCTTGCTGAACTATCCATCTGGTATGGCCATGTATAATGGTGATTTATTAATTGCCGATTCGTTTAATCACAGAATTCGAAAGGTTTCGTTTTCAAGTAGTGGCGTTATTTCAACAATTGCTGGTATTGGTTCTTCATCATTTAGTGGTGATGGCGGTTTGGCAATTAATGCAGAGTTGAATTTTCCAAGTGGTGTTGCTGTTCATTCTAATGGTGATGTCTATATTGCAGATAAGTCTAATCATGTTATTAGAAAGGTTTCGGCTCTCAATGGAAAGATCACAACAATTGCTGGAATTGCAGGTGAAACTGAATTGAACAAGTACAGTAACTCATTAGCAACAAATACCACACTGAATTCTCCACAATATCTTGCCGTCAATTCTTCAACTGCAGAAGTCATCATTTCAGATACAAATAACAATGTTATTCGAAAGGTCTATCTTAATGGAACTATTGTAACAATTGCTGGAGTTTATGGAAGTTCTGGATACTCTGGTGATAATGGCAATGCAGTTTCTGCCAAACTCTTCAATCCAAAGGGAATAATCATCAACTCAATTGGTGAAATTATTTTTGCTGATTCTAGAAATCACAGAATTAGAAAGATTTCTACAAATGGAAAGATTACAACAATTGCAGGAACTGGAACTGCAGGATTGAGTGGGGATGGTGGTTTGGCTACAAGTGCCAAATTGAATTATCCAAATAGTGTTGCATTGGGTTTGAATAATGAGATTTTGATTGTTGACACTTTGAATCATCGAATTAGAAAACTATTCTCAAATGGAACAATTATTTCAATTGCTGGGAATGGAACTACTCAAGGTTTTTCTGGAGATGGTGGTAATGCTTTGAATGCCTTGTTAAATTTACCAAATGATGTTGTAATGACATTGAATGGTGAATATTTCATTTCTGATTTTGGTAATCATAGAATTAGAAAGGTTTCCAATAGTGGAATAATTTCAACCATTGTTGGTACTTCAAATTTTGGAAATATCATTCAAGGAGGAAGTGCTTACGTCCTCCCAACTGGCAATCCAATTATTTATTCCACTAAATATCTTGCATTTGCTGACATGAGAGGAAAAATCAGTCAAATTGACTTGACAACAAGGATTGTTTCATCTGTAATTTCAGCTCCTCTTCCTTCTGCAGTTGGTTATAAAAGCAAACTTCATGCCATGTATCTTGATTCCTTTTTAGGAAGTTTAGCAACCAAGATTACAGTGGTTGCTGGAACAGGAAAATTGGGAGGATATGCTGGAGATGGTGGCTTGGCTACAAGTGCCAGAATTCAAAAACCAACTTCAGTAGTGTTGAATGATCAAAATCTCTATATTGTTGACACTCTGAATCATAGAATTAGAAAGGTTTCATTGACATTTGGCAACATTACAACAATTGCTGGAATTGGAACTGCAGGCTTTTCTGGAGATGGTGGTTTGGCTACAAAGGCTAAATTGAATTATCCTACACATATGGCTATCAGTGCAAGTGGAGAAATTTTCATTTCTGATAATGGAAATCAAAGAATTCGTAAAATTGCGACAAATGGAAAGATTTCAACAATTGCTGGAAATGGAATTGTTGGATTTAGTGGTGATAATGGATTGGCTACTAAAGCTACTTTCAATTCACGAAATGGTATTGCAGTTGCTTCGAATGGTGATGTGTATGTTGCTGATACTAGAAATCATCGTATTAGAAAGATTTCAGTTTCGAATGGTTTCATTTCAACATTTGCAGGAAATGGTTCAGTGGCCTATCAAGCTACATTTGGTGGAGATGGAGGATTGGCTGTTAGTGCCAAGTTAAACCTTCCATACTCTGTTGCAATTAATAATGCAACTAATGAGGTCTATATTACTGATTCTGGTAATCATAGAATTCGAAAGGTTTCTACCAGTGGAATTATTTCCACTATTGTAGGAACAGGAAGTGCAGGATTTTCTGGAGATTCTGGGTTAGCCATTAATGCTAAACTCAATTTACCATACTCTATTTCAATTAATGCATTGGGAGAACTTTTTATTTCTGATCAACTCAACCAAAGAATTCGTAAGGTTTCCACTACAAATTATATCACAACCATTGGTGGAAATGGTGGTATAGGTTTTAACGGTGATGGGTTATCAGCCACAAGCACTCAATTGAAATATCCATTTGGAATTTCAGCTAGCTCCACTGAGGTTTATTTTGCCGATTCTCTAAATAGTAGAGTTAGAAAGATTTCCAATGGAAAAATTACAACAATTGCTGGAGGAATTGGTGATGGTTTAGCAGCTACAAGTGCGTATCTCAATTCCAACTCTTTCACAACTACTCCGAGTGGCGAATTCATTATTGCCGATTCAAACAACAATCTTATTCGAAAGATTTCAACAAGTGGTATAATTTCAACCATTGCTGGAACTGGAGCTGCCACTTTTGGAGGAGACAATGCAAATGCCACCATTGCTAAACTGAATAATCCATTAAATGTTGCAGTGAGTTCGAGTGGTGAAATCTTCATTGCCGACACCAACAACCATAGAATTCGAAAAATTTTCCTCAATGGCACCATTACAACCATTGCAGGTAATGGAACTGCAGGATATAGTGGCGATGGATTAGATTCAACCAAATGTCAACTTAACTATCCAAGTGCTGTAGCCGTTAGCTCAGGAGGGGAAATCTTTATTGTTGATACACATAATCATAGAATTAGAAAAATTGCAATTGACGGAATAATCTCAACTATTGCAGGTAATGGAATTGCGGGATTTAATGGAGATGGAAAATTACCCATCAATACTCAATTGAATTATCCAACAGGAATTGTGATTGCATCGAGTGGTGAGGCATATATTTCTGAAGAAGGAAATAGGAGAATTAGAAAGATTTATCTTCAATAAACAAGCAAAACAGTTCCCTTACCCGTTCAAAATATGTACCTTAGTAAACGCTCAATGGTGAGATGGTCGAGTGGTCTAAGACGACACGTTAAGGTATGATTAATACCGTGTTCCGCAAGGGCGTGGGTTCAAATCCCACTCTCATCAAGTTTTGCCTTATTTTAATTTGTACTACCAATTGTAAAAACAATTTTCACATATTGAATTTCAATATTGAAGGCTTTATTTCAAAATTGTATCTCGAAGTTTCTTAATGGAGTCATCAAGTTGAGTAGAAGATTTTACTGAAGATTTAATCAAAATCATCAAAGTATCAATAGTAGCCCTAAGAGCAACCCATTTGTTCTCTGCAGAAACAGAAGCACTGGATGTTGCCAAAAATTTGCATTGAGCAATAATATCAGAAAGACATTTGGCTGTTTCACTAACTCTAGCTGCCACATGATTAGTTCCATTCTGAAGATTGTTAATTTTGGATAAGGTTGAACCAGATGGAACAATAGTTCCAATTCCAACACCAGTTGCTGCAATTCCACCTCCAATCAACACAGGTGCTAATGCAGGTGCAATAAAACACGAGATTACTCCTGCTATTATTGCAGCTACACCACCTACTACTAGAACACACCCAGTAATTATGCCAACAATTGTCCAAGCACGAGCTTTACCAAATTTCTCTTTTGGTATTTCGTTATCTATCTGTTGGGCAATGTCAACACATTCACTGCCCATTGTTCCTAAATCATCCTTGTACTTTTCAAAACTTTTAGCCATTTCATTAAAAGTTGTTTCGTGTGAAGCGATTTTGTTTGTGAATAATAATGCAGTTTCGTCTGTTTTCGCAAGAACTCTAAAATATTCTAATTCTTTTTTCATCAAATTCAATGTTGTTCGGAATGTGGTATTCAAATTAGTCAATTTCATACATTCTTCATAGAGTTTGACCTTTAACGATTTATATCTCTCTTTAAGTGTTGGAGAAAATTCTGAAATGTGTTTGTTAGCTTCCTTTACAAAAATACTCAAGGCATTACATTGTTCACCATATTCCAAGAAGGTTTTCTTTAAATCAACTTGTTTAAAGGATGTTGAGAGAAAATTGCATCCATCAAGGATGGTCTGGATCATGACAGGGTATGCAAGTGTTTGCCCCATATTGTGTGTGTAATTCTATTTTTTAGACTGGTCTTGCCCAGCTTCATGCTGATTGTGAGTTTTCTCTCAACATCCTTTAAACAAGTGCTTTCCAATTTTCATGGCATCAACTATCAGTATAAATTTAAGCTTCAAAGCACCAGAAGCGTCATTCTATTGAATTATTGGGAATTAAATTTTCGAATTGGAATGTGACTTGTAGTTACAATGGTATTTTGGTACAGTCACGTCTCGAATAATGCGGTTTTTATTAATTCGGAGGTCGATTTTCAAAAAAAAATTGCAACAACAAAAATAATTCGGAGTGTTATTCTTCAGCATGCTTCTTCTAAAGCACTTCATCATCTTCACTACCGTCCTTTGCAAGGCCTAATCCTGTTTGAACCCACTCACAATTGTTCTATCTTCTACTGAAGTTAATGCCATTGATGTCCAGTTAATTAGTTGCTGTGTTGAGACTTTTGGGAATGTGTTTACCTTCTTCTTATTGTTGATGATAATTTCTGCTTGCTCATCATACCATTCGGCTTGCAAATCTCTTAGCTTACATTGGAAGGATCTGTTGAATGACAAGTCACATTTACATTAGCTGCATTCTTTGGGCATCTTTATGGCTGTCAAGATTATCAAAAGTTAGGATTTATGCATAAAACATATCAATTCATTACAAAATGGATGCAAATAATTCGGAGTGTTTTAAAAATCGACTGACTCCGCATTATTCGAGACGTGACTGTAATGTACGATACGGATAAAACAATTATTGTAATGATTGAAAGAAGTATGAAGGAGGAATTCCATAAATCCAACACTTTTTATTCCATTCTTTCCATTCTTTTACAAATCAGCTGATTCAACATCAATATGTGGAGTCAATTCATATCTATAGACCTTATTGTTGGAACTTGTTACGAGATATGGGAAACCATAACCACTTGAAATGCGAGAGGGAGATGTTTTGATGATCTTACCAGTGGAAATATCGTATTGAATATAAATGCTGTTTTCTGCTGAATATTCCATTGATAGAATGGTCTTGGAGTCAATTTGGGCAATTACGAGGGCAGAAGTGTCAGTTGACCAAATCAAGTTTGGTTCGTTTGGCAATGGCTTTAAGGAATTTTTATCAAATCTGGATTTGACTGCAATAATCTTTTCTGAGCCTCCAAAACCTGAAGTTATTTCACACTTGACAATTGACGTAATTTCCAAAATATTTCCAGTTTGATTGGCAGTAGCAATTGGATAAGAACAAGCTGAATTAGAATCAACATGTGGCATATGTCTAGTACTCATCACTTCAAGTCTTGTTTCAATTTGGTTTTCAATATTAAGGAAAGATACAGAAATAGAAGTATCGTTTGCTAAAGTAACCGAAACCCATCCATTCACACCACTCACATATGCGATATTATCAATATCATGTGGGAATTTGAATGAAGATATGATCCGACCATCGTTTACACGAATTTTGTGCAAAATGTTGTAATCAGCTGCATAAATGACATCATCCTTGCTATTTGCAGAGTTGACCAAAATCATTTCACTTCCAGTAACGTTTGCAGTCCACTTCAATTGGAGAGTAGTGGCATCTAAACCAAGAATGGAAGGAGGAGAAGTTCCAATAATGTAAAAATTTTGAGTTTCAGCTAAAACTGAAGTATAAATGTTTGTTCTTTCAAAATGCGAAACTTGGCCGATTCTATTGGAAAGGTCAACTCTGACAATTAAGGAATCGTCACCACTCAAAAGAATGGTAGCGAAATAATTTCCCTTACTATCAAGACGAGCACTTGAAATACCAACAAAACCATCATACTTTTCAAAATTTGGAATTGTGACATGAATGAAATTGGACTTGCCACTTGTCATGTCAATTTCAAGCAAAGTAAATGGTTTAAAGGAATATTGAGTGTATGATTTTCCACGTACTGTATCAAAAACTGTTTCTTCAACACCATTAGTGCCATCATTAGGAAATGGCACTTTAATATTCCATGGAGCATGTTGTTTGTTGAATAAGATTCTGCTAGATCTATACGAATCATAACCTCCCTGGACGAATTGACCATTCACATGCACGTTAATACAGAGGAGTACTACCATCAACAAGAAGGCCATTGCCAACTTGTTTAAATTGTTTCTAACAATTTGCATTTTTTTTTTTGATTGTGAAATTCGACACAAGATTACGCTTCGATTTAAACTGTGTGGAATATGCAACGGAGATGAAAAAGGCAATTTATTTGAAATAATCAAATAGCGTTTTGAAATTGTAGAAATTTGTGCGTCCTTTTTTGAGAATAACAGGGAGTTTAAACTCCCTTTGATTTGCATTATGTTTACAATTCTCTCCCGTACTAATTGCCCATAAGGAAAGAAGCGAAAGAATCCAAAGCGCACAACTGAAAAACCTTGATGTTGAGTTGTTTTTGAAAACTAAATGTTGTGATTGTTATTGTATAATATATTAGTTTATTGTTCATCTGAAGAATCGTCATTCTTTTCACCTGAATTCAAAACTACAGCATCGCTTTCTACCTTAATATCCTTTTCAGAGACGAATCTGTCAATATCCTCGAATGCAGATTTAATGCCACTGACTTCATCCATTAAGAATCTGCACAAGTGATTGGTAATTTCTCTGAGGGAGAGTTTGTGATTGCTTGCCTTTTCAGTGTACAATTCTTGAATGGTTATTTCTTTGGAATTTTCTGGATAAATTGGAGTTTCAAATAATTCAAACACTCTCTTCTTGATACTTTCCTTATCATTCAAATTGAAATGCCAAATTCCATTCATTCTACTCAAAAAGGCCTTATTCAACTTGATATCTTCTGTGTTATTGGCAGAGAAGAATCGAATAACACCATCAGAAGGTTCAACACCATCAATTGAATTCAAAATATTTGACATTTCATTGGCAGTACATGAATCCAAGTATCTGTCAAAATCTTCAATCAAAACCACATAGTATTGATTTTGTTTTGGATTAACAACTGTTTCACATTCATCATAACATTCCTCATCACAATCAGAACATTCAAATTCCTTCTTCTCTTCAGCAGCTTGTTTGAAAATAATCTTGGAAGGTGTCAGAATTGTCTTGACAGCATCAGAATCCTTAATATGTTGACAATCTTTCAAATTGGCAGTGTAAATATCCAAATTATACTTGGTTGCAATGGCACGAGCAAATGATGATTTTCCTGTACCTGGAGGACCATGTACGAAATAGTTCAATGAACAGCTCTTACCAACCTTGTGCAACTTGTCAATTTTTTGATGAATAATATTGAAATCTCTTTCAAACATGTCAAACTTGTCATCAATACCATAAACATGGGACTGTTCCAATTCAATATATTGATACTTTCTCATCCAATATTCTTCCTTGACATTGTAGGCATATAAATTTCTTCCAGGTTTTGGACTTCTTGCATTATTGACATACCACTCTACCAAATTTTGAACTCTTCTTGTAGGATAAACAATTAGAATGCTTTCTGGATAGATGGCCCTTGTTGTTGATCCATTTTCAGCTGGTCTTTCGATTTCTCTACTCGGAACATAATACACAGCAAGTGAATGTTTCACTCCAGCTTTTGGTCGATTGATCTTTGCAAAATTCTCATCAGAATAAGATTTACAATCAATAACCATGGATTCATTGAATTCCAATAAAGTTTCCTCACCTTCCTTTGCAACCAAATGTCTACCCTGCTCATCAACCATCAACATTCTTAATTGATTCTGAAAAGTGGTGTAGAATCGTTGTTGGAAACACCAACATTGACTATCATTATCATAGCCGGCAATAACATGAGGAGAAGGATACTTTTCCAATAGGAATTTATAATCAACAAAGGTAGAATCAATCTTTGTTATGAGAGTGGTCGAAGAAGAGGCCATTATATGATTGTTTTGTTTTTCTTTTTGATGGTATTTCTTGATAATTTACGAGCTATTTATTTTTAGCATTCAGTTCAAAATATTGAATCTTCATAGTAATTGAACCTGACAGTTCCATGTTGAACCATATGGTTACAAATTCTTAGAAATCGTTGACTTAAAAAAGAGGGTTATCACTTAACTATTGCATGAATAAAGGACAACAAACACTTTGGAGGTTGAATCTGATGATTCAATTGTGAAAAGAAAAGTACAAGATAAGGAAGGAATAACCAGATCTTGCCTTGCGATTCAACACTAAATTTGCCAACCACTCTCAAAATATCGTACAAAAACAAAAAGAGTAAAAGACTACAGCACCACAGGTTCCCAAGTTGTCTCCAACCTCAGTACTGATGTGGCTCGACGATGCTTAACTTCTCAAATCGGACGGGATGAGGTGCATTCATCGTGATATGGCCGTAGCCATCCATAACCTCAAAAATATTCTGATGAACAAGCACTGTGATCCTGAGGTAAGTCCATGAAAATGTTGCAAGTTTGAATATATAGTTTCTCCTTTCAATCCATTCTGTTGATTACTCCTTAATCAAAATCCTTAATCAAAATCTGTAATTAGCAATCAACTCAGTCAATTAGAATCACTTCCGAGCTAAATAAATGGAAGAATCAACCTAGCAAAAAACACAAAAGTGCTCCATTCACTTTCCGACTTGATGAAAAAACGTCCTCGTCCTTCTTCCGTGAGCGCGTTCTAACGTTTTTCAACAACTTGGTGAGCTGCTACAACTACGCACGTTCTTTTTCGTCATGGTGAAAATCCGAACAATAGAAAAAGACCGTTGGAGTTTTATCTTCAACATAAATATTGGTGAGACTGCATGAAGGAACAAAAACACAATCAAAAAAAAAAGACTCAACAACTAATTGTTCTATTGAAGAACTAACAACAACAAGATATCTTGATATCAAAAGAAAACATTAGAAAATAAGAATGAACGCTGTTATTATTCCATCAAATACTTCTGCTACTCATAAGAAGATGCATGCCAAGAAACATTCACCCCTATCAGAGAGAAGAACCTTCTCAAGTGAATTAACTGTCAATTTGACTTCAGATAGAACTGCAATTGCTAATACTGCCAATCCAAAGAAGATCTATCATATGTCTCAATATTATACCAGAGACGAAATTGAAGAAATTTATTTCGAATGGTTGGCCACTACTGAGTATATTAAGCTCTATGAAGATTAATTCCTACAAATGAAGATTATTCGAAATAATCACTTGTCATTTAAGGAATTGAAAAGAATTGGTTGTGTTTGTTAACATCAAGAAAATGAAACGTATTCAATGCATGAAATTATCAAAAAACACTTGTAAATAGTAAACTGCTAATTTAACTTTAAAAATTGATTCCAATTCTTGTTACTTTTGCCTAAAATACGTGTAATTTAAAGTATACTTTCCAAATTAAATTATGAGCAAAGCCTCAATTCAAAAGGCTAGGGTTCTAATGACACTATCTTTATGTTTTGGAGTGTTCTTCCTCAAAAAGTAGTCCTTATCTTGAAAGTATGTTTTAACAATTTTTGCCTTTTGCTTTAAATGAACAAGCTGTGGAGTAGCATTATTCTCTGAAGGAATAAATAAAAGATCGAGTAAACTAAAAGCATCCATTCTCTTATCCATAGACTTGACCAGTATCTTTTTTTTGATAATGGAAAGAATGATACTTTCATCATTTGAAAGGTCCACATCTTCCAAATAACCTTCAACAGTCTCTTCATCTTCTAAAAATTCCAACCTCTCCTCATGAATAATTTCTAACAGAACCATTCCCAATGAATAAATATCGCTCTTTGGGGAAATTAAATTTTTCTCAACTCTCTCAGGAGATCTGTATCCTGCAACATTAAGGGATGTGTAAAATAGGTTGAGTAGTTTGTAAACTTACCTTCTGAAAAATTCTTTGATGTCAGTGGATTCAAGTTCTTATCTACACATATTCCATCTTCAAGAGAAAATTTCGTTGCTATTTCAAAATCTATCAAAAACCAATGCTTATCATACAACACAATATTTTCTGGTTTGATATCATTATGTGTAATTTGGTGTTTTTGTAAGAAACAGAGCTGAACAAGCAAATCAATGAAAAAAGCCATAATATTAATCTTCTTTCCCTTATTAAAGAACCTAGTCATACATTTACCAGCTAATGAAAGTGAAAAATTCCCATCAATCATTGGAGCATACAGAGTTAGGAAGTTATATCTTATAGAATCCTCATTAATGTTAATATTTGGTTGGTATTTAATAAAATACTCAACGCCATTAATTTTCCCCTTTTTGAGAGTTGAGCGGGTTTGGATTGGGTCAAAATTTTTGTCGTATTCTATCAATTGATTGTCTGCATCTAATTTAGGAAATGAAATTTCATTCTTTTGGTTGGATGACATCATACTTATTTGGCGTTGTGTAGTTAAATATTCGGTAACCTCTTCATTATTTGGATAAATGAGAGCTGTCATAATTCTAGCAATGAGATGAATTCGATCCATAACAACTTCGTGCTTATAGGATCCAATGAATGAAAGAGTAAAATTTGAAAGAGTTATGGATTTACCATTCAAGCTGATTGATGAGCAGTGCAAAGAATACAAATGAGATGCCTGTCTGTCTGTTGTGATACCTAGAACTAATACTTGATTGTGCCATTCCTCAATATCTTTCTTGATAAGCTGCCTCATGGCATGAGAGAGGGCAATCTTCATCTGAGAAATGAGAGCTATAAAGTCCTTGTGGCTGGTGTGACTTTGATAAATATCCGGCGAATCTTCTCTGATAACCCTAATGCATTTGTAACTATTTTTAAAAGTAACAATGGTAATATCGTCAGGTCTAAAGTCGGGAATGCTGGCCTGAAGATTGCCATCCAAACTGCCAACAAAATCTTGAATGCTAGAATTTCTGAACACCTCGAGATTAGTATTTAAAATCAAGTAACTTACGATCCTCCTGAACAGCCAGAAAAAATAGAGGTAAATCCCATTATTGGAGCAAAATATAATCTGGTAAGTTCCATTTCACTCTCCTCCATTGAATTACGAAATGGAGGGATTATTGAGCTGAATATTAAATTGTCTATTGTTTTCAATCGAAGATTATAGGATGACACATTATTGGTTGCATCAATTTGATATTCTATATTTTCGTATTTCTTGTCCAATTTTAGCCCTTCTTTCCTTAACTCATAAATTAGGGTCGAAATATCAGGATTTTGAAGATATCCAAGCAATAATGCTTGAATATTTTCTATTGTTTTCTTTTTTTCTTCGAATAAAGGATTAGTTTGACTGTTGTTCAATGTGATACCAAAGCCATACAAGGTATATTTGAATATGTTTGCCAGCTTGCTATTGTTGATTGAAAAATGAGCAGGAAATTGAACTTTTTTGATATCCTCCAAGTTTGCAATGTTATGGTTATTTACAATATCGTTAAGTTTCCTTTTGGACGGTCTTTTCAAAGTCTTTTCGTTAATATTGTAAAATTTGGAAACAATATTAAGGGAGACAGCCATTTGCACATTCTCTATGACTTTTTTCTTACAATATTCTTTTTGTTTGTTAGACTTTTCTGAAGTTTCATTGGAATGTCGGTCATTGATTTTCTTTCGTTTGTTCTCTGCAATTAAGGTGGAAGCTTTTCTTTTCATTTTTTTTGAAAATAATGGCGCCAAAAAGGCTGAGTTGCTGTCCACGTTCTTCTTTTCTTCATCATGTAAGGCAAAAGTATCTCGTTCTAAATTTCTAATGTGATCGATATCATCTGTTTGTGGTTGGTTTTTGTTCTTCTTTTTGGTATTCGATTGTTGGGATGATGCAATTAATTGGAAGAATGGACTCTTTCTTAGTTTTGGTTTGAATTTTTACACTTGGAGGGTAGAAAGCAAGAATTAGAGCATCATCATTTCAAATGACTTCAGCTTGTAAAGATTTAAATTTACCAAATGATGCCTTTCCCTGCTTCCTCACCATCCTGCAAATATTGGTTTAAGCTTGAATTACTAAGTAACTCATCTAGAAAATCAGCTGAATGTTTTGCATATCATCATTGATGAATATTTTGATGAATACTAGATGTGAAGTAATAAGAAGAACAGTGCTGTTAGATAACATCCAGGGGATGTATTCATTATTGTATTGATGAAGATTAACCATGTGGATGATGAATCGTTATTGTTAGGAAGTATGCAAAAATTCAACTTTCCAATCTCGTAGTTTTAAACAACTCTAAAAACATTAAATTCCCACATCAGGATGGTACGATAACATACCTTCTCCTGTTGTTGAAATTGAGCAAGTTATAAAGATGTGGTGAAATAATATTCGCACCACATTCTCCAACTCTACTCAAAGGAAAGTTTTGAGACTTCTTGGATGATGATATTGATCATTTAGAACAAGTATTATAATACATGATGTTCTTGTTGCTCTAGTTGCATCATTAAAGATGAAAATATTAATATTAATAAATTGATGAAATTATTCTTGAATTAAAACGCTCGGATACACATCATTGGTATATTGATGATTGTTAACATATGATGAAGATTTTAATCCATGAATTCAACAAAGGTTTTCATCAGTTAATAATTTGCCTTTTAAAATTCGTAATTCATGATGGAATACAACAAAAACATCTTCCATACATTCCAACTATCCTATCATGTTGTGTATTAAATGTTTTTTCCCAAAATGAAGACTTGCTTTTGAATGGTGATGAGTAAATTTTTTTAATATTAAATACGTAAAAATATTATTGTAAAAATTATTAAATATTAAATTAATTTTACAAAATAAAACTATATTAGATTAATTTTACTTCTTTTTTTGTCTTCTTAACGCTAAAGTTACTTTAACTGTTAAAAAAGCATTATCAATTTCCAATGAAATTAATTCAGGTAATTCACCAATTGCAATTGCTCCTTTCATACTCAAATAATTACTCATCAAATTGACACTTGTCAATTGTTTCATTCTTTCACTAATTAACAAAACTCCTTCATCATCAATTTCATTAAATTTTGCATCTAAATGAACTAATTGATCTAGTTCACAAATCCATTCCACACATTTCGAATTTAGCCTATTAAATCCAATGGAAAGAGAAGTGAGAGTTTTTAAATTACTGATTGATCTGATTCCTGCAACAGTTATATGATTTTCAGTGATATCCAAATCAGTTAAATGTTTCATATTCAGACTAATCAATAGAGCTCCTTTGTCACCGATTTGATTGTAATTGAGATTCAATCTGGTCAATTTAACCAATTCACAAAGATGTTGAACTCCCTCTTGTCCAATAGAATTTTTTTTGATATTCAATTCTGTCAAATTTTTCAATTTTCCAATTGATCTAGCTCCATCTGTCGTTATCGAATTATTCTCAACATTTAATCGTGTCAATTGTTGCATTTCACCAATTACTGATGCTCCTATCATTCCAATTTCATTATTTCCAATATCTAGAGTATGTAAATGTTTCAATTCCTTAATTGGTAAAATTAATGAAATCATATTTCTTTGAATATACAATTCTTCCAAATTTATCATTTCTCCAATAAAGTTAACTGCGTTATATCTGATAGTATTATTCTCAATCTTGAGAAGTTTCAAACGTGGAGCGAGTGGCCTTAATGTATCAAAGAGTAATTCCCCAAAAATGATATTTTCACTTAAAAAAAGTTTCGTCAAGTTTTTCATCTTTTCAATGGTTCGCCAAAATTCCAATAAAGTGTCGAAAACAATTCGGACACTTCTAATAGATTCTAAGAACTGGCTACTGGCAAGTAATTTAACATTTTTTGCACTGATCACCTTTTTAAATTCAATATCAAGTTTCGAATAATTTCGAATGACATTAAACCACTGTTTAGAAACCAAAGCACAATGATTCAAAACAAAATATGGACGAAGAAAAGAAAATATTTCATAGCAAATATCATCCAGAAATATTTCTATTATTTGGTTTGAACTTTCGTAAACTTTCCAATAGTTAATTTTCATAGCCATACCTTTACGTTCCACAATTTCCGATTCCTTTTCATATTCCACTTGATCTGCACTATCTAACTGACCAACAACATTTCCTTCCAGATCTCTATGCATTTTTTAAATCAATTAATTTTAATTATTATTACTAAATTTCAAAATTTTTCTCTTTCTCATTGTGAATTTTGCAATTCAAAATTTTTTTACAAAGATGCAATATTTAAATATTGTAAAGTGAAAGGAAATTGTATTGGAACAAGACGAGAGCTTTCTATTGTCTGTAATGGATAGATCGGGTAATGTCTTTCTACATTGCATTTTTAACCATGTTTACTGCCCATCAAATCATAAAATCAATCTTCACGCTATGACAACTGACAATCTTCGATTTTCTATCATCAAGAAAAAAAATTGCTCTTCTTCAACAATAACATCTTTGCACCACCCGAATAGCTTTCTACCGGTGATCAAACTTTCAACTCAACCGATTTACCACTAAATTCTATTCGAAACTTTAAACTATTCGAAAATGGTCAAGGAAGGATATTTATACAAACAAGAAAAAAGTGCTTTACGTAAAACACCTCACTGGCAAAAGTATTACTGTATATTAACAGCCGATCGTTTGGATCTATACGAAAAGGAAGGAACGAAAGGTGTGAAATTTACCCTCAAAATTAAAGATAAATATGTTTCGGAAGGATGTGATAATTTTTGTAGAAAAGTAGATACTTTCAAGATTGAAGAATCAACCAGTATGTTGTTCATGTTGTTTTTCATCATGATTTTAATCAATTTTATTATATTTGTTAATATTACTATTGTAATATTGTTATTTGTGCTTTTTATGGAATATTTAATATATTTAATATATTGTAAAATGTGAAATTAATAGAAAAGGTACATTATTTTAATTGTGGTTCACCTGCAGAATGTAAAGCTTGGATGAATATGTTGGCAATTCATGGAGCTAATCCAATTCAACCAACCTATCAATCAAAGGAACATTTATTCAGTACTGATTTGAATGATTTATTGGAATTTGATGATTGGTTGAAGGAAGTTAAGAAGGATTTGCCAAAATCATCTCCTACTATTATTCATTCTGGATTGACATTTATTTATGATAAGAAGGAAAAGCAATTTGTTCCAAGATTATTCCTCTTTTTGGAAAATGGTATAATTTGCTATTTTAGTAAGGATTCCGTAAGTATCTTGTTGATTTCTAATCTATTAATGTGCATTTTGATTAGAAAAAACAAATAGCTCAATTCCCAACTCATGAATCCCAAATGAATATTTTCACACAAGCTCCAAGTGTATTGGGTCAACCAGTTTCAGTTTCTCAAAAATCCGAAACTTCTGCTGAAGGTCATTTGGATGTTACCTTACTATCACCAATCACATCTATCATTTCTGTAAAACACTTTGAAAAGATGCTTCTTTCTACAACTTATTCTGAAACTGCTTGTGATGTAATCTCCAAGTATAGATTCAATTTTATTACAAATTGTAAGTGACCTATTCATTATAATGATATTGACCTATTTTAAAGATGATGAAACCATCATGATGATGGCTAAGGAAAAGGGAGAAATCTTAAAGTTTATTGAATGTTTCCAAAAGAGTGGCGCCAAAGTTAAAATTACAATCAGACACATCAATGAAGATATTGATAAGGGAGATTTCACTCGTGATAGTCCACTCTTAGCTGATGTCAAGGATAGCACCAAAGTTTCATTGGGAAAGGGTAAAATTACTGAATCATTCAATGCCATGAATAAGATTGAAGTTACTGTTGAACAAGATGAAATTGTTGACATTATTGAAAATCACAAACATTTGGGAATTACCTTGATTAGAAAGACTGATAATACTCTTGCTCAAGGTTTGGTTCCTTCTGGAAGTGTAAAGGAATTGAGAAAGAAGGAAATTCCAAAGAATCTCACTGATGGACAAAAGAAAAAGACTGCCTCCAATCGTAGACTTCCAGATCGTAATACTAAGAATATTAGTGATAATCTTGCACTTGTTGAAATGCAACACGAATGGAATGAAAGCGTCATTGATAGAAAGGGACCAAAATCCAAGCCTCCAGAAATGCCACCTTACGAGCTCACTAAGGAAGACAAGAGTATCTCTATACCTCCATCTCCTCCTCGTCGTTTCACTCCAGAAATTGAATCTGCATTCAAGAAGGTTACAACCCCAGAAGTCCCATCTCGCTCAGTACCTTCACAAGATAGCAAGCCATCCTTTGCTTCTAAGCAACCACCGCCATCACTCCCTTCAGATAATACTCCATCAAGCACAGGTACTGGACCAAAGCTTCCACCTGGAGCTTTCAATCCATTGGCTGGTAGAGGATTTGCTCTTCCAGGTTTGAAGACTGGAACTACTCCATCTACACCTCTCTCAGATTCTGGTATTTCACCATCTATTGGTTCCTCTTCAACACCAACATCTTCTCAGGAAGATAAATCCATTGATAACTTTGAAGGTTTGAGAAAGGAAAATGCTAGCTTGAAGAAACAAATCGAAACTGAAAAGGAAAACTCTGAATATTTGGAAACTCAATTAGGTCAATTGAGAGGAGAAATCTCAACTCTCAAACAAAGAAATCAAGTTTTGGAAAAGGAAAATAATGAAAATTCCACCAAATTGAAAACCTTGCAAGGATCGACTCAATCCAACGATCAAGTACAAAAGATCAATTCCCTCCTCGATACCATTAACAAGATGAAAGACGAACACGAAAAACAAATGGAAAATCTCAAAAGGGAACACTTGGAGGAATTAGATAGAACTATTAGAAAGACCAAATTAGAAGTTGAAACTGAATCAAAGAAACAAGAATCAGCTCCTGAGGTTCCAAAGAAACCACCTCGTCCAGGTGCATTCGGAGCAAGTTTGACTCCAGTGAGTCCAGGAGGTTCCTCTTCATCTCTAGATGATCTCAAACGTGAACTCGAACAAGAACGATCCAAGAGAATGGAAGAAACCAAGGAATTGAAGGAACAATTGAGATCCATGTCTAAGAAATTGGAATTTGAAAGGGAACAACTTCGTCCACTCATGGAATGGGTTCAAACTAAAAAGTAAATTATTCCTTTCTCCAAAATGTAATAATAATAAATTGAGTTGATTAATTCTACGAATGAATTTAATCTGTAATCCTTATATAATACTATTGCTACCGTATCATATGTTGTCTATTGAGATTATGTCTGCACATTAGAAATAATGCCAACATGATGCAAAGGTCATTCGATCGATATTTGATCTTTTTCCTGATAGACCTTTCAGTTATCTTTCCATTTTCAATCAATAAATTCATGTCAATAATTTTCCTTAAATATGAAATCCCCACAGCCATCAAAAACGACAATACTGACAATGTCACTGAATACCCAATAAAATAATAGACATTATTCCATTCCTTCCTCCATCCAAAAACATCTTTAAATCTCGAACTCACATCACACTTATTAGGAAATGGTTCAATTACCCTAATCAGACATGAATTTGATCCACTCACAAAATAAAATCTATTTCTATAACCCAACTCTTCAAAGCCACTTCTTCCAATTGCCGAATTCGCCAACAATTCACTAACACTATTCAAAACAAATAGAAAAGCCATCAATGAAAATGCAAACACAGCCATCACTGTTCCAATCTGTATCAAAATACTAACAATCTCAAACTGTTGATCCGACATGGTGAAGAATATTTTCCTCCTCTCTCTAATTAATTTCCTTTTAAAATTTGATTCTTTGGGAGGCGTTAGGTGTTGTGAATTATCTTCATCCTCATCATCCTCATCATCCTCATCATTCATCACATTATCATCATCATTTAAATAATATTTTAATTTCCAAAATTCATCGGAAGATGATTTTGCATGCCAAGCTTTGTTGATCAGTGAAAGAGATAAATTATGAGAAAAATCGTGGAAGTTTACAAATTGCCACACCACTGACCATTCATCTTGATTCAAAACTCGTTGTTGATTGCTTGTTTCCATTTTTTTTTAATTATTTAAATAGTAGTTAAATAGTTAAATACTCAAGTTTACAACAAATATCAAATGATTATTTCCACACATTTTCGGTGGACACACCATGTATATTATGAGGAAAAACACTTTGAAATAACAGTTAAGCATGTTGCTTCTTTTGCGTACAATATATAACTCCTAGCACAATCCAAAATATCCGCCTCCATTTTCACTCAAATTCCACTCAATGGTTGCGTGCGACTTCCTCGGTTGCACTTTTAACTATTTTAAATATCTCCCAATCTGTTGCATCTTTGAATTCCACAATATTGAAATAATCAAACAAATGTCTCAACAACAATTACCTGCTGTTCAAACCGTTGCACTTCTCAATGCTCCAAATCAAGATTTGGTGATTGAAACTCAATTGAAATTGCCACCAATTGGGGAGAATGATGTTTTGGTTAGAAATTTGTATGCTGGTGTAAATCCGTTGGATGTTGCCTTTAGAAGAACTGGAATGTATATTTCCTCATATCCTGCAATTCTTGGAGTTGACTGTAAGTTGTAAACTTTACAATATTTCAATAATTTCAATTTGAATCAATATTGTGCAGTTAGTGGAATTGTTGCTGGTGTTGGATCCAAAGTTACTCAATTTAAAATTGGTGATTCAGTTAGTGGATGCACTTTTGGTGATTTCAGAGGAACTTATGCTCAATATATTGTTGCACCAGAATCAATGACCTTTCTCAATCCAAGCAAGTTACCACACGAGTTGACTGCATCTGTTGGTGTTACCTTCTTGACTGCTTATCAAATTCTTTTGAAATATTTACCAAATGATGTGGAAAATGTTAAAGAACACAAAGGTTCTTTGAAAGGAAAGAAGATTCTCTTGATTGGTGGAAGTGGAGGTGTTGGTTTGTGTGCAATTCTTCTTGCCAAGCACTATTTCCAAGCTACTGAAATTGTTTCCATTTCCTCCAATAGAAATATTGAATTTCTTACCAAATTAGGAGTTGACCGTGTTTTGGATTATAGCAAGGGAAAGGATCATTTAATCAATGAATTAGAAACTTTGAAAGATCACTTTGATCTCGTTGCTGATCTCATTGGTGGCTATCATGAATACTATCATGTTGAAATTTTAAAGAAAGATCAAGAATCTCAATTTGTTTCCATCATTCCACACAATGCCAAGCAAAACAGTGGAAAAGTATTTGGATGTGAGAGAACATTCACATTGATTGCGAGTGGTTCTAGAATCCAATATGAGAATATCTTGAATTTCCTTGCTGAGAATGAAAATGTCTGGAAACAAATTCCACTTCATGTTTTCAAATTGGAAAATGTAATGCAAGCTCATGATTTGAGTGAGAGTAAGAGAACTGTTGGAAAGATTATTCTCGAAATTCCTCAAACTTTGTAAATTATCCAAATTGAGAGAAGTTCAATAACAAATGTCAAATATAGTAATAAACGAAACAATTTATTTTTTACAATTTGTAAAGTGTTATAATTGTGAATTATCGTGTGTATGAAATATTACATCTGGAAAAGATGAAGAATTTTCAAGAGCTTTCTTCAAATTCATATCTGGAAAATGTTTGAAATTTCCAAAATTGAAAATCATTGAAAGATTATAAAAATCATTTCTACAAAAAGCAAACCATTCTTGCTCCAATTCTTGGATTTCCATTTTCTTTTCGTTTTTCAATACTTTGGAAAGTAATTTTTCTGCAAACTTGATGGAATAGTGAGATGGCCTTCTATTGTCAATTTCACATTTCATGCCAGCCTTGTAAATTGGTTGTTGAGCTGATGGAATTGAAGAGAAATGATTGGCATTTAGATCATATGGATAAGTAGCTTTGTAAATAATTTCCCTGTCAAATGTAATTGTCATGACACCACAATTTTCATCCTTATTGAGATATTCAGAATATTCCAAGAAATGACCATCGTAATCAAATCTTTGAATGAAATTAGATTTGGTTATATCTAATTGATAAGTTGAATATTGGCCTTCCATTCCATCTAGCTCACTTCTTTCGAATTTAGTTATTCTATAGGTTGGAATTTCACCATTTCCAACCAGCTCACAAACTCTAAATTTCAACACTTCTCGAAAGAATTCCAAATTATCAGATCCAGGAACTACTGAATAATATTGGAAATGACCAGAAATTCCCAAATATTCCATCATTATATCCCAAGAAGCTCTATCACTATACGAAAGCTGGCTAATTCCAACAATTTCATTAATTTCAGCAATCTTTCTTCTATTTTCTTGAAGAGAATGATATGGACGCCCAAAATTATCACCCAAAAGACTCAACATCAATTCACTTTCATTTTTTTCATTAACTTTTTGAATGGTCAACTTGAGTGAATGAATATTTACGGCATGTGGTTGAATATCATCCATTGGCTGATTAGAAATCAATTCAAAGAGACATTTATGCCCATCTCTCATATTGGATTCGTAATAATAACGAAAATCGCCTCCTTTGAACTTGTCATAGTTGCCACCACTCATAACTTTCATGCCAACTGCTCCTAAAATAAAATCACCTCCAAAGATGTGTTTTGGAAAGAGGAGAGGTACTTGGTTGAGTGGTGTAAGTGGTGTGGAATGTTGGTTGCCCATTTTTATTTTGAAGAGTTTGTTATTTACCCTATACGAAAGGTTTGGATTTTAGCCGAAACTGTTTCAGGATAATTGGAACCATTCGAAAGTTACATCAGTCAAGAGTAAGCAGTGTCAAGTAACACTTGTTTTTTACGCGTGTTTATTGATAGTTGTGATTAAGCAATCAATAGTATGGAAAGTAAAATTGCAATCAAAGAAAGTGAAGTTCCAATTCTATTCGAAACATTTCTTTGATTTCCAGCAATCAACTTATTCATACTACTCACTTCAGAAACCTGATTAATATCCAACGATATTTTCCCAACAGCTCTCAAAGTATCTGGACGATTCAAATCCTTCATTGAACCCAAATCGAAAATCGAATAAATTGGAATTCCTTTCGAATTTAAACTTCTGCTATCAATATAATCTCCATTAATTTCAGAATACAAACTCAATGTAATGGTCAACAGCTTATCATTCAAAAAATCCAAAGTTTGTTTTGGGATGAGTGTGAAATTTGTTGTCATTACTCCGCACACATCATCCGAACCAATGACAATTTCAGTTGAGTTGAAATAGAGATTGAAAGCTTGAGGTGGAATTCCAGTAAATTGGCACGATTGACCAAAGGTTGAATCTCTACATTGGCATTGATTGTAATCAACGCATTTTCCATGTCCACCACAAACTCTGTTCAAATCTTTTGAGGAAATTGAGTCACATGTTGTTTCAGAACAATCGCTTCCTGTCCAATTATTTTGACATTGACAGGTAGAGGACATGGTGCATTTACCATGAGAAGAACAAACATTTGGAGCATTGAATGGAATTCCATTACAATAAATCATTTCTCCTTCACATCCTGAAAAATCTGAGCTACTGAACTTTCCTTCTGGACATTTGGAGCAATTCTTCCAATCTTCATTGAGAAATTCACCTAAATCACATGTGGTTTCTAGTTTTCTTATTTGAGTTGTGAAATGTCCGTTTATCTGATCTAAAAAGTAAATTTCATTATATCCTTTTATGGAACCCCGAAGCTCAGGTGTATGGAAATTTGTTAAAGTTCCAACAATGCCACTTGGAGTATATCCAGGATCGAAATCACCATAGACAGTTTGTAAAAGTCCGGTCTTTTTCGAAACCTTTCGAATTCTATTGTCTTCTGAAAATATAATATCTCCATAAGGAAGAACTACAACTGAAATTGGAGAGATTGCTGCATTGGTTGCCTTAATTCCATCATGTCCATAATCGGTAGCATCTTTGGAACCTGCAACTATGGTGACTAAACCATTTGAACTAATCTTTTTGATTATACGATTCTTGTAATCAGAAACGTAAAAGTCATTTTGTGGACTAATTGTAAATGTTGAACCAGATCCAAGTTGTGTCTGATTGGCAGAGATATTAGATGAGAAAATATCAGAACCACCTCCTGCAACCAATCTAATTCGTCCACTTTCGAATGTGAAAATATATGATTGAGCTGAAGCAGACATTAAGAAATAAACTTGACCATTATATGGAGAAACCATCAGTCCAGATCCCTGACAAACACAAGTTTCCAATTGCAAATCTCCATCCTTAGGAATGCAATGTTGTCCATTTCCAGCGAAAATTGAAATTTCCTTCGTTTGAGTATTCATTTTGTAAAGCAGTGAATCAGTTGTGAAATAGACAGCTGGTTCAGCATTTGAAGCTGCAAAATTGTAATAATTAATTGCCTTGTCTCCAGTGAAAAAAGTCTCAACAATTGGAAGAGAATTCACGTCAGCAGATTGAGCAGTTTTTCGGTAGAAATTAATAGAATTGAAATACCATTCATTCGAATCAGATTTGTAAACTGCTTTGACAGATCGACTGCTATCAATTTTAGAATAAGCAGCTGGAATACCATCAATGTAATATCCCTTTGATCCAGCAATTGTTTCAATCTTCCAGTCATTTCTATTAGCAGAGGCCGAGTTTACAATTTTTGCAATTCTTCCTTGTTTTTCTGAGATATACAATTCATTGGTAATTGGAGATAATTCAATGTGATAAGGAGAAAGGAACAGCTTGTTAGTGTTCATGCCTTGATCTGGTCGAGGTGATGTATAAATACTTTGAATTCCAGCAGTATTAGAGGTGATATTACTCATTGCTCTAATATATCCACTTTGGTCAACCTTCATTAGAAAAGTTTGAGAGCCAAAGAAGATTTCCCCAGTCTTGTAATTGATAGTAAAAGTTCCTAAAGAACCAGATACAGATGTGGCCAGAGCGTTATCTTGTGGAAATCCCTCAAAACCATTTCCCAAGACATTGACCAGTGAGCCATCTTTAATTCTGAAGAGAGTGTCATGGTAAGCTTCATAGAAATAAATAGTTTCATTATAGACAGAACACGCAGAAATGTCTCTGAATGCAAGGTTTTGTAAATTGGTAACAGGTCCCTCAAAATTGAAATATTGTCTTTTATAGAAATTTCCAAAATTAGTATCTAAATATTAAATATAGAAATAACTTACTTGCCACCACCTGCAACAGTATTAATAATCCTATCTCTAACCCTCTTTATCTTTCTCGATTCTGCAATAATCAAATCACCATTCGCTAGATCAATATCTAAATACCAAGGATTTTCAAGTTTTGCTTGATTTGCAGGAATATAATTACCATCAAGATAACCACCTCCAGCAAAGAGTGTTTTAGTTTTGGTTGATGCACTGTATTTGTAGACCAAACCTTGAGAAATATAGTAAATGTCAGATGTCTCTCCATCAACTGTGAAATCCATTGTTTGGAAAATGGATTCGTTTGGAACTGCATCTGTTATTTGACCAGAAGTTAGATTTAATAGTTTAATGGAGACATAGGTTGTTACAGTTTCGGTTGTAAAGTAAACTAAAGTTTCGTCCTTTGGGTGAAACATAAACTTTTGAGGAAGGATGACATTATACATGAAAGGAACACTTTCATCAGTTGAGCCAACAATTGTGGAAAGCTTTCGTGTAATACTTGCTGTTGAAATATGCAGAATCAAGAGCAGTAGGATAATGGTTGTAGATACGAAAGGTTTAGCTTGCATTTTTTTTGAACTGGCTTCGGCATTTCAAAGAGATCTTGCCTTTCTTAAAAGAAAAGTTTCCAGGTGGTGAATGTTGCGGGATCTATTGGAACGTTTCCTAAACCATCCTGTAAACTAGAATCAGAACTTTTCAGAAGTTAATACTTTACAATCTAAATTCTTCCCTCCAAAATATTGTACAGAGATGTTGTAACCAAAGAATAGATTGCAAATCAGAATGTCTTATTTGGAAGAACCTTGAGATGATTAAATAATAATTGTTTTTCGCATTGAAAGCAAAATGAGGACAAAAGTGGAGTCATAGGGAATCGAACCCTAGACCTTCTGCATGCAAAGCAGACGCTCTACCAACTGAGCTATAACCCCTTCTTGTTCTAATATTAAACTTAGACATTGTATCTGTAATTACTGTCGTTAAGGCTTTGGTTTTTGAAAGCAAGAAAAAGAGCTCTAGAATAGAGAATACTTGTTCTTGCATGACGAAAAAGAGAATAGAAAATCAAAGCATCCATCATTGATCAACGAATCCTCCACAAATCAAAATGTAAATAATCTTTGAATAATACAATTTTTATCTCAATCCCAAAGGATATATTGTAATCAACTGTTCTTACATTGTTCTTGTTGTTAAATTTGTTTCTAGTATTGTTTGGTGAAAATCTTCTTTTCCTTTGAAAAAGGATGAATGAGCTCTTCTGGGCAATGTTATGAATCAAATCAGATAGTAAAGAATCCATTTTCGCCTTCTTCAATGTTCAACTTTTTCTTTTTCTTTCGAAAAACAAACTCTCCATCAAACTTCCAAACCTTTGAATAATCTTTCCATGAATTGAGTGGCATTATCTCACTCAGAATATTAGAAATGAATTTTTCACAATCCTTTCTAGAGACACGATCAAAGAGAAGCCATCTCTCAAGAAGTTCTGTTGAATTTTTGAGCGAAGTATTCATTCCTTTAACAAGAGTCAAGCCATTCTTTCTACTATTGAAATCGTTAAGAGTTTTGTACAAGGTAACGATGCAAGTATATTCAATTGATCTGTCCTCTTCTTCAAATCTTGAATAGTTGATTTGGAATAGAAACCATTTTGGAGTTCTTTTCGAAAACCAATAGCCACAGTAATTATCAAAAACAGTGTTATTTGCAGGAACTTGCTCATCAGTTGTAAAGTAGTCCAGTTTCATACTTGATTTCTTGTTGTAGTCAATAATAAACACTTGATTGACTAGAGATGATCTTTGATAATTCTCCTCTCCTAAAGTTACAATATTCAAACTATCCAAAGGTGAATAGTCATCATTATCCCAACTACCTCTATCCATTGGAACTAGCTCTCCCTCAATATATCTTACAGGTCCACATTTCCTTTGCAAACTCCAAGCTTGCAACTTTTCTCTACCATACAATTCAATAGCTTTGCAATTATTCAGGTCAGTTTTGAAATTAGCACCAATTCCATTCAAAATAGGATCCCAGTATTCAAAGTTTGTTCTCAAAGCTTGATTCCAACTTTGACAAACATGATACGGAGGATGAATCAGCAAGTCAATTCCGGTCAAATATTCACAAATATGTGAAATAAATGGTGCCAATTTCGCACCAAGTTGTTTTGTAAAAGTGGTGGAAAAACTTGTCTGACTATTCTCAAGCAAAACCTGTATCAGTTGTTCTGCAAGCTCATTGAATTGATTAATACTGTCATCTGTTGATTGTCTTATCAATTCTATAATATTATCAGCTCTAACTATTAATTGTTCATCAGAAGATTTTTCGGAATGAGTCTTTCTCTTCTTTGATTCAGTATCTTCATTGAGTGAGTTGTTGTTGTTCCGTTTATTCACCATTTTTTTGTTAATTTTCCATTCTTGGGTTTATACTTGAATGCCTCGAAATCAATTTTGGTTCTTGGCATGTTATCTGATAGAGGGACTTGCAGCTTGACTGGAATGTTGGGTACTTTTTTAGGTACGATATTTGGTTGCTGTTGTCGTGAAGCAAACTCATGATTCGAGGACCTTATTGAATTGTTTGAAGTGTTTGATATGTTGGCATAGTTCATTACTGGCATACTTGGTTGAAAGTAAGGTTGTTCTTGATATTGAATTGGTGCATTTCGTGATGTTGTCAGGAATGGCTCAAACTGTTGTTGCTGATGCTGTGTCCTGTAATTCAAAGGGGGTGCTACATTATTATTTGCAAAGCTATTGAATGGACTATTCATCATAGATTCCACTCTGAAAGCTTGTCTCAGTGGTGTGAAAGTTTCTCTAGGAGGCTCCTCTTGTATCATTCTCCCCCTTTGACCAAATAATGGAGACGGTGGTATTCTTCTATAAGATTCTTGCACATTTGGAATTTCATTTACAATCTTTGATTTCTTAAATGGTTGAAAAATTGGTTCTTGGTTAAAATTGTCTTGTTGTGTCAAAGAAAAGAGTCTCTTCTGGTTTATCGACAATTCATCAGGAGGCCTCTCAAAAGAGAAAGGGATGGGTTCATTAACGAAAGAATAACTTAGATCTTGTTGTGTAATGAATGAATTAGTAAACGTAGATGGATTATCTTGACTAACATCCATCACATTATCTGCCCTATAATGTTCATCCTCTGCTTCCGCTATGTGATTTCTCTCCTCAAATCCATCAAATATTTCGAATAGAACGTTGTACAATAATTTCTAATATATGTAAATGTTAAATGAGATTATTAAATAACATACCAAGCCAGTCTCTGTGAAATACCTTCCTAGATGTTGTGAAAATTCTTCATATGATTTCATTTGGCATATTTCCTTGATGGAGTAGTTCTGTACTATTGCTTGTGCCGAAAAGAAATTAACACAAGGGAATTTTGAAAGAAATGCCTCTTGAGGATTCTCCTTTTCTCTTATCCAAATAATGTCATGATTTAGAGCTTTGGATTGGGCCATTACTTCCACACATATCGAATTGATAATCTCAGCACTTTGATCCATGTTGTAGCTGTATCTTAAATTCACTTCTATTTGTAAAGATTTAGTAAAGCAGAGGAGAGAGCTAGAAACAAAGGATAAAGAATCAATAGATATAGTTCCTGCTGAGCTGCTTTCAATAATTACCCAACAGTAGGAAAATTGCAATGCCAGAGAAAGAATTCTATTGAATAAATCAGTAATTTCCTCTCTGTATGTATCAAGATTGTTGAATTTGTACAGAATGATACAATGCCTTTCATTAATTATTATATCTGCTGGAGAAAACAATGTAGAATTCCTCTCCACAACATTAATCGAGAATCGTGATTCAAGCTCAGAAAGTAATTCGTTATTTTGAATACACTTCTCTGTAACAATGATTCTGCTAGATGCTGAGTTTTCTGATTTTGATTTAAAACAGTACAGTCTCTCTAGATGGTCCAGTTCTTTGTCTTGTAGTATTGAAAAGCTCTTTTGCTTTTGTAAAATTTGATCAATAATTTTAGAATTCACAACTAATTCCTTCTCTTTTTTCAGTTTATACTTCAAATTCTTGACCCAAGATTGATTTAGCATGTCCAGTGATGTTTGTGTTTCTTCTCTTTCTAATCTAGACGATATAGCGAAATATCTCACCATATTTCTGCAAACTAGAGAATATAAAACATCATTATAATCTCCTGGTTCAATTTGGATCAATATATCTATTCCACTGAAAGCGTTCATATCTGAAATGTTAGCAATGTTGGAAAATGTTGTTAGATAAATATGAGGCTCTGGTTTTAAAACTCCTTCTGATAGTTTCATTTCAGTTCCAATATTTAAGCTCTTCAATTTTAGATTATTTTCAACACTGAAGAGAGTAAATATGTTGTGTCCTTCCTCAAAAAAATTGGCAATATCTGAAAGAACCTTGTTATGCTTGGATAGAATAATTATTTTGGATTTTTCATCATAAAGCTCTTTGGCATGAGCCACTACTGTTTGTGCTTTGGTTTTATCCTCTATCTCATTGGTTAACTTAACCATTTGGAATGATATTTCTGAAATAGCGCCATCTAAAAGTGTTCGATAGGTGTCTGTTTCTTTAATTTTATCCAAATAAGCTTTTCCTACAGCAATTCCACCGTCCAAAGTTGCTTCAAAAAGGTACTTGAGTGTATGAAGACAAACAAGCTTTTTAAATGTGGTCCTTGTCTCGATAATTCTCTTTGCATCGTTTGAAGATAGAACTACCTTCAAGTTAGTGGCATATTCTTCTACAATCCGTTTTAAGAAGCTGTAATACTATTAGTATTCATTAATGTCGAAAGAAACTTACTCTGATTGAATACTCAAGAATTTGATGGACTCAAAACTATATCCCTTCACTCCTGAAATAGAGGACAATGTGAATTCTCCAACTTTGATAATATTCTCCAAAAACTTTGATGCTTTTCCTGATACAGGCACACTAATCTTTGCAGACAGTTGTGGTGATACATCCATTAGTATTTGCTTTGACATTGTCGAGTCAAGCAGATGGGAAAGTTGTTGTATGTCTCTCGAAGGTATGCACGACATGATGATGGTTTGTATATTCTTCTTTGAAATGGAATACATTCCCTCTACAAATTTTGAAATTGGAATGAATTGATCTTGCTCAATTAAAACATGCTCCTTGTAAACTATTAGGCAACATTTTGAAAGTAATGCCTCCATCCTTTGAATAAAGCTCTCTGCAATACTTCTAGAAATGAAAAGAACCTTACATTTTTGTGAAATACTTGTAATCTTGGTTGTAAAATTATCCTTTGTTACCATGGATAAACTCTTTGAGTGATTAAAAAGAAAGGATTTGATAAATCTATAGTCTTTCTCTAATCTTGTTTCATCACCGTCTATGTGAATGAACATGGAGTTTGAGCTACAGTTCTTCAACTTTTGGAGAAGTAGAATACTCTCTACCATTCTCAATTCCTCATCTTGTAGAACTACCAAAGAGTTTTGAACAAGAATGCTCCTTACCATTTGAGAGTGTCTTGGCGAGATCTTTACATCTTCTGGAATGAATAACGCCTCTTCCTCATTAGGTTCCTTCTCTTGGAGTGAGGTGGTGGGAATAGGAGCAAGAGAAGGTTTTTTGAATGTAAGGAAGGCATCTAGATTATCCTCTAAAAACTCATTAAAAACTATCTTCTCTTGTACCTGTATTGGTGATAAATTTGGCGAATCTTGCTCAATAATAATATTGGTTTCATCCTCTTCATCCTCTTTCTCCATGTCAGTTATTGATGTCGAGTTATAATTTTCAAATTCTCCAATATCTACTAGAGTTTCCATAAGTGATTCATACTTGTAGAGTGCGCCTTTTCCATCATCTTGATAATGGCTAACTGTTTCAGAGTAGGTAGATGATTGTTGGAATAAATCTTGTAGAAAAAACATATCCTCTGTGGTGAATTCCCTTTCCATCTCCTCTATTTCACTCAACTTGTTAAATATCTTCTCTGAGAATATTCTACTCCTCGAGTTGGGAGTCATATTGTTTGGAATTTTGAGCACTATCTCTAGTTCCTTATGATCATTGAATAATTCCTTAACAAATGATTCACTAACACTATTTTCCATTAAACTCAACCCTGAGGCTAGAGATTTGCCATCCAACAATTCAGCTTCCTTTCTAGATAAATAGATAGAATCTGATAGCCATAAATTTTGTAGAGTAATTTCAATATTTGATGTCAATTTGGGTTTTACAATTTCCTCGATTGGTATTAGTTTGATTGGTACCGGCCTTGCATCTAGAAGAGGACAAGGAATTGTTCTAATATCATCTGAGTTGATAATTGAATCACTTGAAAATATAGCACTCCTTTCTTCCTGTATTTCCTGTTCAAGATGATTCAAGCACCAGTATTCCTGGATAGTTTTTGCGCTATTGGCAATTTCAGAAATTGAATTTTTGGATAATTCTTGAAATGATGCATAGAATTCATCCAAAATGTTCAAATTGTACCTGTGTTCAATTTCAAGAATTGTATTTTGACAAACATCTTCCATCGTATCGTGCTCAAATATGTCATTATTGTTGTTGTTAGTGGACCTGGTTCCAGCTTTGGACATCTCCCTAGACAAGTACTCATTCAAATAGGCTTTAGAAAACTCCAAAAACTTGATGTTCACTTCAAAATTGTACCTATTTGAGCAGTTTGATTCGTTGATTATTTCCTCTCCTATAAGTATTGAATCGCTTTCCTCTAATAATTCTTCGAATTGATAACAAACAGGAATCATCTTAATTTCATCAAATGTTTCTTCCTTTTCAAAAACTCGTTGATTAGAATGTAAACCATCTAGCCAATCATTTGAATAGTCTGTAGGGAGTGAATCCATAGCAACCCACTCGGAAAGCACTCGTTCATCAATTAAATTTTCCACAGCCTTACTCTCAGGTTTACAATTAAATTTTGTTTTTTCCAGTAGTGTGGAAAATACAATAGAAGGATTGTAAAAAGGTTGACAAATCTCTTCCGAAACCAATAGATGACAATCTAATATTTGTTCCTTGCTCTCTGACAAGTCATAATAATCAAGATAGTCTGAATATGCTTCTCCACTCCTTGTTATCGGCAATCTGTCTGTATTGAGAATAGATTCCACTTCATTCATCTCTTCCTCCTCAAGTAAATCCGTACAGATCATGTCCTCGTATGATTTTAATTGTTGAACACTTTCAATAGGATCCTGACAAGGACATGAATATTTATCTATTCGAAAAGCAGTATTACATTGTTAGATTATTAATATTAAATTCATTCACTTACCGTTCATCATTAATTCTCTAGCCTCAACAAGTAAAATCTGATCGTATTCCTTGATGTTTGTTGGAAACTTTTTCAAAGGCTTGTCATCTTGAAGTGAGCAGGGAAGTTTAACTTGACAAATTCTCTCCAATCTGAGTTTAATCCTCTCAGTATGCATGGAATGATAGTCCTTGCAACTATGCTCAAACATTGTTACGTAGTTGAGTAGTCAATCAGTAGTTTTGATGATGGCAATTTTTTTAGTGGTAATCACAATTTAAGGCTTTGAAATTTTGGAGGGAAAGTTGTTAATGTTCACTCCACAATGTAATCAGTCACTCAAGAATCACCTTGATATTGTTATTAGAGTATTGCTGTATAAATTCACTCATTATCATTGTATTAATATTATGATAGGAGAGATATTTCAAGGTCATCCTCATCAATAAGTGTCTTTTGCATATTATCTACGAAAAAACTAGCTGTTTAAAATCTGTAAATCATCAAATAAAAAGGAAGAAAATGAGCGCCAACAAACACAAAACCAAGGAGGAACGAATGGAAATTGTCAATGAATATCTTCAACAACAAAAGGAGAAGGAAGCAGTTAAGGCCCAAAGTGATTTATCGTTTTCGATATGGAAGGTAGGTTGTAGTGGTTAACCTCAATTTTCATAAATGATGTGATGATAAAACCTTGATGATGATGGAAATTAATTGCATGTAGAGAATCAATCCAGGATATGTTGTTCCAACAGAAATTTATAAATCAACAACAAAGGATACTTTTGTGTAAGTAGTCAATTGTTCGGAAAAGCTGAAAAACTTGATAGTCCTCAATATTCGGATCCAATCGATAAGTCCTACAATAGAATGTTGGACAAGGCAGCTCAGTGGAATGAAGAAGATTTAAAGACTTTTGGTAAATTAACTTCGGCAACACCAAAGGCTGCCAGTGAGAAGAAGCCATGGAAATTCTAAATTATTCCAACTCTTTATACTAGGAATCATCATGTTGATGATTGTGAATCCGATGGATTGAGTACACAAGATGATAGAGTAACGAACGTTATCTCATGTGCCATTTACTTGTAAATCAAAATTAATTATTGTACTATTAATAAACTGTAGAAAAATTAAATGTTATTATTTCCAATAGTATCACACATGATGTCCTCCAAAATTGTTGTGATGATGAAGAAGATATCTTGGTGAAGGGACACAAAACTGTCATTCTTTTATTCTGTCAAAAATGCCTTGCCTAAAAACTTTATTGTAAACTACACTACCTCCAAGTCATCCAAAAATTTTAAAAGTTTGTTGAAAAAAAAATCGTAAAATGGTATGTATCAGTCACCTCATCCTTTTTTCTTACACCACAATTATCAACAATCTTATTTCATCATCAAAATTATAGCCAAAGCAAATCTTGAACGTTAAGGAATTCCTTGCTCTTGCTGTTGCCGCTAAGGAAAAGGGAAGCATCACCCTCTACAAGTCAAAGGACAGAAAGAACAGATCATACAAGTTCAAGCTTAGAACCAGACAATACCTTTACACTTTGAAGATGAAGAACAAGGTTAAGGCTCAACAATTGGAAAAGGCTCTCCCACCAACTTTGAAGAAGTCTTACATTAACCACCCAGAAAAGAAGGAAACCAAGAAGCAATAAATTTGTTCTCTAAATCTTAAAATTAAAACAAGTTGAGAATATTTTGTTGTTAATTATCAAAGCACAATAGTATCATTGTCTAAAGATATCAAGCAAGGATATTTATCTTCTACTTTTCAAAATAATTCACTCTTGTTGTTTTGGAAAATACTTTAATACACTCGAATTTTAATGGAAAAGGATCAAGAATCATCTTGAAGATTTATTTGCCTAGATTCAAAGTATTACATTCTATTGTTTTGGTTGTGATAGGAATATTGAGAAGGGAAGATTGGTGTGAAAACAAATGGAGGTAATAGGTGTTCTGGTGTTCAAAATCATGTCTAAATCACATCTCGAAAAAGCCGATCATCTCTTTGGATTTCTCAACACTAAAATTACAGAATCTCCTCTCAAAAACAACTTGTTTGTGAAACGTGTCTTGTTGATTGGCTTTGACTTTTTTCTTCCCTTTCCACTTTTTGGTTGTTCCGTCCACATTTCCTGTACATTTTCCAATACCATATTACAGTGTCTATCAAAGGCTTTAACTCTAGCCAACAATTTTCTATTATTTCTACAACTAATTAAAATTTGTGTTTGTTCACGAACACTTTCCAACAATAACGAGAGTGGTCCCTTTTCAAATAGTAATTCCTCTTCCTTTTCCAATTCCTCAGCAGTCTTTTGTGGAGCTTCTGTGGTGGCTGCTACTGTTTGCGACATGATAAATTATTGTTGATGATGAATAATTGATTATTTTTTGATGATTGGAAAATTCTTTAGAAAATTTTTATTAATTTTATTTGATCAACGAGCTTGTGAGATGAAAATACAACACATGGAACAAAGAAAATTACATTGAACAAGTAGTAAATTAAATGTTTTAGCACTCCTAGTTAGAATCAATGATGAAATATTAAGAACAAAGAAAGTTGTTAGTGATGTTAATGATATGAAGTATTTGAAAGGAATTAAAAAAGATTGAAAAAAATGATGATTAACGATAATGAAGAGGAGGCTTTTAAGGATGATTTTCCTCCACCACCGGCATTCTATAGATTGTATCATCCAACAAAGAGTGAATATATTCCTCCAGAACCACCTAAACCAGTTCCTAGAGGAGAAACTTATATATCATTCGGAGAAACATTAACATCTTTTGTAAGTTTTTGCTCCTCCTGATGTAAATAATATTTAACAATATATGATGGTGTTGTATGGTCATGTTGTGGATCAAAATATTCATCAAATTAAAATTATTATTGGAATGGAATTAATATTTTGTTTAAATTATTATCATCATCAAATTGGATCAATTTATTATTGTTTATCGATAATATTTGGATTGAATTATTTACCATCCTACTATTTATTAAATAGAATGAATTTAATCCAATCAAATCAGGATTTGAAACTGTTAAAAAGCTTTACGGTGATAAACCACTAGATAGTATAGATCATGTTGCGGAATTGAAAAAACTAAATAGATCTTTATTGTACAATTATTTGGAATTGTTGGATTTGCTGATTGAACATCCAACCCTTCAAGTGAATGAAACTGAGGATATTTCAACAATTACAAATTTTGATGGATCAAAGACCATTGTCAAGTTTTGTTGGGAATTGAAATTACATCAAATCGAGTTAATTTTCATTAACATGTCATTCCTGTTAAATTATTATAGACCTCATCAAGCTAGAGAACAAATGATAACAATTTTACAAAACCAATTAAAGAGAAGAAAGGAAGTCACAGAAAGTGTGGGAGATTGTATACAATATTGTCACAAGGTGCTCAAAGAGGCCCAAATGACACTGACGAGTATTAATTTACAAGAGGATGTATTCTTAAAGACTGTTGCTTCAGAACCAGCTGCTTCTTCAGTATTGGAAAATGATAGTTCCATGACTGATTTTTATATGGGTCAATCAAACCCAAGCAAGAGAAAGAGAGAAGATGGCATGCAAGATGAGGATCAAACATTAACATCCTTCACACATGACTTGAATGGATTTGGATCAACAAGTGGTAGACAACATGACAAGAAACATAAGGATACTAATGTTAGTGTTGTGGATATTAATGATGAAATCATGCAGGAATTTTTCCAATAATTTATTGTATATAAAAAGAGTTTTTGAAAGATGATGGTAATGAGCTTTTAATTTGGATTCTACTGAGAATTATTTTGATCGATAAGATGGACATCCTAATTCGATTTAAGATAGATACTGAAATAATGCAGGAATTCTTCTAATAATTTATTCGAGCCTCTTCCTTACAATTGAATTATATTCTGAAAAGTGATTTCTAAACTTGCTCAATTTCAAGTAAATCATCCACAAGTGACCTAGCAAGCCACCAAATCTTTCAGAATGCACCAATCGACATGAATTCTCACTCTCTTCTACCACTTGGAATGTATGCTCTCCGCTAAATATTGGAAACCATTTGAATCCAACAATTCCCTTCCATCCAAAGATAAACTCTTCCTTCTCATCTTGTTTTGACACGTGCCACTTCCACAATCGAGCATTCATCACATTATCCTCAGTGAGAATTGAAACTCTGAATGGTATTTGTTCCAAGTGTGGTGTTAAAATTGCATTTGGATCAGTAACTAATCTCTTGGCGAATACTTCCTCCAAATCCAAGCCATTTCCGAGAGATTCCCACTTGACAACCATTCCAATTGGATAGTGTTCTCTCTTGGTTATATATTCAAACACCTCACTTGCTGGCTTGTTGATAATGATTGAGCTGCTTACTACTTTCTTCCAAAATTCAACAATTGGTTGATTCATTTTTCTTATTCGTTTTATTAATAATTAAGGGTTTTGTTCGAGTTGTTTTTTTGTTGTCTTGTGTAAATCTAGTTACTGTCTGACAAACGCTATTGCAGTATTTATTTGAGAAGCTATAATAGCGCAGTGTTTCTTTGAGTCGTTCAATAGGCGAATTGTGGAAGAGTGCGAATGAAGACAGTTTGAATAATTGAGCGTTTCTATTTTTGGATCCTTACTGGTTTACGGGATTCTTTAGAAGGTTGTGGGTTAATTTTGCTGAGGTGAACAAGTGAGAGATTAAATCGTCTATGAGATTTTATAAGATTGGTCCAATTCTCTCTCAAGATTTACAAAAGGGCAACAAAATGAAACAGTATTCGAAGGTTACAAATTTTACAGAGATTGAAATCACTAAATTTCAAACCTAAAAAGGTGGAATGACGGAATGAAGCTCCCGTCAATTGCCATCAAGTAAAACATCTATTCTGTTTTCGTCCCTTACCAACTTTGATGACCTTATTGGGTAATTATAAGCGTTGTTTAGTTTTGAGAGAAACAAAAATTATTCAGAAAAAATATGACACAAATATATCCATACGATATTGTAAGTTCAAGCTCTTCTCAACAAACTAATATCTGTAAGAAACAAGACGAAACATCAGACATAAACTCTGCAGAAACAGATGAAAAGGAAAAGTTAATGACAAAGAAACCCATCCCTTGTATGAGATTCATATCCATGCGAGTGTTTATCACCCTTCTAATTGTTATCCTATTGATTACATGTTCAATATTTATTTGGTTAGCTTCGTTTGTAGGATCAACAAATGCTCTTCAAGAAATGACAAAAGAATTGATAGGAAAGGTGGGTGAGAAAACCATTTCTTATATCCAATTAGAAATTGAACCACAAATGAGGTTGTCAATGAGCTTGGCAGCAGACATTAGTTTTGGAGTTATTGGAGAGAAGCCGAAACCTGTTTATTTGTATGAGAAATACAAGATTTTCGAGTCTTCTGGGTTGGGAGTTTTCTATCCTAAGGAGATGTATACCTATTCATTGTCTGGTATTTCACCAAATTCGTTGTTGACCTATTTAGAGAAACAAAACGCTGGATTAATCTTTTGGAATGTTAACGAAACTGATGGAAGTCCAACAACAGTGCATAAAAACGATTCTACAACGTATGAAATAACGTCTCAACACTATTGGAAGAGAAGCTTGGAATTATTCAATGAATTGAATGAAAATTCCATTGTTGGTGAGCCATATTTGGTTATCAACTCTGGATTGGCGATATTTTGCTCAACCAAGGTTTACAATTCTACGTTGTTTGCTCTAAGTGGTCAGAAACAATATATTGGAATTGCCAAATCAAACATGATGTTAAATTCCATTCAAGAATTTTTACAAAAGTTAACCATAATTGGTAATGGATATGTTATTTTGGCAGAATTGAATGACAGTGTGATTGGTGCATCTATTAATTCAACATCTATCGATGGGAAGTCAAGAGTTTCATTATTCGAGTTAATAGATAAAGATTCTGGACAACTGATGAACGATATTCGTTCCCAATATGGAAATCTTTCAGAAATTCCATCCTTCATTCAGATATATAGCAATGGGATAGGGTACTATGTATCAAAGAAAGATTACATATATAAGAACATTCATTGGATTCTCTATATGGTTGTTTACAAGTCAGATGTCGATCAAACCACAAATATTAATTCTGGAATTTCTGTTGGTGTAGCAGTGGTAGTTATCCTATTCGGAGTGGCTTGTAGTTTTATTATTGGTCATTTGGTTACCAATCCTCTTAGATTTCTAGAAAATCAATTCATGAGAATCAAAACTTTTGACTTAAAGTCATGTTCTTTCAATTCAAGCAAATTCAAAGAAGTTGACAGTATTTATGAGCACCTATTCGACATGGTTACTTGGTTGAACGAATTCAAATCATTTCTTCCAGAAAATGTGTTTAACCAATTGAAGAATTTCGAACAAGTTGAACGGAAATCTTCTCTATTCGAAAAGAAGGAATCATTTTCCAGAAATTCATCAGAATTTGGATCTTCCAAGGTTGACAAACCGAATACTCTTCAAAACTCATCTGATTCCTCTTTGAAAGCTTCCAAAGTCATTTCTGGAAGTTTATTCAAATTAGGGTTAAACCATTCCAGATGTAGCGTTGTAAATGTCAAGCTATTTGGTTTCAATGAACAGGTTTCGACAAATGAAATTTCGAATATATTTTCCAAGATCGCTAATGGACTTTCAACTCTTTGCAAAACCATGCAAGTCTCGGATTTACTCATTTTTGGAATAGACGAATACCAACTCACTTTCGTCGATTCCAATAAGAAATGTGAAATGGCTTCCATTGAGGCAAGCTTAAAAATTAGCAAAATTCTAGATAATATTCTTGGAAAATCAGAGAAAAAAGTTAGTTATTGCATTGGAATTTTTACTGACATGGCGTACATTGGAAATATTGGAAACCATTCTTTACGTTGCTATTCTGTGGTTGGTCCAATTGTTTCAAATGCTAGAAAATTGGCAATTTTTGGGCATACTCTTGATTGTAAAGTTTTGGTGGATAGTGGAACGTTATCACCTGTAGTAATAAGTCAATTTGTGATTAGACCAATTGACCGAATCGAAATGGAAGTTTTCAATTCGAAAACTAAACAGATTATTTCAGTTCATGAAGTATTGAGGGAAAATTTGGTCAATCCTGATGAATGGCTTTATGAATTGGAACAATCGAATAGTAATTCACAATTTAAAGTTTTACAAAATTCTTTCGTTTCGATATTTGAAGTGGAAACAGAAGAATCAAACTTTGTAGAGAAAGTCAGAGAAACAAGACGAATCTTTCAAAGATACATTGATGAAAATCCTTCAGACATCTTGGCTTTCAATCGTTTGATTTATGTACTCAACTTTCTTCTAGATTATTCTGATGATTCGAATGCTTCTCTTTTTGAATTGTTGAAAAATTACAAAACAGCACTCCACAGATCAGTCCAAACTCTTTCTCACCATAATTGTGAAGATGTTGAAATAACTCATATAAATTTTAAAGGTTAGTTTTTTTATTAGAAACATTAATTAATTCACTTCATTGAAGATCACTCAAAAGTTAATTATTAGAAAGGTTTTGAATCAGACTAATACAATTCCATCTTCAATGTAATCAACACTTTTCACATTTTCATTTTGGAATAACAAAATTAAAAATTGCTAGATTTTATTTCCTTTTTTTGGAATTGACAAGATCATTTCCAAACGAGTCAATCATATATTTTTGAATTTCTTCATCGCTTTGTAATTCTTTTGATAGAAATCGAAATACCAAACGTTCCTTCCTGACAGCTGTCAGAGCTATTTCTCTATCATTATTAAGGTGGATATCTAGCTGTTGGGTTGAATATTCATTAGGAAAAACTGCTTTCAACACTATTTCCTTATCCGCTTTAAGATTGTCACTCAAATGTCTTAGAAATTCCAAATTTAAATCATCATTAGATTTAGCAATAATTTTTAAAACGAAATCCTTATCTGATCTTAATTCACTTGGAAAGAATTCAAAAGCTTTTGAATCTGCTTCAAATAAATCACTCACAAAATCCTTGTCACTGGTCAAATCAGAAGAAATATATTCAAGAACTAGTCCAATATCACCAAAACTTCTAGCAAGTAATAATACAAATTCTCTATCTGCTCTCAATTCACTGGAAGCATATTTAAACTGTAAATAATCTTTTTCAAAAGCTGCCATCACAACTTCCTTGTCATTTCTTAATCTGTTCGAGACAGCTCGCAACGGTTGACGTTTTTCTTTGAAATGAATTGAGAAAATTGCGAGAACAGCTGGTTTATGATCCCATAAATCGAATATAGAAACCATTTTTAGAATTGGGTTTTCAGTTGCATTGTGTTTGAAATTGGAATTGATCAAGTTGACTAAAAGTTTTGTAATTTGATTTCTGTTCCTTACAAGATCAAATCCTATAATGTTTAGGTGGTTTTTACCTCCCAAGAGGGAGAAACCTTGCATGGTATGTACAATTAAAGTCACTTCATATTTCTTTGGCTTGCCAGATAATTTACGAAACAACATTTCGGATTTAATATTCGAATCCAGGATTAAAATGACAAGAAACCCACCAGTTAAATTATCAATATTCGACAGCATGGGTTGGTTGTCCTGATGTTGAATTATTTTTTTAAACTGGAAATTGAACAAAACATTGTTAAATAAATTCATTTGTAAAAAAGGAACAAATTTGAAATTCCACTCGTGTTGCCTAACAACTATTTGGGATTCATCTGAAAATTTATCTGGAGAAATAATGAGTTAACTTCATGTTAAAATTCTATTCTTCGAACAGCTCTATTAGAAAGTTGATACCATCTGTTCTTTTGAACTTGCACTTGCAGATATAATTAACTTTGAATCGAATAAAAAAATGACTAAAAAGAAACAAGCTACTCCCACACCAACCACTTTTGCACCTCCCCAATTAAACGATTTTCTAATTCATAATTTTTGTATCGGAAGAGAAACCACATCAAATGGTGCTTTAAAGTTAATCAGCTACGGAGATTGGGGATTAGCAATTTACCGAACTCCGATTGGTGTAAAATTTGGAGTTCATTCATCAGAGGATTTTATTACTCAATTCTTGAATGAAGATTATTTGAGAGAGGACGAAAGAGAAGTATACGAAAGTATCGACCTAATGAGTATGTTAGAAATAATGCCAATTGAATTGGAAGAATTGAAATCTGCCAAATCAAAGATTAAAACATTTGAAGGTTTACCAGAAAAGTTTGGGAAATGCATTAGAACTTGTTGTAATGGAAATAACAAATGTTTTGTTGGAATTGCAAATGCACATGTTTACTGTTTTGATTATGGAACTTCTTAAATATTTGTATGAAATTGATGAATAAATTGTAAAGTGCCTAGTTAACTTATTGATTGTACCCGCCGTGCTATGTTTGTGTTATTCTAAAGATAGATTTACTTCATATTGTTGAAGAGTGAAAGATTAAGGAAGTGAATGGCTACGGCCATATCACGATGAATGCACCTCATCCCGTCCGATTTGAGAAGTTAAGCATCGTCGAGCCACATCAGTACTGAGGTTGGAGACAACTTGGGAACCTGTGGTGCTGTAGTCTTTTTATCTTTTCTTTTACCACAGACTTGCTCCCAATCTTGAGCTTTTGGAATTTTGATGTAGCTTCAGGTTTGCCTTGTATTGGTTTCAGTTGGCATTGGATCTTCACCGCAGCAAAATTCCAACACACACAAAATTTCTATTATTTAACAGAGCGAGAAATCATACCAGATGATCCTCACAGGAAAAAATTGAGAAGGAGGGCAACAACCACTTTGATTATTGACCAAATTCTGGCTACTCATCCTCTGAGTGCAAGGAGGAGAGTTTCCAGATTCACAGTTCAGTCTGCATGATCACTGAAATGTCCTTCAAGGTAAGTATGAAGAAAGAAAAGAGTGTAAATTCGAACAAATCTTATAAGCCTTTCTAGATGTATGGTTTTTGAGAACTGAATTATGGTCGTTGTTTGTTATTTTATGATTTAACTTCTCTGAGATAGTTGAACATGAAGTAAACACAGAGTTGATAAATTACATTGAAATTTAAGTAGGACGTGTATTGAACAAAAGTTCAACGTAGAAAATAAGGGGTCAAAAAAACTCAACTGTGTGCTTTATTGAATATTTACATTTTGATTTTATTTACAATGAATGCCTAGGTTTACAAAATTTTGAGTTAAATGGAGATTACCACATTTTGAATTGTTTGTTTCTCATTTCTAAAGTATTATGTGATTGAGATTTAGAAGTTTTGCTTGTTTCAATAGAATTCAATGTTTTGTAATCAATTAAATTTCTTCTTCTTGTTCCACCAACAATATTATCCAGAGAAATTTCGGAATTAAATTGTGAAGTATTATTGGAGGAATTATACATATTTCTTCTTGTTGAGACCATTTTCTTATTGTTATTTTCTTTTGTTGGTTTTCATTAAATTTCTTTCATCAAAATATTAAATTCTTGTGATGAATGGAAAATCCACTAAAAATCGGAATCACAAAATTAGTGGAAATCATCATGGAAATAAATAGATAATTGTTTTGGATGATGATATTTCCACAACAAAATAACTAAATAACAAAAACTAAGAGCAAAATGCCAGCTAGAAATACTTCATCAAATTCTTCAAATTCTTCCGGAGATAGAATTCCAACAAAAACAGAATGGACAAGATCAAAACCAATTGATTTATCTAAAAGATTACCATTATTTGATATTGATACATCTAATATTATAAGTGGAACAAGACATCGTAATAATATTGATTATCATCATGCAAATTTAAATGGTAAACAAATTTCAGTGAAAAGATCTTCGAAAAATTCAATTGAAAAGAGAGCTAAACAATCAAACACCACAAATAAGAAGATTACCAAATCGAAAAAGATGTAAATTACAACTTGTAAATAATTCAGTAAATTGTAATTTGTAAATAAAATGTTTGAAATTTATGAAGTTTCAATTTCGAATTGATAAGAATAAGAGAAACCAAAATTTGCATCAAGCAATTCAACATGTGGAATGTTCAATAAATACGAAGGTGATCAACCCTACCAATTTCTTCAACAAACCTTACTGAACCAACAAGATTCGTCTAGTTGCCTTCACTGTTCATACAGTCAAAGACTGTAGCGGGATTGTCGCCATATTCCTGGCAGGCTTCCCGTCCAAAATTAATAATTGAAATTTCTCTATTAACACAGCTTCTAAGTAGCGATCTTTTATTTGGAGGCATGGTTGTTGTCTACAATCAACTTTGGGTGGTAATACCACATTGTCAGTTAGTGTTGGTGGTTCAGGAATTGTTAAAGTTATTGATAACTATAAGGATATTGTTCATCCAATATGATCAAACTCCATTGAAATAGTTAATAATTTAGTTGCAAATTAGATATTTGTTATAAACCTTTTATAATCTCAGGTTTCCAATAAAAAACAAAGTCCATATGTTGATTAATGATTTTTAATAGCATCTCAATAAAAATCAATAAAACATGCAATAAAAGACTACAGCACCACAGGTTCCCACTATCCCTTTTGTTCAGTTTATTAAGGTAATTGATGGCTATGGCCATATCACGATGAATGCACCTCATCCCGTCCGATTTGAGAAGTTAAAAGGCAAACAATAATTTTTCAATCTTTGGAAATTCAATTTAATAGTTCTACCACTGAATCGATTATTTGAAAAGTTACTTTGAGGTTTTCTGAATAGGTTTTTGATAATGATTCCTTTTTTTTCAAATCCAATAGCAACAAAGTATGAATGATTTTTGACTCTTATTTGGTTTCTGTTAAATTCCTGTAAGCCCATCTCACAATGGCATTTACAACATTACTATCGATTCCTTGTATTTGTTTACATGCATGTTCAATTTTTTCTTCTTTTTCTCCTTTAAAGGATATTAAGGCATCCACAACATTTTCCAAATCATATCCACAAACCATTTTTGACTGAAGGTCTTCCTCATTGATCCCAACTCCTACATCATAGTCTATCAAAACCATTCTCATTTGTTCCCTTCTCCACGATTTTGGTTTGCTTTTATCAAGTTTGAATTCAGAAATTTCTAAAAAACTTGTTGCCCTTTGCAAAGTCCCCTCAACTTTGGTTTGCTCTTCTAGTTGTAATTTCATTAATTGTAATTTTGACTCAAGACTTGCAACCCTTATTGATGTGTTGTTTTGGGCACGCTCTTTTCGTTTTCGTTTCGTTTTTGTATATTTAAATTCTTTGCTTGATTCAGAAAGACCCTCTGAAGAGGAGGTTAGTGGTTCTGAAAGATAGTCTAGGAGTGCTTCAACATTTGAAGTATATCTTTTAATGGCTTCCCAAGATGAATGCCTTGAAATATTGCCCTTACCACCCCAAATTCTTTTATAAAACGAAAGAGGTTTATCATTACAGGAATGGATCTGTTCAATACTTGGTATAGTAATTACATCTTCTGTTAATGTGACAGAATTATCCTGTCTGCTTTCTTTGACAATGTTAAATCTGTGATGACCAAAGGTTGCAGGTTCTTTGACACAGAATTCAATGGGGTAATCAGCTATCCAGCTATTATACAACAACATTAAAAAGGTTTTAATCTTTCTCCTGCTCCTCGAAAAGCATAATACTTTGATAAACGAAGAGGCATCTTGTATTTGAGTTGATGGTGGTGAACAATAAATTCTCGACACCTCACCATAAACATCCGCATGCACAGCTAGTGCTCTAATATATCTCTTAACCTGTGTTTCCCGAGGAATATGTATAAAAAACGACAAGTGGGTTGGCAATTTATCTATTGCTTCTGTCAATGAAACAAGCGCTTCATTTCCGTTCTCCTCTGTAATGGTAACATATTGTTCACTCATTTTCTGTAGTTTTGGATTAATTAGATAAAATGGCGGTAAACTTGTTTGGCATTTTTTTACAAATGAAAGTTTGTTAAGCTTAAGGTTTTGCAATTCGTAAAATAGAGTTTGGTTAAGGTCTGACTTTTGCTAAATTCACTGCATAATAGCCTATATTTTCAGTAAGGAAATTTACTTTATTCTACTCTTCCAAATATTCTATCTTCCCAATCATTAAATAAATTCTCCTTCATCGTAATCACCTAGTCTAGGATGAACCACAAGTGAAAAATCACCACAATGATTTCCGTCCACCTGAATTCTCTTTTGAAGTACTTTCCTCACATAAATTGGGGTGATAATTCAAATAATTGGAAACTTTTGATGATCCACCAATTACGAAAACGAATGGTAGAGGAGCAATTAATATTTACAGATTGGAGCTCTTAATTCCCCCTTATCAAAAACATGGTGAATTATCCTTCTCTCTGAATGATACCATTCAAGTTAATTCTTCATATAATTCAAATTGTTGCTATCATCATTATATTGGTCATAAGGTTCTGGTCTTTTTTTCATCAGCTGAGATTTTGATTAAGGGGAGATTCCTCAAATCAGCAAACAAATTAAACTCTCAAAAAAAATGCGACCTCTCTTTTCCATTCGCTCTGACATTGTTCGGCACTTTTCTTCTGCTATCCGACCTTTCTTTAATTCGGCAGAAAAACTGTTCAGAGAAATAATGAAACCACATTTAACCTTTGAAGAATGCGCAAGTCTGTATGCGAATACGAACACAAAATCAATGAGTCTTGCAACCCTTATGATTACTTTGTGCTCTAAGCATAAACGGTCCGAAGTGGAAAGAAGGAAATATATTGATGAATTGAAAAATATTATTCATCATTTTGATGAAGGCTCTGCCACTATTAGAACCATTGATATTGCCATTTCTACATTAGTGCATGAAGAAGGCTATGATGAAGTTGTAACTCTTGTTAGAAAACTTGGAAATTCATCACTTGCTTCTCTGAAGAGTTTTAGATTGGATCAAATCTTAAAAGTTCTCTCAAGTTATCCGAATGATTTTGAATTGGATATTGCCAAACATATATTTTCTGTTTTACTTGAAAGAAAACAAGTCAGTTTATACGCCTACAATTACTATGCACAGTGTTTGTTTAAATATAATTTTGAAGAGGGGATGACATTATTACATGAAATGAATGCTCAAAAAATCAAAATTTTTGATAATCTGTTTATTTCCTCATTGACTTTCTCTTTAAAGAAAAACAAACAAAAAGAAAGTAGAATGATTTGCTCAATGATTGAACATTCCAAAACTACCAACAAAGTGCTATTAACCACAATGGTGAATTTTTATAACAAATGTGAAGACTATGATAAGGCAATTGAAATTACTAGAAACGTTAGCAGTGATGGATTGGATACAACTTCATATAATTGTTTAATTCAATCCTATATTGGAAAAAGTGATTTAAATAGAGCAATAGAGATGCTTGCTGAAATGCAACAGCAAAATATTTCACCCGACTCGGCCACATTTACAATTATTTTAACTGCTTGTGCTGACAGTAAGAATTACGAACAAGGGTTGAAAGTACTTTAGTTAGAGAACAAAATCGAGCACATCATCTATGAGATTTGAATCAATGATTAATTTCTATAACAAATGTGAAAAATATGATAAGGCCATTGAATTATTTGATAGCGTTCCAAAAGATAGAGTAGATACGACATCATATAATTGTGTAATTCAATCCTATATTGGAAAAGGTGATTTAAATGGAGCAATAGAAATACTTGCTGAAATGCAACATCTAAATATTTTACCTAACTCTACAACATTGCTATTATTTTAACTGCTTGTGCTGACAGCAAGAATTATGAGCAAGGATTGAGGGTGTTGAATATAGTTGGAGAGAACAAACTTTCAAGTAATCATTAGATAACCTCAATGATTAATTTCTATAACAAATGTGAAAAATATGATAAGGCCATTGAATTATTTGATAGCGTTCCAAAAGATAGAGTAGATACGACATTATCACAATTGTGTAATTCAATCCTATATTGGAAAAGGTGATTTAAATGGAGCAATAGAAATACTTGATGAAATGCAACATCTAAATATTTTACCTAACTCTACAACGATGGCTATTATTTTAACTGCTTGTGCTGACAGCAAGAATTATGAGCAAGGATTGAGGGCGTTGAATATAGTTGGAGAAAGCAAACTTTCTAGTACTCATTGATGACCTCAATGATTAATTTCTATAACAAATGTGAAAAATTTGATAAGGCCATTGAATTATTTGATAGCGTTCCAAAAGATAGAGTAGATACGACATCATATAATTGTGTAATTCAATCCTATATTGGAAAAGGTGATTTAAATAGAGCAATAGAAATACTTGATGAAATGCAACATCTAAATATTTTACCTAACTCTACAACGATGACCATTATTTTAACAGCTTGTGCTGACAGCAAGAATTATGAGCAAGGATTGAGGGTGTTGAATATAGTTGGAGAAAGCAAACTTTCTAGTACTCAGTTGATGACCTCAATGATTAATTTCTATAACAAATGTGAAAAATTTGATAAGGCCATTGAATTATTTGATAGCGTTCCAAAAGATAGATTAGATACAAGTTTTCACAACTGTTTAATTCAATCCTATATTGGAAAAGGTGATTTGGATAGAGCATTTAGTATTTTTAATCACATGAAGGAATACTGTTCTATTCAACCTATTATCCCTGATACAACTACGTATTTGGTGTTATTGACAGGTTGTGCAGACAGAGAATCTCTGAGCAAGGATTGAGGGTGTTGAATATAGTTGGAGAAAGCAAACTTTCTAGTACTCAGTTGATGACCTCAATGATTAATTTCTATAACAAATGTGAAAAATTTGATAAGGCCATTGAATTATTTGATAGCGTTCCAAAAGATAGATTAGATACAAGTTTTCACAACTGTTTAATTCAATCCTATATTGGAAAAGGTGATTTGGATAGAGCATTTAGTATTTTTAATCACATGAAGGAATACTGTTCTATTCAACCTATTATCCCTGATACAACTACGTATTTGGTGTTATTGATAGGTTGTGCAGATTTAGTATCTCCAACCAAAGGAAAAACATTAATTAAAGAGATACAAGAAAAACAACTAGATAGTTCTGAGATGATCAAATCTGCAATGTTGACATTCTATTCCAAAACTTGCAACCAGAAAAAGACAACCGAAATATTAACAGATATACTAAGCAGCAACCCCTCCATTATGTCATATAATTGTATTTTAGCAAGTTATGCTCGTCATGGACAGGGTAAAAAAGCTTTGAATTTATTCAAGTCTATGGTTAAAAACAGTGTACAACCTAATGGAGATACTATCACAATTATTTTGAATGCCTTGTCACATAGTGGAATGGTTGAAGAGGCCATAAAGATTTACAGCACAATAGAGACACTCAAAATAATCCCATCACCATCCCATAAAACAGTAATGGTTGATGTTTTTGCGAGGGCTGGATTATTTAATGAAGCTGAACAGCTCATTGGAGACAGTACTGAGGCAATACTATGGCGAACACTCATGGCAGGATGTAGAAAGCATAATAATATAGAGATAGCAGAAAAAATATTCGAAATTTTAACAAAAATAGAACCAACCGATCCATCTCCTTACATACTGCTATCAAATATTTACATGTTTAAAGGAAATAATACTAAGGCAAGTGAAATAAGAGGTTTGATGGTACAACAAGGCATTAAAAAAATTCCTGGAATTGTTTATAGTGAAGATAAAGGTACAACCTATCAATTCATTTCTGGTTCCAGTAATTACCCATTGTTTACAGAAGTGGAGAATAAGCGAAAAGAGATTTATCAAAAAATTATTGGTGCTGGTTATGTATCAGATACTAGATGGGTTACAAACGCTCAACTAATATCTGAGGAGGAAAAGATTGATTCTTTATGCAGACACGCAGAAAAAATAGCAATCTCCCATGCTTTTGTTTTGCAACCAAATAGAAAAAAGATACTTTTAACAAGTAATTTGAGAGTTTGTAATGACTGTCACAATGCCATAGCTTACATTTCAAAAGAAATGAATGTGGAAATAGTTGTAAGAGATGCAAACAGATATCATCACTTCAAAAATGGTAAATGTAGCTGCAATGATTATTGGTAATCTTCTTATTAGTGAGAGATTCTGTTCTATTGAATTTTTCGAAGAGCTTTTGTTTTTTTTTTGTTTATTCAATTTCTAACTCAGCAAGTGATCAATCAAAGAATCAATTTCTTGCATCAATTTGTTAGAAAGTTTCATTTTTCTTTCTCCTTTTAAAATCACAATGATAACAATACTACAATCGTAAATGCTTTTGTTTCTCTCAAACGAAATGGCAACTGAGAATGGTAGAATAAATCCTTCTGAAACATAATATGCATACACCAACTCCAACGACTGAAAACTGATCCATTAATTGAATTGACAAATACTGTTTCTTCGATATTCAATCTATCGAAACAATACAAATCCAAAATCAATGCTCTTCTTCCTTAATAATCTGTTGCTTCCGCTCTTTTATTTTGTAAGGATCATGTTAAATCTTCATCATCAATATTTGTTTTCATTGTTTGAGAAAACAATTCGTTATTAATTTCAGAACGCAACTTTTTTTGATTAATCTCCCAGATGGAAACATTTTGAGGTGATTCAGTAGTTCTTAAATGTTCTAGGCATGCACTATAACATTTGCATAGGCAGGTTGAGTGGAAAATGACTTGGTTGAGGGATATTCTGTCTTTCACTTCATTTAGTAGTTCTATTGCTGTGGAAAGAGTTTGTTTTACAATTTCCAAAGAATGTGAATTTGTTTCTGCAATGTGAATACAGCAATCAGTGAACTCTGCCAATGGAAATTGAATTGTAGCATCCCTTTCGTCAAATGCTGAAACGAACGTAACATTTGCACTGTGCTTCCAGTAAACAAATCTAAACATTTTAAAAGCATGTTCCAGAATGGTTGTCATTTGGGATTCAGCACATATTGAGGGATCATATGCCCTTGCTAACATAACTAATTTGTAGAGTAGAGCAGGAATATGCGCAGATTGGGGTTGAAGGTGGTTTAAAGAAATAAATATTGCAATGAAGAGCTGCCAGAAAAAACTCTTGGGTGAGTGAAGGGAAACCAGTGTTGGAAGATGTCATCTCTTCATATAAACGAGAAATAGTATAAAAAACTGAGGTACTGGGATGATTCATCTTGAACTTGTTGAGATTTGAAACAAAATTAGTCCATTCCTTGAAAAACTCTGAAGACTTTTTACCACCAGTATCGTGAAAGAAAGCATTGGAAGTAATGGCCATTGTGACTTTATCAATAACATCCATAGACAAAGGATTTGGATACGTACAAAGAACAGAGCTCGTAGAAACAATGGCTGATTCGATATTGTCCAAATTGATGAGTGTTTCAATCTTGGATTTTTCTAATTCGCTTAATGGGAAAAAGATGTCTATTTCTCCCTTGATGTGATCCTTATTTTTGTTGGTATTAGTTTTTAATAAATTAATAAATTGGCCACCATCAATAGGAGTTCTGCTTAATATTTGTCCGTCTACCCGGTCCTGTCTCAGCATCATGCTTTCATCATCATGGACTAACCGTGGTGGTGCTCTTTCATACATTTTTTTCGATTTATTTAAATCAGCACCATGAAACAAGTTTCTTCTTTTTCAATGATTTTTAATTTGGTTGAAATAGTATGTAAATTAAGGACCCTCGGAAATAACAGTATTCATCATGAATTTATTTATTTCATTATCTTATCTCAATTTAGATTACAAATTCAAGACAATGCTAACAAGTTTGACAGCTTCCTCTGATTGTGGTAAACTAGTTACCAAAGCATTACTTGGTTGCATTTCATGACTCAAATTATAAACACAACTCATTCCACAAAAATCAATTCCACATTCATTTCCAATTCGATTGCAAGCCACAAAATATGGAAATTGCTCTTTGGTAGAAATCATGGGTTGTAATCTATCCAACCAATACTCGAGACAATCAGTTGAAAACCAATTACACATGAATACCAATACATCAGATCCAATTTCCTTATGGAAAGTGGTCAATTCTCTCAAATTAATGTCAGTGCAATAATTTGTTCCATTGTCAATATCCATACAAATTCCAACACCAATTCGAATATTTTCTCTATCCATTCCTGTTGGTTTATCCATGGTAGAAGTGTCGTGTGTGAGAATGCAACGCTCATTCAAGGAATAATCAAATGCTTTGAATGTATCACCTTCCTCTGCCCACACAGTATCCGCCTCAAAAAGGAAATGTTTTCTGTAGGTCACATAATTACCATTATGTGAAATCACATACATTGAATTATACAATTTACAATTGGATAGCTCATCCTTTCCATCTTGAATCAATTCCTTTTCTGGAAATCCCAAAAAAACAGTGCAATTGAATTTCTTGGCAAGTGCAAGTCCATATTCGAAATACTCTCCACCAGGACCAGATCTCTCACAGAATGGAAAGATATCCTCCCTATCTTTGAAAACATAGCCAGAGAGTGTCATTTCTGGAAAGACGAGAAAATCAATTAATTTCGAATCGAGTGGAGAAAGCATGTGTGAAATGTGTTCCTTGTTAATGTCTATTTGTTTGAATTTTATATCGCATTGACAAATGGCAACGTTTAGTGTGATTTTGCTGTTGCTGTTGGCGTGATGCAGGGAAGTATCTGATGCTGACATTTTTTTTATTGTGAACTCCGGTTGAAACTCCTTGTTGGATGCTGAAATTGTGTGGAAAAGCATCCACCAATCTGCATTTTCAGGTTTTATCGTATTTTGAATGCTGTGGATTACAGTCATATTCAATGTTCAATTTTATGATGATGGAAAAATGTATTTCATTCCGAGAGATATTTCATTTGAACTGATAGAAATAAATTGATGGGAGGAGGTGTTGCTGAACAAACCATGTGTCAAATAAGAGAAGAGTCAAGAAGAAGAAATTCTGTCAAGTGAACACATGTGTTGTAAACTCATGATGGAACCCACTACGATTTTCTGACATGTCCAAATAATTGTAGTTCAATTACAACAGTATAATGCAATTTACAAAAGTGAGTGACATACCTACCATTTATCTAATTTGTTGCCAATCATGTCCAAATTTATTCTGTCAATTGTCCAAACCTTACTCAACCACCAATGAGATTGAAGTGTCATGGACAACGATAGTTCCAGCGTTTGTCCTTGTTCTGCAACATTCTATCCATTACAATATGCAGCTCTGGTGAACTTTCCACTGCGCCATTCTCGTGTCCATCATCGCTTTCGAATAAAAACTGCAGCAAATCTCACAAAATTTCACAACAAAAAAAAACAAAAACCAATCAATCATAAAAAGATGCCACAACAATTCCTCATTGTCCTCGAAAAATGTGTCGAACAAGATGACGGCAGCAATGAAATCTGGTCTCAATTCAAGTGCAGCGACTCTGTTTTCGAATATGTTTTTGGAATCGAATATCCAACAGGAACCACAGCTGGCGAAAGAATTGCCAGAATTCCAACCAGTGGCGCCAATTTAGATTTGTACGCTGGAATTGAGAGAATTTTCAATAAGAATGGACAAGTTGTCTCCAAACTTAAGGGAATCATGACAAATGGTTCTTGGACTTTATTCCAATTGTTGAGTGATAAGGGATTCAAGTTGGCTGAACAACGTAATTATGATGTTGTGCAATTTTGTTCAACTCTTAATGGAAGAAAGTTGGTTGAGAGAATTTTTGTTAGAGATTTGTAAATCAATGATGCAAAGAATAAATAGTTTAGTTTCGAATATTCACTACGAGCCAACGAGCTAAGAAATGTCGTCGAGCTGTGAAATATTTTCGCAATTATTAAAAAATAAAAATGGTGAGACCTTTCAATACTTTCATTCTCAATTTAGAGACATGAAAAACAAATTTAGTCATTATCCGCCAGTATAAAAGCTAACAAAACAACATGTGCAACAATTAAACAACAAAACAAATATGACCAGGAACAACAACAATAATAAGAGGAAGAGTAGTGATAGTAGTGGAAAACAGAAGAAGAGGAAGATACAAACTGGGGAATTACCATCATCAATACCTTTGGATTCAAGAGATGGAGAAGGAGAAGTGGATTTCATTTTGGAATCAGGAGATTTTGAATATAAACCGGAATATGAGGAGTGGAATCAAGTACCATCGGAAAAGCAATTAGTTTTTAGTGTTATTTGGGGAGTTTTTGCTAAATGTGCAAGATGTAAAATCAATCAACATTTGGATATGAATGCTAGTTGTACAATTAATCATGAAACTCTTGGATCATGTGCACATCAAGTATTTTATTTGATGATGAAGGACTCAAAGGGAGAATTTCGTAGATGGTATCAGGATGTTTGGTGGAATGGTATTAGAAAAAGAAGCAAATGTATTCAATTTATATTCCGAAATTGTTTACCGAATTTTGATAAATATGATGATTGGGGAATGGTATTAATATTGCACACCAACAACACATCTCAATTTGGAACACTCAAATGTAGACAACAAATGAATATTACTAGAATGTCAATAACTTGTAATATTGAAACAGGAGAGGTTTGGAGTTCTTTTAGATTCAAGAAGTCAATTGAGAAAGTACGATAACAACTTGTCAACCAACAATCAACAAATAAAATATGTCAGCATCCTTTAAATCTGACGTTCGTAAAATTGCTTTAACAATACCTCCCGAGTTGAACAATGATTCATTTCCTTCCATCCTACTTTTTTGTGTGTGTCAGCTCATGCTGAAATGTATTACAATAGAAGTACTCGAAAATATTTTGCTAAGTGCTTTTATTAATATTTATTTACCAATGATGACAAACAATAATGAACGCAACAAACCTCTTGGCTGGGAAATTATTGATGATGATGATGTTACATCTCAACATAATTCGGAAGCAAGTATTGACATTGTTTCATTGTTAAGACAAGCAAGTGATGAAGTACAAAATATTGAACAAAGTGAGGATGTAGAGCATTCCCAACAAACAAGAAAACAATCAACAAGCAAGAAACCAAAAGCACCAAAACAGGTGCCAATTTTATACACTGATATTTTGGATAATTATACTGATTTTTCGTTTTTAAAATATAAATTAACTGGAGATGCAATTATTGAGGATGGAAGAGTTAATAGAACTAAGAGCAAATCTAAGCCAGTAGCAATTTGTAATATGGATCATTTCGGATTTTCAAAAAAAGATTTGTTTAGAAAATCTTGTAAACATTTCGTTGAATCTAAGCCCCATCTAAATTTAATATCAGCTAACAATAATTCTATTAAAAGCATCAAACTATTTAATATTAATGAAATGAAACAGAGTAAGGATATAAAATTTAAAGATAAAGAAGTTCTAGGAAGATTCTTATTTGGAATTGAATTGGCTGGATTAAATCATGGAATTAATGGATTTGAACATTTTATTCATTTGATTGCATATTTATTTAAGGATGAATTTATTCATGCCATTGGAACATATGATTACAAGGATAAAATTTTAAAAAAAGTAAAAGAATTACCAATTCAGGAACATTTAGAAAGTCTTAATGAATATATTGAGATGTATGAAAAAAAAACATTTCCAATAATATCTCCACTGAAATATATTGAAGAAGAGCAACATCAGGATTTGGATAGTGAAGAAGATCAAAATGAAGAACATGAACATTTTAATGAATTTAATACTGGAGTGGTTTCAACAACAAAGAAACATTCAAAGGAAAAACAACAACCACAAAAAGAAACAAATATTGAAAATGATGATAATGAATGGCATGATATAGATAGCTCAATGGATGACGATGTTGAAGAGGTAGTTAATATTGTTGAACAATCACGTGTAGATGTAGTCAATAATGAATCAAGTAAATTTACATTTACTAAAAAAATGGTTAGAGATATTTATGGAAAACAAGAATCCAGAATGTCATGTTTGAATTATTCTAAATTTTCCAAAATAACTGAATCAGACAACACCAAAGACTCAGTTTTAAGAAAAGCAACAGCTATTTTGAATATACAAACTCTTTTAAAATTTGGAGTTCAGGTTGATGAAGAAAATTCAATAGTTGTCGCGAGCATGCTCAAGGTGTTGGAAGAATCAATAAGGTACCACATTAATTGGATTAAGGAAGCCGAAAAAGATGAAACTTTGAGCAAAAAATTGAAAAAAGAGGATTTGGAAATAGATTTAAAAGTATTTTATTTCAAATTAAATCTAGATGAAGCCTCAGGTACTGTTACATTCGCTATTCAATTATTGAATGGAAAATCTCATGGAAATCCCGAATCGAGATTAAATGTGACAACACTAGCTGCCTGGCGTGGAGGCGAAGAGAAAATGAGATCGAAAGTAGTAATGTAATATTTTAAATTTATGATTGAGGCTACTAGAGCTAACGGAGTAATTGTTGATGGGAAAACATACAAAGTTGACTATTTAATGACAACTGATTTATTATCCTTGAAAAATATTAGTAGATTAATGTTTAAAAGAATGTGCCCATATTGTTTGAGTCTTTCAACATTATGTGATAGAAGACATGTATTGAGAGCAAAAGAAGAACTTTCATGTATTTTATCTATTCCTCCCTCAAAGATAGTAATTTGTTTCCTCCATTTAAGGGAACGAATCATGGAAAGACTGTTAATAGATTCAATATTGACAATGAGTAGTACGAGAAAATTTTTGAAGACGTTGAAATCAATTAAGAATTTTCAGAACTTTTCATTGCGTCAACTTAACACCAAAAAAGGAATATTATATAGATGTTACTTGATAGGAAATATGGTTAAATCATTGTTAAAAAGTCTTATTGTTATCAAGAAATTTATCAATCCAATGCAATATGAATTGATGACCAAATTTAAACGAGTAGTGGATTTGTTGAACGTAAAGGAACGAATGGATGATGAACAGTATGAAACTTTTATGAAAGCTCTCAAAGATATGCAACAATCATATTGCAGATTATATGTTAATGGTCCTAAAAGTTGGTACATGCACATATTGTTTCATCATGTTCCAAGTTTATTGAAAATGTACGGCTCCTTAAAGCCATTTGAAACTCAGGGTTTTGAAGGTAAGTAATCATTAACTTTAATATTAATTGTAAACAGGAGCTCACATTGACGATAAAGATCTATTGGAAAAAACCTCTCATAATGGAGGAAGAAAATCATATTTGCACTTTATGTTTCCAAACTTTAAAGATATAATGTTAATCCAATTTATTTTACCTAGATTAAGGAAATTGTTAATTTGTAACGAGTATGGTTTTAAATTTGACTGTAGTAAAAGAGATTCTAAATTGGTAAGGCAATTTCTTGATGAGCCCTATCCTGATATACTTTGTGAATATTCTCATTTATTGGAAAGAAATGATGATCAAATGTGTGATGACGAATGTTGTCAAAATAATTGATTCACATAGAATTATTAAAGCTCATAGGGATAATCTTGATGTAGGAGTTAGTATATTGTTTTATTTCGGATCGTATCTTGAAAATGAAGGTTATTTGGAGTTAACTGATAAAAATTGCAAAATATATTGCAGACCTGGAGATGTAGTGATATTTAAAGGAAATATTTATAAACACAAAGTTAATAATATTTCAACAGGATTTAGGATAGGAATTGTTTATTTCACACATAAGGGAAACAAGTCAAAACCATACTATGAAACAACGCAACGAGCCTCTTTGAAGCAACACAGAGAGTTGTTTCCTAACGAGAAGCCAAAGAAAAAGAAGAAGACAAATAAATAAACGAACTTCATTCCTATCAATGTCAAAAATTTATTTGTTGTTTACATTCTAAAGAGAACATCCCTTCCAAAAAAAATTTACCTTCTACTTGTATTCTAATGTACAGCTCGACGACCGCTTGGCTCGTAGTGTTGTGTTTTGAAAACTTGATCACAATTTGGATAAAAAAATGTCATTAGAGGATGATGGAGAGAAGCAGATTTATTCTGTGTTTAATTTACCGGAAGTGGTTTCTAATGTTTTATTAAATTTATCTGCAAGGGAAAGAGCAAAGTTTCGTCTCATCAATTCGAATTGTGATCAAGTATACAAAATTGAAGAGGAATTATTATTTATTAAATTATGGACAAGATATAGAGATGGACATTCGTTCGGATATCAAGAAGAAACACTTTCTAATGAAGAATTGGAGCATTATCAAGAAATTTATGGAAATTTACAATTTCATTTGCGTGTTTGGTTGACTAAATGTTCAAATGGAAGATATGAGAGGGAAAATTCATTGTTATTGAGTATTTGCAATATTGGCGATTGGAGATTTATTCAAGATTGTCCATTTGTGAATGAAGATTTTCTTGAAGAATATTTAGATTCGAATTTGGTAAAGAGTTTAGTTTGTGTTCACATGGCGAAAGAAGTTTCGTATTTTATGGACATGAGAAGTGGAATATTCTACCAAAATGTTAATATTAAATCTACTTTGAATTGGAAAAGACTTGGAACTATTCAAGAATGGTTAGAAAATATGCCCTTCGATATATTAGGAAAATTATCAATGACTAATAAGGGAAGAAAAGTTAATTATCTTGCAAAACTTATGAAAGCAATGGAAGGAAATAATATTGAGGCGATTATTTCTTTATTGAAACAGAATTTATGTTTATTTCCCTATTTAAAGGATCAATTTAAAAGAAGGGAAGAAATTTTACAATTTTTATTGGAAAATAACGTTTATGGAACATCAATTATTGGTATACACAGTTATTTACCTGCATTTATACCGTATGATTTGAGATGTGATCCAGATTTTGTATTGAAATATTGTAAAATTATTGATTTTTATTATTATTTACCAACTAAATTAAGAAATGATACTGAATTGATCATTAAAATATTGGAAATTCACAAAGATGTCACTATTCATCTCAGTTCAGTACCAAAAGAATTATTTTCTGATATTAGGGTTTTGAAAATATTAAGAAAACCAATTATGGAAGAATTACAATACAAAGATTTCCCACATTTGGAAATTGACACTATTGAAAAATTAATGATATTTGGAGATTGTAATATTCTATATCCATACATATCTGACAAGTTACTCAATGATCAAGATTTTATCAGGAAATTTTTAATTGCTCAATATGGAGAGGAGTATAATGTAAATCCTACAAATTTGGAATCTGTTAAACATCCATTACAAATGGTGTTTATTGACCAATCATTGAGAAGTAACAAATCAATCATGGAAAACCTCTCACAATACCATCTTTTATATTTATGTGGCGACTTGAAAAGAGATTTTGACATTTTATCAAAAATTGAAAAAACAAGTATTCTAAAGAAGGTCAATCCACTTTTAACATTGGAAGATTATCTTGAAATATTTAGAAAATTCATACAAAGATCTCCAACGAAAACTTTTACATTTTACTATTATATTTCAAATTTACCAACAAAATTATTCAATTGTAAAGAGGTTGTTCTGACAACAGCAAAATTATACAAAAAGTATCTTGTGGTTTTAAGTAAGATTGGAAGTGAATTATGTAAGGATGTGCAGTTTTGGAGGGAATTGTTAGAGGAAACTTCGTATGTTGATATTGGAAGTTTCGTCCCACATGAAATTCGAAACGATCCAAAAGTTTTCCTCAAACAATTGAAATATCCTGAATTGCAAATGTGTTCAAAAGAGTTGTTGGAAAATGTTGAATTTGTGGAGGAGTTTTTGGTTGCCAATAATCATTTCGAATACATTTACCTTTCACCTAAAATGAGATCAAATAAGGAATTATTCATGACATTAAGTGAGAAAGATATGGAACTATTTCAATTTGCATCCCCTGATTTATTTGCCTAAATTTATTGTTGAAAAGTGAATCTGGTGTCATTCAAATTATTAATTGAAGAGTGAAAGATTAAGGAATTGAATGGCTACGGCCATATCACGATGAATGCACCTCATCCCGTCCGATTTGAGAAGTTAAGCATCGTCGAGCCACATCAGTACTGAGGTTGGAGACAACTTGGGAACCTGTGGTGCTGTAGTCTTTTTTATTCCCGTTCCTACTTAAACATCTTTTTCATTCTCCTTTAAACCTTCTTCCTTAATTAATTTTGGCTTTTGACATTTTTTACCTTGCAACTTGATTTCACTGCATCTTGCATGGCTCCTTAAGAGGATAAAAAAAGAATAAAAATTAGCTGACATGAATTCAATATTAATAAATTAGTATATTTCAAAATTTAACGTAACGAAATTTCTATTTCAATTTCGAAAAGCATTTAATTTGCTTTAAAATTACAACTCAAATCTTTCATTCCTTCAATAATTCCAACAATTTTGAAACATTCTATTGGTATATGATTTTGTGTGAAACTTGGGGATGATTATCCCACAAATAACACATGTAATTCTCCCACATTCATATTACCAATGACATGCACACGATAGTTGACAATGAGACAGGGCAAATACTGCCAATATCTATGTGTGTAATTCGTATCAATACGGATATGCCTATTACAGCGAGTGCTGGGCAACAGTATCAGAGATAGGTAACATTACGTGACAGATTAAGCAGGAATGATAATAGCTCTTCCTACGAAACCAAATAGGGACTTGAGAAAATTTAAATGTTGTCCTCCTCTCGGTATTAAACTTGTTAAGAATCATGAGGTGTTGGCTTGTTGAGGTTCTTGGACCAGATGTTAGAATGTTGTCCGAGATTCAAGTCGCATTGAGCACAATGTCAGTGATGTGGGAAAGATGTTTGATTAATACTACTACCAACTCATGTCTTTGAGATTTTGCTCCCTTGATTACTAGCATGAGGAATTATAATGAATGTGTCCTTAATATTTCTCATGTTCATGTTTACATGTATTCAAGATGTGTTGAATGCATCCAACATGTGTTGTAACATAGCAATTATCACATATTTCCGTCAAGATAGAGAGGACTGTACAACGCAACATCTTTTATCTCTGTGTGAAATACCCACTGATCTCCTTACCAAGCTTGTTTTTTTTAAAACTGAAATCGATGCTAGAAAAGGAAAGCAGTAATTTTGATATTACTGTTGGTAACAAGTAAGCCATTCACATTGAATATTATTACTTTGAGTACAAATATTATGAACTCTCAATTGCAATCTTCTCTAATAGATTGTAGATTGGAAGAGCAGTCGTTGTTCTATCAGTAATTTATCGAGCAGATGACGAACATTCAACAAACAATCCAAAACTGGGATATTCATATCTAAAATTGATATCCATTATTTTTGTACTGGACTCTATATCCCTCCTTTATTAATTTGAACATCTGTATATCACTGTATATATCTTTGTATTACAATAGCTTTTTTAGTCCACACAACAATGTTTTCTCGTTTTCTCTCTTGTCCTTAGAAAAGCAAAAAAAAACAAAATGTATCAAAGGAAAGCATTGATAACTAACCAATCAATCCTTAGTGTCAGTTTGCTGCTAGTTTGTTTACTGGCATTAAGTATTTTGCATGTTCCATCATCTGTTTTGTGTGCTTCCTCAAGTAGCTCATCAAGTAATGGAACTGTGAGAGAATGGCTCAATGACTTGAATGATCAAGCTGCTAATCTACAATCCTCTGCTTCAAGATTGCAAAAAGCTATTGCAATTTTGAGTATGGCCAACAATACAGCATCCATCATCAGCATGAGAAATGCCCAGCTAAAGAAGATTAATTCTGCACTTGACATGATTAATCAAGAAATTTCAATCTTTAAAATCACCTGCAGTAATAATGATGGTCCTGATTGTAGCATTCCAGTATGTGTATCAAAGTGTTTGAACTGCTCTGGACCTGGAAAGTGTGGTGTTTGTTCTGGTAATTTTGATGGAAGTGATTGCTCTGCATGTAAATCTGGATGGAGTAATTACAATAGCAATTGTACTGTTCCAATTTGTGATTCTAAATGTATTATTTGTCAATCACCTGGAAACTGTACCAATTGCTCTGGTAATTATGATGGTTCTGTATGTTCATCATGCAAATCAGGATGGAATGGTTCTAATTGTTCAACACCTATTTGTGATTCTAAATGTGTAACTTGTCTCTCACCAGGAAACTGTACTAATTGCTCTGGTAATTGGACTGGATCTGCCTGTTCTATTCCTGTATGTGATTCCAAATGTTTGAATTGTTCAGCACCTAGTGTTTGTTCTCAATGTTCTGGTAATTGGGTTGGTTTAACTTGTTCAGTATGTCAGACAGGATGGACAGGAGCAACTTGTTCAACACCAGTATGTGATTCCAAATGTACAACCTGTGCATCTCCTGGTGTTTGCTCAGTTTGTTCTGGTAATTGGCAAGGATCTACATGTTCCACATGTAAGACAGGATGGACAGGAGCAACTTGTTCAACACCAATTTGTGATTCCAAATGTACAACCTGTGCATCTCCTGGTCAGTGTTCTGTGTGTTCTGCTGGTTGGACAGGAGCAACTTGTTCAACACCAGTTTGTGATTCTAAATGTACAACATGTGCATCTCCTGGTCAGTGTTCTGTGTGTTCTTCTGGTTGGACAGGAGCAACTTGTTCAACACCAGTTTGTGATTCCAAATGTACAACATGTACATCTCCTGGTGTTTGCTCAGTTTGTTCTGGTAACTGGGATGGTCCTTCATGTTCTGTGTGTAAAACTAGTTGGACAGGTTCATCTTGCAATCTCGCTCTTGGTGATTTTGCAAACTCACCATTATTCTCCGCTAGTTATGGAGCTAGGTTGATCACATCTATTTTGAGTGGCGTTATGAAGAAAACACCAACCAGACTCTATAGAGCCATGGCAACTTATGGTATGGGAATTGGTTATGGCTATCATCCTTACGCTTTCCATAATGCCTGCAATGGTTATTCTTCAACAGTTACAATTGTGAAAACATCAGCAGGGGCTGTATTTGGTGCCTATCTAAGCATTCCATGGGAAGATTATAATGCTGGGGATACAACAACTCGTAAGACATTTTCAGATCCTAATGCATTTCTATTTAGTATGGTAACATCGAGCGGTGTGGAGAGATTTGTGAAATTGGGTTATTCTGGAGCTGTTGGACAAACTGTTACATACAATTTTATAACACATCCATTGTTTGGAGCGTCGGATATTTATTTGGGACAAGGGATGAGCTATCAGCCAGCACCTGATGCTTATTCGAAACCAGCAACTTTTCAACCTTTGGAACCTAACTGGAGTTATGGAACTACATATTCATTCACTGTTTCTGATTATGAAGTGTATAGTATTTAAATTCAAACAATAAAAGATTCTTCATGAGCCATTAAAATAATGTGATGAAATTCCAACTTGGAAATCTTGCTGATTTTCAACTGCATTTATTTATTTTTGATGTGTTTCAAACGAAACGACATCACTTCTACCAAGTTTATTATTTATAAAACAATAATGATGTAAACTAACAAATCAATTTATTGAGACAAACATTGATTAATGGATGGACATTGAGATGGAAGAATAAAATTAGCATTATCCACCTTTTCAATCATGTCATAAAAAACTTGTTCTTGAGAAGCATTCGAAACTACAACATACGAGCTCAATAACCAACACTTATTGGAGGTCATTTGTGGTTCTCTGAATGTCCACATGGTTCCAGTGGATCCGTTTTGAGAAGAAACAACTTTCAATGCATCATAATTACCAATCTTTCCTTTTGTAATCTTTCCATTGGATGCTGGAATGCAAATTGAATTCCATTGATTGAAATCTGAAACCTTTCTACAAACACATTGACCATCTCTTAAACCATACAAAACAGTTACTGTAGAACTAATCTTGATATCCCAATTGGTGTAATTGAAAACAACTCCATCAACTGTATAACTGATATCTTGTCTCATCTTTCCAGTATTGTAATCTGCTGAAACTTTAAAGTTTCCATCGTAATGTTGTAAAGTGTTATTGGACAAGACAGCAATTTGATTGAAACTTCCTTTCAAAGAAAAGACATTTGGCAAACAACAAATATTTGAATCAGATGGAGCTCTCTTATTGAAAGCAGAACTTTCGAATAATTGATTGAAAACAAACATTGGAGAAGCAGCGTGGCACATTGAAGCCATGGTTGCAACAACAAGTAAGAATGAAAGAATTGTTAGTTTCAACATTTTTTTTGGTATGAGAAATTGTAAGATATTCAAATTATTTTACTAATTTATACATTTTCAAATTGGAAACTCAATCGAAACAATTTAATTGATCAATCTTGAAACTTTAGTTGAAAGAATAAAAAGACTACAGCACCACAGGTTCCCAAGTTGTCTCCAACCTCAGTACTGATGTGGCTCGACGATGCTTAACTTCTCAAATCGGACGGGATGAGGTGCATTCATCGTGATATGGCCGTAGCCATTCTTTATAATAATCTTTCATCATTCAATTCCTTAATCTTTTACTCTTCAATTAATAATTTTACTAAAATTGCAAAAGGAAAAAGAGTACGTGACAAATTGTTGCCAAAAGGTTTGTTGTTCTTTCTGGATAGGATTTGAAATTGAAAGAACAAGAAGAACATCACTGCTAGATAACATCACGGAGATGTATTTATTGGTGTCTTGATGAAGATTGATGAAGTAGATGATGAATAATTATTGTTGGGAAGACATGTGAAAATTCAACTTTCCAATCTTTGGAAAATTGCTGAAAAACATTGCAAATCTACCTTTCCTGTTGTGATTTAATAACAAATCTTGTTCGTCCTGTTGAAATTGAACAAGTTTTCCAGTGCTGTTTTTGGCTGTGAAAATTAACGGTCAAACTTTCATCTTCTCCAACTCTACATCTGCTTGAAGGAAAATTTTGAAACTTTCTGGTATGATGCTAATTAACATTTAGAACAAGCCTAGGATGTTCTTGTTGCTTTTGATGATGTTCTTCATGATGAAAATATTAAAATTATTAATTTGATGAAAATATTCTTAAAGTAATACAATCGCACCCATTTGATTGTTATATCATTGCTGTATACTAATGGATGATGTGGGTTTTACTTCTCCAACTCGACAAAATGTTCCATCAATTTAATCGGTGCCTTTTAAAATTTGTAATTCATGTTGAAATACAACAAAATTAATTCCCACATGTTCCATATTATCCTATCCTCTTGTTCTGAAAATATTTTCCGCAGTGTCGAAGAATTGCCTTTGAAAATCAGCAATGATGAAAACTGTAGCAGAGTGATGAAATTTTTTCCTCTTTTTTTTTGCTTGCACTTTCTTTCATCAAACTTCATTTAATGCAAAAACTCGGCAAAGATTTTCATTTACATATGTAACGGTTTTTGAAGAATAAAAAAAAGATTTTAATAATTTTCGAAAAAATGAGTAGGATCGGGAAAGTGTGGTCATTGTTCGATCATTTTTGCGATTTATTAGCATCTCATCACGCAATACTAAATGAGGAACCATTTGTAAATTTCCCTACTACTTCACTATCGGTCAGCCAAAAGCTTTTTGAAGATTTTAAACAATACACCACCCACCATAGAGATTATAAAGGGTTTCCTACAAGAAAAGGACATAAAAAGAACAAGTCTCTTCTTCCGAAGAACACAACAATGCCAAAGAATCACGAAGGTATTGTTAAAATGTTCAATAATTTCTTCAATGCAAAGAAATCTTACATTCAAGAAAAACTCGAGGAAGATAAAAAGAACGGCCCTACCATTGCAGGTGTTGTTGAAGTTGTTGAGTGTGATAAAGATGACAATGAGCAAGAATTATCAGATGACGAGGTTGTTGTGGATCCCAATGACGAAGATGTTGAAAAGAAATCATATTCTGTCTCGAACGAATCAGTAACAAGTATAATTAAGAAAGATATGAATGAATTAAAATCCAAACAGAGGAAAATATCTGACATTCAAGACTATGAAATTGAAGAAAAGCCCTTAAAGATTAAAAAGAAAGAACTTGTTAAACAACAAGACCAGCAGGCCAATCTATGCAGAGGTGCTATTATAACATTAAAGAAAGAGGCAAAGCAAGCTATTGATATTGATACAGAATCTCAAGATAAGAATATGACACAAACAAAGCTGTGTGTTCAAAAGATAGAACAAGTGTTAGAAGAAACTGTACCTATAATTGAAAAAGAAGCAAAAGAACTTCAACAAAGAAAAGAAAAAGTATTGGCTGAATTACAAAAAGAAGAAGAACGTATCAAATTAAGCATGGGACTTGTAACTACTGCTTCTCAATTCAAAGAACATTTGGTTGGTTTTATTCATGAGAAGGAAATAGAGTTTGCTAAATTGGAACAACAAGAGGAGGAGAACTTGAACGATTTTTATGCAAATCTGTTCAAAAACTCAAACAATAAATGAAAGCGAGTAATGGCCTAAAATTGGTGTAAATTTCCAAAAACGTTTGGCTAATGGACTTTTATTTAAAAACAATTTTCTGATTGTTAATTAAAACATTGTAAAGATGAGAAAGTTCAAAGAGACACGACTTGTCACGAATGTTAATAATTGTCCTCAAATATTTCACTGCATCCCTATTAAATATTCTACACTTGTACAAGAGTGGAAGTCCTTCAAGAGATTCTCTTGAAATAAGTCCAAATTCATCAATAATTGATTGTTGGAATAATTCCTCTTCCTTAGAGTTTGGTGCATAGGGTTTTGGAGCTATTCCCAAGAATTTACAGAACTCATCTTGTTCTAATTGATTGGCAAAATAGAGAGATCCAGCAAATATGTGAATGTCAGTCAACAAGTTCAGTAATACCTTGTCAGCAATTTCAAAGTTATTATTTGGTACACTCCATGCTGGTTCATCAATCATGATACGAGAGGTAGGACTTGTTCGTGAGCAGAACATGAGTATACGAGTTGGTGAAAATTTGTCCAACTTTTGAATATAATGATTAGCCTCTTCTGGACTCAAAATGATAATTGTTTGTGAGTATTCACTGTAGGCCAGCCAAGTGACGGGTTTGAAGAATGGACTATTCTTGGAAGCATTCGAAACAGTTTTGAGGTAATTGTCAGTGGCATAAATGTTGTGATTCCAATTGATTGGAGAGGCCAATAGAGTTTCTTCCAAAGATTCAGATAATGGACGGGCTTTAAGTGGTTGAATGGAGACATCATATTCCTCTTGGAGAATGCCCTTCTTCATGAATAACTCCAAGGTATCGTCAATTACAGTAGCTGCAGGATCACATTTTTGAGGTCTCTCTACAATTCTTTGCTCTTCCAATTCATTTTCCAATTCTCTTTCCTGTTCCTCGTTGAGTATTTGTGAAAAGATAGTTTTAGAGTGAGCTCTCTTATTAATATTTGCTCTAATTAATTCCAAAGAAGGAGAAATATCTATGGAAAAGAGTTTTGAAATGTGAAGGGCTCTCTTTTCAAAGATACTGAGAAGGTATTGTTCATATCTTTCCTGTCCATAAAAATCACTAATTTTGAATAATTCATTTTCAGTGCACTGCTCTGCATATTCATCCATTTTAAGCTTGGCATCATATTCGGTTTTGGCAATTTTTTTAGAGTAGAAGAGCAATCCACTAGTTGACCATTGTAGATAGTGATCATTTTCCATTTGTACTCTATTGTGAATGGACCATTTCAATATTCTTTCTTGGATTGTAAGCTGTTGTGAAAAATTGTCATTAATAAAACGATCAACTTCTTGACTTGCCCAGAAGGCAACAGAGTGTCCTTTTCCTAATAATCTCATTCTCATACAGGCTTGGCATAGTCTCTCAAATGTAAGACCATTACCCAGTGTTACGGCTGCTTTCATTCCAGTAGGGAATTTGAGATCTGTACCTCTTGTGTGAATATCATCAAGATAAATCAAACATCTTTCCAATTTGTTCTTATAGGGAGATATTTCGAATGGAATTATCAAACCATTTCTATCCAAAACAACCAATTGATCTTGGGTGTTGAAAAATACAGCTGCATCTGCAACTTGTTCAGTCACAGAGTTTAACCAGTATTTGCAAAGATTCATATTACTCATTTCAAGCATGAGCGCTCCCACATCAATTAATACTCGTTGGTTATTAGCATTCAATTCAGATATAAAGTTAGTAATCTCTGCTTGTTTGACAACATGATATTCTTCATTCTCTTTAGAGAGGAGAATTTTCAATAATTCTCCAGTAGTTCCCCTAAGGGAAGGAAGCTCATTTTCCTTAATGGTGATTGGCAAAAGGAATGCCTTCGTTCCAGAGAATCCACAAGTAGGGAATTTACTTTCCTTACAAAGATTCCAAGCTGATGCTGAAATCTTTCTATCAAACTGTTTACATTCTCTTGAGAATACAGCTCGATTGAGGAAAAAGTCAATCACTGCCATGTTATTTCTTAAAGCTGGGTATAAAACTTGTGTCTTTTGAATAAAGTCTTCCAAGTTAATGCTCTTGTAATGTTTGATTGATTCGGGAATATTTTTCATTTCATAGACCCATTTCTCATATTCCACATCGGGAGATTCTATTCTTTGAAGGAATTGGAAAACCACATCTAATTGTTCATTAGTCAATCCAGAATAATAATAACTCAATAATGTTAAAAGAATTGCAATATCTGGATGCCCAAACTCGGCTCTATCAGAAGGGCAATCCTTAGCTCTGTAAGGAACAGCCACCAATCTCTTGATATTAGGATTGACTCCATAATTAACTCTCCATCTCTTATTGAGCGAGTGATACAATAATCCAAAAGCAAATATACCTCTCATTAATAAAATTTCCGATTTTAAAATATCATTTGACATGGTAGAAAGAATATCCAACTCAGTTTGTGAAATGGTTTCTGCTGTTAATATCTTCTTAATATTTTCTCGGTCGTTCAATTTGTAAGGAATGAAAATTTCACTTGCCCTTCCTTCTAAAATATCATCTACAATTAAATCAACTAATTGATTGTAAGATGTCTTATCTAAAACTCTAAAATAAGGGAAAGTATGAGAATCTCCTCTAGTAAAGAATTCAACATGTGAAGCGCCAAGTTTGTTGAATAAACTTTCAGCATGCTTTCTAACAATTCTCATAATTTTTTGAGGTAATATCCATCTCAGATTTCCCATATCCAAATCTTTTTGTTCTCCCACAGTATAAATTAATTGATATCTAACATGAAGAATTTCATCACTTTCATCGAGAATATCTCTGCAGTGTTTTTCGAAATAGTCTTGTAATCTCAAATAATCGTGAGCAATTGATTCCTTAGCAATTGCTTTTTCAATTCCTTTCAATTCAAATGACAATCTATATTCTGGAACAGTGATAAGAATGCTCCTTTCCTTTTCCATTACTTCCAATACACTTCTAATAGTCTTTAAATCTGTTGCAGTAATTTTCAAATCTCTGCTAAATGGTAGATAGATTACCTTTCTATTAAGAATTCCACCAAGTTTAAATGAAAGATATGTATAATTGGTCTGGAGTAATTGTTTTAGTACAGTCAATCGAGGAATTTGTGCTTCGTTAAATGCAAGGACTAACATTGGAATAATTACCGATGTTTTGCCTTCTCCCATATTGAATTGGAGAACCATGTTTGTACTTGAGGAAAGCATGTGATTTGCAACTTCATATTGTCTTGGTCTAATCATCAAATCGAGTTCAATTTCCAATAATAACCATTGGGGGAACTTTTTAGGGCTCCAATTAACATGTCCACTATTTTCAAGTTCTCTATCAAATTGTACCTTCTTATTTGGATCATTGTTCATAAGTTTCAATCTGTTGTATCGTTGTTCCAAAGTTGTTAATACAGCAAGAGCTCCAATCAAGTCTTTACAACCACAATACTGTTCAGTATCTGATATCAAATCCTGGAATAACAGATATGGGCATAAACGATTTGAAATTCCACATTCTGCTATTGCTGATTTTGCAGTATCGGAAAAATTAGAAAGTTTACATTCCAGAGCTTTCCAAATTTTTTCTTTCAATTCCAATATGACAGAAATATTAGGCAGTTGTGCTGAGGTTACTTGGTTTGGGTTATTGGCTGTCAAATAACTGCCCTCCAGGTCTAGAATGTACTCGTTGTAAAGAGGGTCATGAGAGTCATGTGAAAATAATTGAACATCATGCTCCAAGGTTTTGATTACATCCTTCTCACAATATGGTGATATGTCACCTTTTTCAAAAATGTATTTAGCCATTTCTGGAACATCAGCTAATCCAAAAACAAGCTTATTTCCATCTTCTTGTACCTTGGTAAAATTCTGAATATCAAATGTTTGATTTGTTTCGTTTGGCTGTAAATTCTCCATTGTAATGTTGACTATTGTTATGTCACCTTTAGCATTATTCATCATATTTTGGAGAACTGATTTAATACCTTGTAAAAATTTTTGAACTCGTTCTCTATTGTAAAGTGTAGATAAATAGTTATTGATATGATCGACAGCTTCACTCTTATCAATAAAATTTAATCTTCCAAATTTGTTTTTCTCCATTAATTGCTCCTTATTGAATGCTATTTCAGCAAACCTTAGGCATGTTCTAATATCATTATTAAACGTTTCATGGTCATCCTCATCATCAAATGTTAGTCTACTATTTGCCGCTTTCAATAAATTTATAACGTCATCTTCATCAAAATCAGTACATTCCAAATCATCAACACTTGAAAAAATTAAAGGTGAATGTTGATTTCTAAAAGAATTGGCAAATAAATTAATAATCATGAAACAAGCCAACATTTTCTTTTTTTCTGGGAATACATAACCGAGATAAGATATGAAAACTTTGAAATCGGCAGGTGTTTGAGTTTTGGCTGCTTCATAGAGTGTGAGGAAATCATCTTCGAGGTCAATATTTTTCCAATCATACAGGAAGTTCTCCACTTTTTTTTCTGGATTGAACGAGGACACTGAATTGATAAGTTCAACTGCTGAAATTTTCTGAAAATTATTTTTTGAAATAGATGCCAAGTACTTGCAAGCAACATAGGATGTCATTGAAGAGATCTTGATTGTTTCAACATAATTGACATCTTTTTGAGAACTAATTCTTAAACGTACAATAGGATTGTAATAATTAAGGTAGGCTTTGTAATACCTTCTTGCCAAGAAGAGAGGATCTTCCTCGTCACTCTTTTTAACACTACTGCCACTTTCCCCGTCTAGGAAAATTGTCTCCTCTGACTTTTTAACAATAGAGTCCACAATTAGTTTGTAAGCATCCAAAAGACATAAACTTGATAAATTTGTTTTAGGCCATGTTATCTTCTCATTGACTTTCATTTTTGGTGGATGGAAGCTTCTGTCAGGAGAAATAGATGAAATGGCCTCTAGTAGAGAGGTTTCCAATTTTGAGAGAGGTCTCATTGGCCAACATCTTGCAGATTTCAAAATTTTGAGAGCTGATTCATAACCTGTTAATTTTGTGAATGGATCGACTATTACAGAGCTGGTGATACCATGAAGAAGTGCCAAAAAAAGCCAGGACGATAAGCTATCATTAGCTTCTAATTGCCACATGTACTCATTAACAGAATAGGTGAAATAAGGAGTATCTATTGATTTAGTCATATCGATACGTGTTAAATGGTGATGTTTGAATTTTTCTGTTGAAATTTCACCATTTGGTACAAGCACAATCTTTTTAGAAGAGTTTGGATTTTCGTCCTTCAGCATTATGGCATTAGAAAGTCCAATTAATGTACCACAATAAAATGAATCGCAAACTATCATTGAAAACTCCTTTGATCGTAAATAGCTGTTGTTCACCAATTCAAAGTGAAGTCCCAAACGTGGAAGTTCCACTAACACTTCATCATTATTTGCAAATATATGAATATTATGTTTGAGTTCAATTCTTGAAATTGATTTCAATACTTCTGTATACGTTTCTCCAAAATAATTCATGAGTACTCTTTCAGTACCAACTTCTTTCAATTTCTTTTCTGTGACATCGAGTTTGTAAGCAATGCTACTTTTAAATTTTGGAGAAAAGAAAGAAATAGGTCTGAAAAGCACACAATTAGTTGTAACATCATACCAATGACTGTAGTTTTCCACAAATTGAGCTGGAAGATCATATTCAAAAATTTTGTGAGACAATAAAATAGATGTTTCAGAGCCATGCTTCAGAATGAATTGCATACTTTTTCTAAACTCCAGTTGACAGCCGTCAATATCGTACGATGTCACAAAAGCATCTGGACGTGTGGCTTGTTGCACATCAAACACAAAATTACCAAACACTCTCTTATACTTTGCATCTGCTGTGATAGGATCAGGAAGTCTTCCAATTGGATTTCCATTGACAAGGAATGTTCCTCTAACAATATTGAAGGCAATTGCTGTAAATCCCGAATCGGTAAGAAGTGCTGCCTTAACCCATCCATTGGCTACCTTTTCCCATTTTGCATATGGATCAGTGTATCCAGACCAATAGAACTCAGCAAATATATTCAGTGCAATAGATGGTAATCCAATATATTTTTCAATTAAACAAGCAGTTTGGTAATAGCGTCTCAATAGGAAAACTTTGAGAGTGTTTTTAGGAAATGTGAATTGTTTGCTCAACACAGTGTTGTCATGAATTCTAGAAACACATTTACACCAAATTTCTACGTTTGTGTGAATAGCTAATTGAGGTTTTAGTACTGAAGGTTCCAAATTGAATGTAAGAACTGCACAACAATTAATGTCAATCAGATTTTGTCTAATTTTGGCTATTTCTAGAGGTGGAGAATCAGTCATTGTAACAATAAGCGTTTCAATGTCTTTGGACCACTTCAATATCAAGTTTCTGATTTTGGTCAAAAATTCAATGTACTTGTCAATAATTGATTGAGTAATATGAATATTGATAACCCTCAGAGCAGCAACTATTAAAACTAGTACAACTTGGTATGATTTCCAGTTTTCCTTATACTTTTCCAATATAGATTCGAGCAATTCCAAAAGTTTTGAGCAAAACATTGAATTTTGTAATGGCTCATTAACTTCTCTGTACCACACATCAGAATCGTTTGGGCAATTTTGAAGCATGGATTGAAGCAGTAGAACAGTAACATCTGGCCTCTGAATGGAAAGTTTTTCATTGGCCAAACATCTCACTATATTGTGCCACTGTAGTCTAAATCCTGCCCGTAGTGAACCATATTCTACAAACTCGGCCAAACTTAGATTTGGATGACAGAGTGCTTGGTTGGCTATTACTTGATTTTGAGAGTGATCGAAACCACTAATAGCCCATTCCAGATTGGCATATTCAGGTGATTCAATTTTAAAGGTAAAATTACTTTCCTTCATTGATGAATGAGTCATTGTGTATGTGTGGTCGTTACCAACTGTTGCCACTAGGTCACATCCATTTGGTTTTAAAAAGCTATCCTCTGAACTCTGTACATGCTGCCGTGAGTAGTGAGTGTCAGAAAATCCTTTCACAGTACTACCAATAGTTGAGCAAGGTGGACGTCCAGATGTGAAATTCTCAAGGTAGCCTTGTTCTCTCCAAGTGCTTGGAATTTTATCTGTTTTCTGAACTCGGCATTGAAGCTGAGCCATACAGAAGAATGCATCTCTATAATTCATATAATAATTCGGAATTAATAATTCAAAAACAATTGCATATTGTTCCACATATCCTGAAGGTAAAAAATCTTCAAAAATTGAAACATAAGTATTGTCCAAACTTCTTTTCAATGAGCATTTGGAGCAATATTTGGAATGCCTTGTATAGCCATGAACATTAATGAAATATTCACATTCCATATTATTGTATCTGTTATAGTTTCTTTGATAATCATTCTTTCCTCTCCTTACTTCTTCAAGCTTTTGTTTTTTTCTTTCTTCATTCTCTTTTAGAATTTGATCCAATGTTTGTCTCATTGTCTTGTCGTGTCTCACAAAAAGGACACAATAGGAGTTAGCACTGAGTTTGTTTGTCAAAAAATCACATGGGCGTTTGGTTGTCTTATCGAAACGTGTGAAATATTGTTCCAATTCGAGAGCAAATTTCATATCACTCGGAGAATCGAGTAATAAATATTTAAATGTAGATACATCCACTCCTGTTGAATATTCTTCTAACAGTTTGGAGCATGAAATGGCTATAATGTGCATAGCTTTCAAGAAGCCAAATAATGTCAGTATGAATCTGCTCTTTCCTATTGGATCGTTTTCATAGAATTTCGAACCTAAATTGTAATAGGCATCCATTTTCTTATATACTGTATCAGAGAATGATTTTCCCTTCTTACTTTCATCAATGATTGTGAATAGCTCGTCTCTAACCCATGATTCATACTCCATTAATTGTCTTGTTGTGTAAATGTTATCATGTTCTTCCTTAGGAAGTGATGAATTCAAAAGACTGATTTCCCTTTGTTCAAAAAGGGTTTTGTTGTCCTTAATCTTTTGCAGAGAGTTACTTAAATTTTGAGAGCAAGAATCGGTATTCTTTGGAAAATTAGTGTTAAATGTATCATTCTTTTTGATTTCCTGAATTGTTACATCCATTCTTTTTTGGATGAATTCCTTTGTGTCTCTAGTTGTAAATAATGCTGATGACTTGGATACGTGAAGCATATCCTTTAACTTTTGATTATTCACCTCTTTGCTTAAGGTACTTTTAAGGTTTTCTAACTTGGTCGCTCTCAATGAAATTTTGATTATCATTTGCATTAGATAATCATTACTCATATTAATATACGTTCTCGCTTTTTTGCATAAATAGCTCATAAAATCCAGCATGAAAAGTTTGTAAAGAAACTTCCCCTGAATAGGTCCATATATTTTGTTGAATTTGTAATGCAGTGATGCTTTCAGGGAAATCCAGAAAGGAGATCTTCTTGTGCCATCCTGTTTAGGCCTCACAAAACTTCTCACTTTCTTTTTAATATTATTAGCTACAATATTAGTAGGACCACCAGAGAGTAGTGAAAGCATCCATTCTGTTATTAAAATTGGAGAAGAAACTTCTCTATCTTCCGAAACAACTGTTCCTTTCCTCTTTGTTTTTGCTGAACTCATTTCCTGACTTTCAGTCAAATAAGTTAATTGATTTAAAAATGATTGACTTTCTAATACTGGAATATTATCATCCAGTACTGAAACTGATAACTCGGGATAAGTCATGCAACAAATGTCACATTTATAAATATTTGCATTCTTTGGATGACAAGTAAATGCTGACGCAATATACTTTGGTGTACTATCACTCGAATATTCGAACATTAACAAACAATTATTTCCAGTTAAATAGAACGAAATGCAATCATTACTTTCAGTCAGGTAAGATGTAATTGTTTTTCCCTTAGGAATGTCAATATCATTCAAATTAGATTGCACTGCAGCAATATTTGCAAAATATTTATCCAACCACTTTAAGGAAATACCAGATAGTAAATTATCCGAATGTTCCTTTCTAAATTCCATCAAATGGTGCAAAACTTCCATATTTTCATCCAATCCACTTTGTTTTATCGTGTAAAACACATCGGAATACATTCTAAACATTGACTCTGATGCCGTCTTACTCCTCTGTGATGACGATAACGTACCAGAAGCCTTTGTTGGCTGATTATTGTTTGCATTATTTGCCGTTGTGTTAGTATTTGCTGTTGTTGAAGTTTGTTGCGAAGAAGAATTCGCTGATGGAACAAAAACCATTTTTTTTTTCAAGCAATTTTATGAAATTTTTTCCATCACGTGATGAGAATATAAATTTATTTAATTTTGCGCAATCGGAATGAATTTTCGGAATTAATTGAAAGTAAACAAGATAACAATAATAATATTGTTTTTACAGCAGCAACTTGTATTCAATTTGGTGAAAGTTATTAAAAAACTCTATTTCCTTAAATGTCTAATCAATTTTTGAATTTTTGGAGCATACTTGTAAGTGGCAATTAATCTAAAAGGTTCCAACAGACGATTCACAATGTAAGCCACTGCAAAATTAGCATACTTTTCCGATTGATCGATTTTTGTGGCATCAATGAGATTCAACTGAATTAAATATTCCATCACTGCTCTTGTTGGCAATAATCCATTCTGGAATAACAAGTACAAACAACCCAATGTTGCAAAGTATTGAGAAAAGTAAAAGATTAAACCTGTAGCTCCGTAATTCTTGATGAATTCTTTGATTTTTTCGAGGAGAGTCTTTTTGATTGGTGGATTCTCCTTAGTTTCGGTTGAGGAAGAGGTTGGGTTGATGGTTAGAGGAGTTTGTTGGAAGGATTTCTCTTGAGTTTGTTCGTGATTTTGCTTGACAATGTTTTGGTAGAAAGTTCGAGAGCAGACAATGAGCGGTTCCATGAGGAAACTGTTTACGAAAGGTTTCGAATTGGATTTGGAGAGAATAACAGTGGATCCTTTTGAGAGGACAAAAGATCTTCTTGTAGATGTAATCATGTTGTTGTTTTTTTGTGTTTTGGAATGTGAAATTCAAAGCTGGAGTAGTGACACTTGATTGTAAATCTATGTTCCACTGTGTAAAATAGAAATCCTTCCATTAGAATAAAGATCATCCACAAATCATTACGGAGAAGATAATTGTAAATGTTTATTTTACAATTCCACAATTTCAATTTCATCACTCTTATCTTTGAGTTGAATGACTGGATAAATATCATTCAAGAGTTGAGGATCATTGCTCACTGAGAGTTTCTTGAGAAGAATGAAAGGTTTCTTATTATTGACCGAAACCCAAATTGTTCCATTCTTATCTAGATTCATTTCAACAGTTGTTCCACTTCTTTCATTTACAACCACTTCTCTCACTCCAGATTCTGGCATTTTAATTCCCTCCTGTCCACAGAAAAATCCATCATTCAAATAATAATACCATCCACATGTTTCATGATTTGAAAAATTGTATTTCAATTTGCTTTTTGGTGCAAAGCCAAACATGATGCTTGAACTGATAGTGGAGAGGACTTTGATTTTGTATCTGAAAGTTTTGGTTAATACAACTGTGCAATTCCATTCACTTTGTGACATGCCAATCTTTTTGGCACGTTTTGGATTGGTGAGTTGAGCTGTGAGACTCTTTGCTTCTGAATCGAATGTAATATCCACAATGGCTTGATCAAAGTTTGATCCACAAATGTTAATATTCGAACCAGCAAAATCATGTCCATTTAAATTACATTTAGATAAATTGGCACCAAACATATTAGAGTTGGTAATGAGAGTTTGTGAGAGGTTACATTGAGAGAAATCTGCCTCTGTAAGATTACAATTGGTAAAGACAGCTCCTTGTAAATTGGCATGTTTGAATACTGCTCTGGAAAGGTCGAGTTTTGTAAACTGAAATCCTTCCAAATTACAATCAGTAAAGTCCACTCCTGTGACACTTAATGAACTTTGCAACACATCCGTATCAAAGAAGGCAGAACAGAGTTTGGCTCCGCTGAGACTGAGTCCATCATTGAGGATTGACTTGATATTACATCCAAAAAGGATAGCCTTATTGAGCGAGCTGTTTCTCAATAGAGCTGAATCTAAATTACAATAGGTAAAGTTTGCTCCCTCAAAATTACAATTGGATAGATTAGTTTTGGAAAGGTTGCAATTGGACAAGTTGGCCAAACTGAAATCAGAGCCAAAGAAATCTAAGGATGACAAGTCGAAACCAATCAATGAAGATCTTGACCAATTGGTGGATCTTAGACTTGTAGATTTTCTCAATAATCTTTCATTAACCATAGAACCACTAAATTGTGAGCTACTCAAATCATATCCAGTACTCGTAGATGCTACTTGTGTCAAGTCACACAAATTAAAGTTTACATTTCTACATATTGCCTTTTCAATGTTACAACCAAATAATTTAGAGATTTTGAGTGTAACTCCATTCAAAGAGGCTCCAACGAACTTGGAATTACTCAAATCACATCCAATCATTTCACAATTACTGAGAGTGCATCCACTGAAATCACAATACTTGAAATTGCAATTGTGGAATTTGGCCTTGGAAATTTGAATTCCAGATAAATCACAATCAACAATTTCAGCATCCATAATAGTGATATTACTCAAATCCAATTGTTTGAGATCCTTCTTGGTGAGAATGAGTGGTTTCTTTTGATATTTGGAAGTACTCAATAAGAAGGTGAAATCATTTTGAGAGAGAACAGTTGAATCAGTTGTCAATTCAGCAGTTTCCTCATCAATTTCATTGACAATTTCATCCTTGAGAGATGCTTTCATCTTGTTCAATCCGAAATATTCCGCAACATGACTCAATCTTTCCTTTAAATATTCACAATCAATACTAATATTACCATATCTGAGCCAATGCAATATATATTTGAACAATGCAGGATCACAATCAATAAAGTAAGAACCATCCTCACATTTTCTCAATGGATATTCACCATCAAACATTTTAGCCAACACTGAATTCTTTTCCAAACTCGTATCAGTAAGTGTTTGAAGAGTTGCCTTCATCTTTTTACCTCCAACGTTCAAAGTAATTGGTTGATTAGATTTTGGAAGCTTGACACGATATTTAGCTGTCTGATCCCATTTTTTAGTTTCACTCTCCAACTTTTCTTTAAGAGTTTCAATTTTTTCCTGTAACATTTTACAATCATTTTCCAATTTGGCTTGCAAATCTGCCTTATCCGCAATTTCCTTCTCAAACTTGTCCTTCTTTGTGAGATATTCCTTTTCCCAATCCTGTTCAGTTTTAATCTTTGATTGGAGACGTGAGAGAGATCTAGATTTGGAAGGACTAAATGCTGGATTATAGGCATTCGATGCTGGACTTGGCATTTCCTTCTCAGCATCCAAAGCAATTGCCTCTTTCACCAATGCAGCAATTGGTGAATTCTTAATCGATGCACGATAAGCAAGAGCTACTGAATTAGCAGATGGAGTTGTCTTTCCATGTTGATAGAGAGGATTGATGAATTCAATTTCTTCCTCATCTTGATCTTGTGTTGGTTGTTCTTGTTGGAAATTGAGAGAAACTTGACTTGCTTCTTGAGCAAAGAAATTCAAGTTGACAGCACTTGCGAATGGATTTGCTTTCTTGACACGGACAACTTTGACTTTTTTGACATTTGGTGCTGATGATGATTGTTGAAGATTTGTTGATGGATTTGATGATGATGGTGATGGTGATGAATTTTGATTATTATTATTCTTAATGATGAAAAATAATTATTATTCGAAAGTTGGTGAATGTAAATTTTACATACATTGATAAAGACACTTTGACTTCTATAAATTGTATTAGATGACAAGGCTCCCATAGAATTAAAATCCGTAATTACATGTTGTGAATCCGCATCCAATAAAGTAGACGAAACTTGTGGAGATTCCAAAGAACAAGGAGAAACCACAGAAGGTGATTCGTCCACAAATGATGATACTGGCGAAGGTTGTATATCCAAACTTCCACGTAATTCTTCAGCTTCATCAGGAAAATCCGAAATTTGTGGCTTTCGTGTAGATTTCGAATTCTTTGGAGGAGTAGACGAATCTCCTTCGCCACCACCACTTGTTTGATTGGAACCTAAACCAATTCTGTCCTTGAAAGTGCCCAAGTTTAGTCTTCTCATTTTTTTTTGTATGGTTTTTGGGTGATTTTGTAAGGTTTCGAATTTTCTTGTCGAGATTCGAATAAAAATGTGAAAGGTGAATTTGGGTCGATATTTGTCGAATTACCAAAAAGAATAGTTTTACCAAATGATATCTTTACCATTGTATTAAAAGAGTAAAATACAATAATTAAAAAAAACAATAATGAAAAACAGTTATTCGAAACATTTGAATCGTCTAGTTTCCAAACACTGGACAAAAACCAATCAAAATTACCTTTCCTCTCATTCCAATACACCAATTCCATTCTCCTCCCAATCCTACAGTCTCATTTTCAATTCCAAATCTACCAAAGTTTCGTCTCCTTTCTTCCCAACCAATTCCTTCCAATCCTTTCTCTATTCCTCAACCTCAACCTCCAAACCAACTTCCACTCCAAACTCCAATCTTTCCAATCAAGTTTCAAGTGGTCGCGTTTTCGATAATTTAAATTCCTCGTCAATTTTATTTATCGATCCAACGAGTGGAATTCCAATTGTTTTTCGAAAGGAAAAATTAGAAACTTTTCCAATGAATAGTGAGAAGGAAGCTTCTGAAGAGGTTATTTATCATAATTTAAAGTTTCTGGTGAATAATTCGATTTTGGAAGAAAGTGATTTGGTTATTCGATTGTGTGAATTGTGGATTTCTAATTTTGGAGATCCTGAGGATGAACAACATTCAATGGTGTTGTTGGGACAATATTTGAGAAAATGTGGAATTAAGAATAAGAACATTGATCAAATAATGAAGCAAGTGAATAGTTTCGGTTCGCATTATTCGAATTCGTTCAAAACCAATCATTCTTTATTCAATAGGGGAAATGAAGAGGTGGAACATCAAGATGAAGTGAACATTGACCGATTATTGACAACACACAAAGCATTTCCCTACATTCAACTCGAAGAAGAATAAAACCAAAATTTATCTTTTTAATTCCACAAAATGTGTGAAATTTAAATTGAATTCATAAAATATTCATCATCGTCATGCTCAATTGTAGTTCCCATCGATTCTAGATAAGTTTTGGCATCACCTTTTATCCAGCCAAACCAAGTTGGAAATTTAGAGCACCAAAATAATGCCTTCTCATAATCAACAGGAATTCCACATTCACCCCTCATGTATAATTGTCCCAATGATATTAAGACTTCTTTTCTCGATAAAAAGGAACACGATTTGGAAAGTTGTACGAGCTCTGCAAATCCACGCTGTTTATCTTGTGCAAGAAATCCTTGAATTCCTGTAATGTGTTTCCTTGCTATCCATGGTGAATACCAGTCAATATCGTCTCGTTTCTGTAAGAATGTGTAGATTTGGAAAATTGTGGAAATAGGTAATTGAGAATTACAAGCCCAACAAAGTGAATGAATTGTCGATTGTTTCATGTTTCCAACAAAATATTGGAAAAATTCATTACAAATCGTACTTCCTTTCTTTGATAGAATTGTGGCATTGAAAAATAGTTCACAAGATATTCCATGCCCGATTTGACTGGGAGAGGTTGCTATACGAGAAAGACGCAAATTATCAAAAGTGGACAAAGCAGAGTCGTTACAATAATTGGATTCTTCATAGTTGTTATCGTACAGAGGAAGAAACAAGGAAAAACATGTCATTGACGAAAGTACATTGGAAATTTCGTTGTGTATCAGTTCTCTCTCTGATTCATCAAATAGGTTTTCCTTATTTTGATTGATAATGCTTAATTCACCAAGAAAGCGCATGATATTCGAATAGACATCTTTGGAATTAAAACAATCACTTAAATTTGTTAAGGCAAGATTAGAAATCAGACTAATATCCTCTCTTCCAATTAATTTTACCAGAAATCTATTACACAAATCCATAGCACTCTGGTTTCCGTTATAAGCAAGACGACACAAGGCCAAAAAACCACATTCTTTCGTTTTTTCAAATAAGGTGACTCTCTTTAGTCCCAAATTCATTTCACTCAATTTTGTTTCAAGTTCAGTAGTAAACTTTTGGCTTATCTGACAAATCTTTTCAGAATTTCCCTCCTTTAAATATTCTAATAGTGATGAAATACAATTTTCTAAACTAGGTAAATTATCATAACTCTGTTTCACATCTATCAAGCTCAGTTTCTTTGCAAACTCAACATCTCCATTCAACAATGAAGAAACATACCAAGCCAAACTTGTGGGCATATACCTTCTAAAATCACCAACAAACATGCAGAGTTCTGGATATTGGTCGATTATGAATATAATCTTTTTCAATAATTCACACATTTCTAATAGTGGTTCAGTGATATTGTCGTCTTTGTTGCTGTCCACTAAAAAACGACACAAAACAATGGACGGATCATCCCAACACAATTCATAAATTGTTGCTTCACTACCAATTTCAAACCTCACTCTCCAACTGACATCATTTTCTTGATATTCAACATGAAACGGAGCAATCTTTCTCCATAAAAAACCATTAATAAACAATCGTCCGATTACATCTTGACTTGTTAAATTATGAAATGAAGAAGTACTTGAAGAACTCAAGGGAAATAAGGCAAATTCGACAAGGTATTTAAACGAAGAGGTTTTCCTCTTGATGAAATACAGCAATCCGCCTCTTTCTTCTGCCTTTATCCCTTTGAAATAAAAGAACGTGGACATTTTTTTATATTAAGGATGTGATGAACTAACTCTCTGTTGGTTTTTCAACGATCGTGTGTGTAGTTTCCACCTTAATATTAATAATGTTAATAATATAAGTGTTAATTAAAAAATTAATGTCACACCTTAAATATCTACGCAACACTAAGCATTCGTATACTAATTGAAATATTTTACAAATTATTTGGGTTTAATTTCCAAACTGGAAACATTAAATGTTATTAGTTTTTTTCAAATTTTGAACGGATAACCATTTAGAATAGGTTGAGGTTTGTTGTAAACGATTGAAAGTATCCTGGAGGTTCAACAGCAAATCAGTTTCAACACATCTCCAAACTAAATCAAATTCAATCTGAGATTCAGCTTCACACTTTTCTAAAAGTGAATAAAACTTCCTCCTGCAAGTGAAAGGAAGGTTCACTTCATATTTTGAATAGTTTCTAATAAATTCAGCTTCAATTTCTTGTAATTCTTTGAACTTGACAAACTTTCTACCCTGTAGCGATTTCAACTTGATGTAAAATTCATAATTCTCTGAACTAAACTCCTTTTCACAGTATTCCTTTAAAAGTACAAGTAAATCTGCATTTTTCAATTCTTGATCCCAATCCAGTTTTGACATTTCCTTTCGTTTTGTTATCATTTTGTAAATTTCAATCAATAAAACATTTCCTCCACTAATTTGGACGAAACTCAAACAAAGTAAAGTGTTGAAAATTCCTGTAAATATTGATAAATTTTGAATAGTTTCCACATTTGACGAGCTCACTACTGAATTTTCAATTCCAGTTAGAATTCCAATGAAAAGTGGTATAAAAGTCGAAATTAAATCAACTCTAAAATAGAAAGGATCGTCGAAAAAGAAGAACTTTCGAATACCTCCTCCCTTTAGCATGTTTTTTCTTTGCAAGAACAAATCTAATAGCAAACAAAGTCCACAAAAAATCCACAAAATAAGAATAGCAGCTAATAAAATAATAGGTCTATAAACATCGGCTGCTATCTTGCTTTCATTCACAAAATAGTAAACGCTTGTCAAGTTCAGTAAATGTGAAATTGGGAAGGTAAGAACTACGGTCACTAGCAATCCTGCCTTTTGAGAAGCGAGCATTTTCAATAACTTTTCTCTCTTTGGAAACATTACAATGAGAGAGTATAAATTTCGCAAATAATAGAACCGAACAATGGTGGTTCCATAAATGGTAACCCACCAAAAAAAGCAAAATAAAGAAACGCTATACCAAAATCCAACACAAGTTCTGGATAGTCCAGTGAATGTAAGCATGATACCCAATATTAGAAGTGATGTGTATGGAATTCCAATTCTTCTTTTGATTGATGGTTTTTTGTAAACTTTCAAACCGAATAACAATAAAAAATAAATTACTATAATTAGGAATTGAGGAATGATAAAGTAATCCAAAATTGGTACGAAATCCTCGCCATAACACCCATCAGTTTGGCACATATAGCACGTAGAAGGAAGTAAATTTTGCCAAGTTTCATTCAAGGAAAGATCACCAGACATGTTCAAATTAATCTTATCATTAACGAGAGTCCAATTTCCATTAATTTGTGTCTTTCCAGTAATGTTACTAATGATATCAATATCTAGTTGAGAAAAATTAGCATAACCAGTCATCCTTCTAAAAAATTGAGCATCCGAAATGTCAGGTCTGTTATCACAATTTGTAACTTCAAAATCAAACATGTTAGCAACTAACTGTATTGGTAGTAGATTGTGTGTAGACTTCATACGGGATGAGAGGTATCGCAACAAAGTCGGCAGTGTTCATGTAGATGCCAGATGCCATGTCAACATCGCGATAAAATCTCAGATAAAACGAAAAGTAATAGGGATCCAACAAGATGGCATCATATTTTGCAAAGTAATTTCTTCTCTGACACATGTCCACCTGTGGATAAATAGGAAAGTAGCTGGAAGAATCTAAACTATTTGATGACCCGACAGAAAGTGACAGATTTACACAGGTGAAAAATCTTGCCAAGTAATCATAAAAATCTGGAATAGGGCCGATGGTTAAACCCTTCTCCTTGACCGATTCTATCAAATACTTTCGTCTAGAATCGTTATTATTTGTGGTGATTAGTTTAGTCAAAGTTTCATTAGAAAATTTACTTTTCCACACGAATAGTATTAGAAATGTTCTTACTCCAACCACAGAATCTCCGGTTTTAACTTGTGTAAGAAGTGGAGAAGTTGTAGTAACCAAGTCTAAAGCATTCTTTCTTTCACAAGTTGTGTGTGAAATGAGAAAAAACCAAGTGAATGTCAATAGAAGGAGAAAAGCTGATTTTTTCATGGTTGTCAAACGCAAATTTCGAAATTTCATGCACTCTAGTTCTACTTGTTTCCAAAATAACATTTACTTACTGGTTTTGGGGCACAACTGGGCACTTTAGGCAAGTTTCACATTTACCTTAGCTTAGGAACTCGTCATGTATGATTTTGAAAACATAATATGAAACCAACACATCATCATCTTAAGATCATCATTGGTCTATCTAAAATGTATAGGAACTTGGTAAATTGACAACATGATGAAAATCTGATAATAAATATGATTTTAATCTGATAATAAATAGTAGTTACTAAAGACATGATTCAAGTTGGTGAAGTACATGTTGAGTTATGGTCCAAATACTTTTTCAAAATTAGAATGTACCTATCCCTATAATAACTTGACCAAAATTGATTAGAGAAAGTTCTTCTACTATTGACCATTCCGAACAATACTACATTAACATGATTTTTCCAACTTGTCCAGTAGATATTTAAAATTAAATTACTAAAAATTAATTTCCACAAATACAAATGGCATTATATTGATGATGGAACACAATAATGATGATGGTTGGTGAATGATCGAATGATGGAACACCAACTTGTGATTTTCCATCATGAAAAATAAATTCCAATTTCATGATGATAATCCACCAATAAAAATTACTATTATTATTACTATTTAGATCATGTTGAGATGATGTTGTGAAGGTTTGGTAGCTTCAAGATGTGAAACCACTCCGAAAATCATTAAAGTACATCACATACTCGATGTTGAAATATTTTTTATTGTTTTTTGTTATTTACATATTACATATTTATTTTTATTGTTTTTTTGTTTTATTTAAATCTGAGAAAAGATGAAGAACAGTTTATTCCAATAATCATTCACTTATTGAAGAGAAAAAACTTCATAATCTTCAATTTGGAAATATTGTGATCCTGTCAAGTATGATTGTGCGGTTGAACCTGGTGTCAATATTCCATCACCATAGCTGTGACCTAGATTAGCATAATTGTAATTATCTGCAATATGTAAATCATGTCCTGCTCCAAATGCTGGTCCATATTGAGGATTGTGATAAATTGAGTATTGAGAAGAGTTGTCTCCAATCTTGAAGTAATATCCATATTGTTGAGTCAATTTTGTAAATCTTTCAACTTTGTCAGCTGAAACTAAACTAAATAGAAATGCTGATTTGTCTGGAAAGAATGCTCCAGTAGTTGAGGTCCATGAAATACTTGTATAACCTCCAAATACAGCACCTGTTTTTGCCTTGACAATTACAACGGTTGAACCTTTGTTATCACATTTCGAATGGAATGCTTGAGCTGAGAAACCATCTCTTGATGCCTTAAATATTAATTTGAGTCCATTTGGTGTTGGAATGCCATTCAATATTTCTGTTGCTAATCTTTCTGATTGTTTTTGAGATAATAGTGTTGAATCTTTCAATCCACTTATTTTGGATTCGAGTTCTTTCTTTACTTGTTCTTCCTTATTCTTCTTTTCTTGTTCTTCTTTCAATTTCTTTTGATATTTGAGTTTCTTCTCTTGTTCTTCTTTCATCTTTGTTTCCAGTTCCTGCGAGGATTCAGATTTGAGCTGTTTGTTATCTTTGAGTTTATTCTTTTGGTTTTCTTTAGATTTAGATTCATGTCTTTCATGTAATGGTCTTGTTTGATATAATAGTTCAAGATTTTCAATTTCAATTTCCAAAATAGATTTCAATTCATTCAATTCATTTCTTGTTGTTGATTTATCAGATGTGTAAGATTTAAACAAAGATGATTTCTTTCCACTCACTTCAAATGCATCCAATAAAATGTTAATTTCCTTCAATGCATTTGATGTGTCTTTCAAATATTGCTTTTTATCTTTCAATACTTTGAACACATCTCTTGTTGAATATGTTGATGATGAAGAATTGTTGCTTGTTCCTTTACTAAGTAATGTTACTGTTGATGATTGTGCATGTGTAGCCATTACTAATGCACTCATCAATATTATTAAGGCAAATAAACAACAACGCAACACAATTGTGACGATTGTTGGTACAGATATTACTGTTAATCTGTTTCATTCAACAGATCCACAACTATTAAATGTTGGTTATCTTTTTGTGGGCCTGAAAATAGAAGTACAACACAATATGGTAATTGAATGTGATTACAACTATTACAATTGGACAATTAAAGAAATATTGAAAGTTCAATAATAATTATCACAGTTACTCCATTAAAAGGACAATTAACTTGACTCTCATCCAATTTTTAACCATACCAGTGATATTTAAATAATCTTAAATAACCCATTCTGGGCCCAAAATGATATTTACTTTTAAAGAAACTTTACTTTGTAAATTTGGAAGTTTGACAAAAAAGATATGTAATTTGTTTGGAGAAACACTTGCTTTGGGTTATTCAAAAAACACTATAAAACACCACCTATTCACACCTTACTTGAAACAATCGAAAAAGAAATGGAAAAATCATCAAATAACTCCAATTTGGTTTTCATTACAGGTGTAACTGGTCATTTGGGAAGTGTTCTTTGTAAGAAACTGTGTGAATGTGGCTACAAGTGTAAAGGTTTGGTTAGAGATGAAGATTCCAAAACCTTGGCCATGAAGGAGATGGGTTGTTCTGATGTAATTGTTGGTGATTTGGTAGATTGCAATCCAAGTGACATGGTTGACTGGTTGAAAGATTGTGATTTTGTCATTGATGCTGCAGGAGCTTCAATGCAATCAGAAATTGAACAGGTTGAATTCATTGCAGGAAAGAAACTATTCGATGCTGCTGTCAAATCCAATGTGAAAAAGTATATTTGCATGTCTGCGCTAGGTTGCGATATCATTGCCTCTGGACAAACTGGAAAGGAACAACAATTGGTTTGTAAAACATGTAGTGAGAATCCAAAGTATGCTAAATCTCAATACAAGTTGGATAAGTACATTCAAGATCAAGCTCCAAGAAATTTGGACTATCTCATTGTCAGATGTGGAGATTTAACTCAAGAGAGTGGATGTAATAAGATTATGGTGGCTCCCAATTTGAGTAAGAAGTATCATGAAAAGAATTGTTGCGTGTCCAGGCAAGATTTGGCAAACTTTATCGTGGCTGCCATGAAGAGCAATAACTTGACAAGAACTACTCTCGAGGTGATTAATAGTGAAAGAGATGGAGTAGCACCAGAGGAAGCTCTTAAACAAATTAATGTTGCCATCTAATCATGAATAATCAACACATCGTGGAAAGGAACTGTCTCTGAAGAGTGAGTCAATTCGTGAGTTGCATACCTTTTCATTTTCAATAAATTATTGATCAGTAAAGTGTTATTTCTAATAACATCCATCATGACTGCAATCAAACTGCTTCCACAAGCCACATCAATCACTGTATGGCTATCAATGTAATTAGCAAGCTCAACGTTTTCAGCATACTGCACCTTTAATTTTTCCATAATATTGTAAGGAGTATTAGGAGCATTCGTTGCTGAACCACATGACATTAATTCCCTGGTTCTAGGATTGAACGAAACAATACTTGTGAAACCTCCAAACATTCTCAAATCATGAGCATAATCCACATGCTTTGAAAATTGATATGATTTCACAGTCTCGAATCCACCTATATTATCATGCCCCACGTATCCATTAATCATAAATAAATTATTGGTTGTGTAACAAGTGAGATGGCTCAATCTTAATGCATTAATATTTACAACTCCAGGAATACTTGGTAATTTCTCTAATACATTGGATGATGTGACTGAAAGAGTTTGTCCATAATTATTCATTCCCATCACATAAATATCTCCATTCACTGTTTGAACAATCATGTGTCCATAACCTGCTGTAATATTTCTAATAATTGGATAACCAGTTCCAACTGTAAATGGAGTAAAATCAGTCAATTGTTGTTCCACTCTTCCTGCAATGTAAATGTATCGATTATCCAAAACTACAATGGTGCTATACGTTCCACAAACTGCATGTGTAATTCGTTGTCCATCCATAATAATGTGTTTTGTGGCAACCAAACTGAATGGTTCCACTCCAGAAGTAGTTGGTTTCTCCAATTTACCATATTGACTATTTTCAGAAAGGACATCTTTAGAATCATCATTTGGTGTAATGAATACAATTTGAAATCAAATGTACTTACGAACATAAATCTTGTTACTCTCCTTAATGGCAATCACATGATAATAGCCAGCCAATAAAAACTAATGATCATCATATTATGTTAAAATACACACAAAATGATATGAAACTTACCTTTACTTTTGTCTTATCATTGGCAAAATCCTCAGATGTTGGTACAATTATTGTTTCTATTGTATTATTCTCTGCAGCATCACTTCTCAAAATGAGTCCTTTCGCTGTGTGCCCATATTTAATAAATAAATAAATTAAAATCATGATCAATAATATATTTAAATATAATATTAGAGATGATCACAAAACATACCTGTAGAACAAAAGAATTGTGATCCGGGTGCAGTGATCATATGAATCTGATCATTTCCGACCTCTTTGGGCATTTTGATCTTCAAATAAAGTTGATCTTTGAATGCAATAAAGACCTTCCTCTCTACACATGGCAAATCACTCAAATTAGAAGGATCAAAAGATGAATTTTGTTGTTGATGTCTCTTTTCTGCTATATTACTGTGATTATTATTGCTGCTGATCATTTTTCTGTTTTTTCTAGAGCTTGTTTTGTTGCCCATTTATTTTTAGGTTGTGTTTGATGAACTTTTGTTCATGATCACCGATCAAGTGTAAGCATGTCCATCTAATGAGCCAAGCAAGGAGTGAATAAGTTTTTTAAAACATGCTCATTGTTAAAGAAGCAATGAATACATTGAGATGATTACCACCATTCAATGAACACTCATTTAACACTAAATAATGAATGTTCAATAACAAACAATCTAAAACTGGGATATTCATATCTAAAATTGTTCCCATTATTATTGTACTGGACTCTATATCCCTCCTTAATTAATTTGAACATCTGTAAATCACTGTAAATATCTATGTATTACAATAACTGTTTTAGTCATCCACACAATAATCCCTTGGAAAAGCAAACAAAAAAAATGTATCAATATAAAGCATTGCTTAGTGTCACTTTGCTGATAGTTTGTTTACTGGCATTAAGTATTTTGCATGTTCCATCATCTGTTTTGTGTGCTTCCTCAAGTAGCTCATCAAGTAATGGAACTGTGAGAGAATGGCTGAGTGACTTGAATGATCAAGCTGCTAACTTACAATCCTCTGCTTCTAGATTGCAAAAAGCTATTGCAATTTTGAGTATGGCCAACAATACAGCATCCATCATCAGCATGAGGAGTGCTCAACTCAAGAAGATTAATTATGCTCTTGACATGATTAATCAAGAAATTTCAATCTTTAAAACCACATGCAGTAATAATGATGGTCCTGATTGTACCATTCCTATATGTGTATCAAAGTGTTTGAATTGTACTGCACCTGGCATATGCTCACAATGTTATGGCAATTGGAATGGTACTGACTGTTCCTATTGTAAGATGGGATGGAAAGGCATTGATTGTAACACTTCTCAATGTGATTCAAAGTGTTTGATATGCACTGGACCCTCTCAATGTTCAGTTTGTTCTGGTAACTGGGATGGTGCTAACTGTACTACTTGTAAGGCAGGATGGGCAGGAACTAATTGTGCTACCCAAGTTCCTGTGGGAGATTTATCATCTTCTTCCATATTGACACCAGTTAATGCCACAAGATTTGTTTCTGAAATAGTTAATAGTGTAAGATCCAAACCAATTACACTATTGTATAGATCTTCAAGAGATAGTTATAATCCTTCAATCTTCCATAGTTTATGTGATAATAAGGGGCCAACTATTACAATTGTTAAGGCTAATACGGGAGCCATATTTGGAGGTTATACTTCAATTAGTTGGAATTCAGGTGGTGTCAATTTTATAGTGACCCAAATGCTTTCTTATTTAGTATTATTTCTTCAACAGGAGAGCAAAGATTTACAAAGATACTCCAACAACCACCATACGCCTATAGTATTTATACATCTTACCACCATTTCCCTGTATTTGGTGCCGGGAATGATCTTTATATTGGCACAAGTTATTGCAGCACTACCCCTTCCTCATACATATATCAATCCAGAGCTTATTTCGCTTGTCTCCCAAATGTTAATTGTGATACTTGGGTTCTTTCAGATTTCGAGGTTTACTCGTTGTAAGCAAATTTAATCTGACGAAAACAACATGTGGATACTCAATACTGTTGAAACCTTTCAAATAGGGACTGTGGCAAGATAAATGATCTGGTGGTTCCAAAACACTGCTGTGATAGCAGCATTCCCAATATTTCTTATTGTGCCATCCAAAAGAGATAATTTACTAGTAAATGATTGCATATCCTTTCACTTCAGCCTCACAAACAACTCTACAGTATCCAAAGGAAGCCTTCTCGTTTTTCCTTTCTATTCTTGATATCCACCAGTGGCTGTATCCTTGTTCATTTCGGTTTTTCCTTCCATGAATTGTTTAATTAAGTCCACTGTTTGATTTTTCCTTCCATGTATTGTTTAATGAAGTCCACTGTTATTGATTCTTGTTGATGGTTATTCTGTTATTATTGTTGATGATGATGCAGTTTGTTGCCAAGAGTCAGAATTTTATGAATCATCAGACTAGGATGATACCTCCTTTCTCTTTCTTGCCATTTTTTTTAAACATTAAATTAAACTTTGTTACAAAGGCGGGAACAAGTTCATAGTCTTACAAAAAAAAATGCCTTCAAGTGATTATGTTGTTCCCTATGGTTTTGATTTTGGAAGTTACATGACACAGGCTGGAAATACCGATCACTACAATTCTTCAGCAGATTTTCGAACAATCATGGGATTTCCAAAGGAAAAACCAATCATGGCCTTATTATTGGATTCGGAGAGAAATTATGGATCAAGTAGAATGAAGGAAGGCTGGATTGGAGATGAAGTATTTTGGAAGAGTGGAATTGCTCGTTTGGAATATCCTATTCGGAGAGGAATTGTTAAGGATTGGAATTTATTTGAGTTGTTTCTAGAGTTTGCCTTTTCGAATGCTTGTAGAATATCGAGTGCTGAACATCCAATAATTGTTACTGATTCTCCTTTTGTTCCGAATCAGCAGATCGAAAATGACTGAATTGATGTTTGAGAGATTTAATGTTCCTGCTTTTGCAATGATCAATTGTGCAATGGCCAGTTGTATGCATTATGGAAGAACAACTGGAACAATTGTAACTTCTGGAGAGGGAAAAACTTTCGTACAATCATTTTATGAAGGCTATTTGTTGAAGGAATCTATTGTAAAGATGGAAGTTGGAGGTTGGGATATTACTGAAAATCTTCAAAGAATGCTCAATCAAAAAGGACATTCTTTCAAGACTTCAAGTGACTTTGAAGTTGTGAGATTGATTAAGGAAAAGCTATCCTTTTTAAAGATGAGTGAAGCTGAAATGATGGTAGAGAAAGAATATGAGCTACCAGATGGAAATATTATCAATTTGGGAGAGGAATTGCACGAATGTGTCGAGCCATTATTTAACCCACATTTGGCTGGACTTGATTGTTTGGGCGTTCATGAGCTTGTTACCAAATCAATTCAAGATTGTACTATTGATGTGAGGATGGATCTGTATAGAAATATATTACCTGCTGGCGGTAATACAATGATTTCTAATTTTACTGGTCGATTGAAATGTGAAGTTGAAGCATTGGCTCCACCTAATGCCAAAGTCAAAGTTATAGATGATGCATCGAGAAAGTATTCGGCTTGGAATGGAATGGCAACTCTTTCTAACATGTCAAGCTTTCAAGATAAGTGGTACACAAAAGAATACTATGAGGAGAATGGGTCGTCTTCTTTACTGAGGAGTTGTGTTAATTTTTCTGGGTAGTGATTTAAATTATTCCAGTAATTTTGGACGATTCTTCTTTCCTTATTGAAGCAATAAGGTAAAAAAAAGCACCCAACAACATTGGAAAGCCACAAATGGCTGTCTGAACACAAAAGAATGTGTAAACAGATGTTCTTTCATAACAGGAATAATTATTGAAGATGAAAACCTACATGATACAAAATACACACTGCACTGGATTCAAATTAAAGGTTGACAAGGTGATACAAACCACTTGTGGCCATCCTCGTGGTCGTAAGATTGAATCAACACTTTTGTCCTGCTTTGTGAATTCACCCACAAAATGCCCAATGTAGATAAAGATTGCCAACACAATACAGTAAATTCCAGGAGCTGTTGTAAATGCCATAGATGACGACCTATCCTGTGCCATCAGAATTGCTACCAACCCAAATATGAACAGAAAGTAAATATTACTATTAACAAGAACACGAGCGAGTGGGGCAAACTCTAATCCTTTCGACAGGGTGACTGCCATACTTTCAGGAGGTTTATATTTGCTTTGTCTTCGCTGTTTAATGCTATCAGATTCTGAATGGGTTGTTTCGAGGAGTGGTACTTTTAGAGTTCTTGACATTGTTTTGATTTGTTTTTTTATCTTCTTAATAAGTCCGTGAAATCTTCTATTTTCTCTTGTTTGTTCTGTTTGGAGTTCGTAAGTGCAAACAATGTTCTGAATTTAACAATTTAAAAAGCTGTAAACATGGGGTGAAATAAACTCTTTATTTAATCAATACGAATGACAACCTTACCAACATGCTTTTGAGATTCCATATGCTTGAATGCTTCTTGAGCTTGATCAAAACTAAAGACCTTATCAACAACTGGATGAATATCATTATTTTCAATAGTCTTGACCATATCTTCAAACATGGCACGAGAACCAACAATGAATCCTCTCAAAATTGCTCCAGAAAATAAAACACTCATTCCAACATCAAAATTATCATTTGGATCCTTTTGAGCTAATAAACCAATCATGTGAACTTGACCTCCTCTCTTGACAGATTGTAAAGAACGTTGCAAAGTGCCAGCACCTCCAACTTCAATAACATGATCAACACCATTTGGCACAATTTCTCTAACTTTTTCTTGCCAATTTGGAGTTTTAGAATAATTAATTAAATGTTGAGCTCCCAAAGATTTGGCCTTTTCCAATTTTTCATCACTTGAAGAAACAACAATGACCTTTGCACCAGCAGCAACTGCAAATTGAGCAGCAAAGATGGAAACACCACCAGTTCCAATAACCAAAACTGATTGAGATGGTCCAACATGTTTAATTCCATTTTGTGCAAGTGCATGATAAGCAGTCAATCCAGCACATGGCAAAGTAGCTGCCTCTTCAAATGTCAAATTGGATGGCATCTTGATAATTCCATGCTTTTCAAAAACTCTATATTGACTCAAAACTCCATGACTCGATCCACCCAAATCATTGGCCATATGTTCATCCTTCATATCTCCAGCAATCCAATCCTGATGAAACAATCCACATACTCTATCTCCAACAACAAATTCCGAAACATCCTCTCCAACACTCACAACTTCACCTGCTCCATCCGAGCAAGGAATTAATTGTGATGGAAATGGTCCCGGATACAAACCCTTAACCACCAATAAATCACGAAAATTCAAGGAAGCAGCACGCATACGAACGAGTACTTGTCCTCTTTTTGGTTGCGGAATGGTGGCTTCCTGGGTGAGAGCCAAATTTTCAATGCCTTCGTGTTTGGCAATGTGGTAGGATTGCATTTTGCACAGTTTTCGAGTTTTTTGATTTTTTTTTTATTTTTTTTAAATTTGTTTTTGGCGCGAGATTCTTGTGAGAATTAATTTTTTTGAGATTTGTGATGAATTTGATAAAATTGGAAGGTTGTGAGAGTGGATTGTTTTAAGATATTTGTTAAGCTTTGATGTTCTTTGGATTGTTTTCATCAAGATAAACACTTTTGAAAAGAAACTGAAAGAGAACAGAAAAGATTAAGGATGACAAGAGATGAAAGTACTTTAAAAAGAGTGAGAAACAAATGATTCTTACATTTATTTAGAAAATTCTATGAATTTGTTAATGGCATCAACTTCTTGTTGCATTGTTTCGTCTCTAATTTCATTAATTTCATTTGTGAAATAATTCAAGAGTTGACCAAATTTGGAATTCCATTCTTCTGAGCTAGTTGAAGGTTTTGTATTTGTTGTATAATCATGGCTTTGTTGTACAGTATCCATTTCTTGTAAGTAACCTTTCACATTCTCAACATATCTCACCAAAGCAATTGCCTTTCGAATACCATTAGTTTCGAAATAATTTTCAAGATTTGAGTCAACATTGACATGTTTTTCCTCTCTAACCTTCTTACCCTCAACAGTTTCATATGAAAGTGTCAATTTCACATTCGAAACTCCCTTAAAATTATTCTTTGCTTTCAACCTTAATAAAATTATTCCACCCTTAACTCCTCTTTCGTCCAATTGACCAGCTGAACAAGTATCCACTTTCATAATTTCTCCAGTCGATTCTCCAGCAAAATTTGTCCCAAAACATTTTTCAATTTCATAATTTTCACATTCCATAGTCAACTTGACATTGTAACAAATTGGCGTTACAATATAATTGAAATCCTCATTCAAAATCTTCTTAAATTCTTCGGTAGATTTGACTGAGAAATAATTACAACCACGAACTCGAGTCAATTCGTCCACAATTTTCGAATTAAAGTCCAAACCAATTCCAACAAAAGTGGAAAAGATAGAATATGGACCAGAATTCGCATCTTTTGTGAGAATATCGAGAGTGGCAGTACCACCAACATTTGGACAAGCATCTGTCAAGTAAATGATTCGATTAGAGTTGGATAAATCAGACGAATCTAAACTGGAAAATAGATCAATTCCTCTTTGCATGCCAGCTTCGAAATTTGTACTTCCTTTCTCTTTAATGTTTAGAACAGTTTCCTTGAGTGATTTCTTATCTAAATCCTGAACTATTGTTAGAGGAAGCAAAGTTTCGGCCTTATCATCGAATAAAACAATTCCCAATCTTTCGAATTCTCTCAAATTTTCAATTATTTCACAAATTACTTCATTAGCAACTTGCATTTTAGTTTTTTCCTTGCTGGACATGGCAGATCCCATCGATCCACTAATATCCAATACAATCTTTACAATAAAGTTTACAATAAATGTTAAATTAATAAACATACGACGAGATTCAAATCTTTTCTTTCATTGAGTCCATCTTTACAGCTGTGTAATCCTAAAGCCAAGTGAAGTTGCTTTTCCAAAGTGATCGGATCGTGATCAATAGCAATCGAATAGGCAGCTTCCAATAACTTATCCGAAACTTTCAAACCAGTTTGATAAAAGTATTCTTTCATAATTCCTTCAAATGTAATAGAAGAAGGCAAAGGCAATCCTGCTCCATTACTATTAAACAAGACATCTCTAAATGCTCCAATATTGAATGCTCCCGAAGAGTGTGATGCTCCCATTATGACAAAATTATTCGAATAAAACTTGCAAACTGCTTTTGATCTATTGATATTTTTTTGATTGAATGAAACTGCTGTTTCTGGTGGAGTTTAAAGAAATTTGAAATGTTACAAAGTTCAGAGATAAAAGGAGCGCTGATGTTAATCATGACGTGGAGATTTGTTGTAAACAATTCAATATCTATGTAAAGCATTATACAATGAACCAAATTTTCATTTCCAATTTTATATTAGAATAAGCCAAGAATTTTGTTGTAAATTTCCAATTTATTTTGTGAATATGTTACATTGAAACAGTAAACTGTGCGCTCAAAATATAGAGCTTAGTAATGTTTCTTGTGATGTTTCTTTGGTTTCTTGTGGTGTCTCTTTCCTCTCTTCTTTTCCTTCTTTTCATTCTTATCACATTCTTCCTTCTTCTTGCAAAATTCAGAATCTTTGTGATAAACCTTGAAAATGTCAACCATACCATCCATGTGATGGTTATCAATGTGACAATGGAATAACCAGTTACCAGTATTGTCAACTTCAACATCCAAAGCTCTGGCAATACCTGGAGCTACGAAAACTGTATCTACTCTTCTGATACCATCTTCCAATCCAACAATACCATGCCAGTGAACTGGATGCAAATCAAAGTTACCAATAGTTCCTGCATACCATCTGACTCTTTCACCTTCACACATAGAGAATCCACCAATATTGTTAATACTCATGTATCCATTGATTGAATCCTTTTGATTACTGGCAGTTAATGAACCAGCTTTGAATGCCTTGTATTGAGCTTCTGTCAATGTACCAGTTGCATTCAAATACTTTTGAATGTTTTGATCCAAGTAGAAACTGGTTTGTTCGTTGAAAATCTTTGGAAGAACAAAGAATTCTCTATCAACATCCTTTGGAGAACCATCCTTTCTAGCATAACCTTTTTTAGTAATAACAATGAAACCAATCAAACCAGCTTGAGTTTCTGCTGGTTCATCCAAAGCATGTGAGTGATACATCCAAGGAATTGAACTCAATGGACTGTCTTCAAGTGGACCTGCACGATCAGGAACATTGAAAATATATTCGAAACTAGCACCAGCAGGTACAGCATCACCAGTTCCAGGACTAGCAAATGACATATCCTTATCATTATCTACGTAGGCAGCTCCTTCTGATAACTTATCATATTGAACACCATGAGGATGGATACCAGCTGGGAATTCCAACTTGTTTCTAAACAAAACTCTAATTTGTTCACCAACTTCTCCTCTAATAATTGGACCAACAATTCCCAAATGTGGAGCTTGTTCCTTCTTTGTGGTAAAAGTCTTGTCAGTATACTCGATATACTTTGCCTTCAAATATTTAAGACCAATGGTTGTGGCAGATGGACGATGATTGACTCCAAATTCCATTCCCATGAACATATCCTTTCCATAAGGTCCATAATTCCACTCAACTCTTTCAGCTTGAATGTAATAACGTCTAATACGAGTTGGCTTGAAAGGTTTCTTTGAAGGAATATTGTTTTCTGCTGGAAGATTTGGTTTTGGCAATGAATGGTCTTCACCATTATGTGCCAAAACAAGTGCAGCAAAGAAGAGAGAGATTACCAAGAGACAAGTAAGTGTCTTGTGCATTTCTTTCGTTTTTTTGATTGTTTTGATGATAAAGTTGTTCAGTCCATTAGGCTTATAAAGGAATGGTATATGAAATGCCTGGTTACTAATTAATAGTGAAAGTTGAACGCTAAAAACTTAAGTAAATCCTTTTATGTACTTTGAGATGAGGAGAGGTCATTTCCAATCTAATTGATGAAGTCTTTTCGGGTGTAGGACATTGTTGTAATTTTAAACATTGGTGTTCTGTATTATTTTTCCTCCTTAATCTTAATGTTGATTTGATATGTTCATATATTACTATGAGGAATTAATAATTATTTGTGTGGTTGTGATGATGAGGGAATTCATAGTCATTGTGTTGTTTGATGTCTGGCGAATATTTTTTTAAAAAGATTTTTTTGTTAAATATTTTTTGGTGATTACAATAATTATTTAATAAATATTATTTAAAAAAATGTGCCATCATCAAATTGTCATTGATAGCTAGCGGATTCGATCCAGATTGATCGCGATCAATATATTTTGGCTTAACAACAATAAATAGTAATAACACCATCAAGCAATTCATATTATTACCTTCATCAAAAAGTATAATAGTTGATAGTAGAAACAATGGCAGAACAAGAAGTACCAATATTGATACACAAAATCTCATGAGCAGAATATTCGTTACTTTTGGTCATTCCAAATTCTCCTCCAATCATACAAAACAATTAAAAGTTGTGCGTCCGACACTATTACATCAACACTGGTTATTTCCAAGCAAATTTATATTAATATAATAACATGATCATTAGCAAACCATATGATAATTATAATTATAATTTTCCATCGATATCAAGGAGTGTAGTTGTTGCTGGCTTGTTGTTGATATCAACAACCTTTGCAGATTGCGTGTCCAAATTCGAAGCCTATCTTCGGAAAGATCCCAAATAGCAGGTTGCCTTCTCTGGACTCAACGAGTAAGCACAAGCCAACAACAGGGATGGCTTGACTATTTTGCACCATTTAGAATAATTATTTGATGGACAAAACACAAACTTTTGAAGGTTTGATATGCTTGCTCGTTAATCGAAAGGTTTCAATTTTGTTAACAATAGAAAAAACAAGATGAAGATTCCCCTGCCGACACAAAGTTATGAACAACAAGAACATTTAGTTAGTACTGACGAGGAAGAGGAAGATGATTTTTCATCATCTCTTTCGTATTGTTCCTCTTCGTATGTGATGGACCAAATTATGATGAAAAGGAAGAATTCGTTTAGTGGTGGTAGTTATGGAGCAGCACATCAACAATTGTATGGTAATGAAGAGGAGGAAAGGAATCATGTCATTTGGTGTGATGTGTGTAAACAGGAAGGATTTGAAGAAGCTGCCACTCATTACTGTTCAACATGTTTCAAGGAAAATCAGAAAGATAAGAGTAATCGAGTGATTGTTGTTCAACAAAATGATGAAAGGGAGAGTTTGGAAGAAGAGGAAGACGAATCGAATGTAACAATATGTCACTATTGTCAATATCATGCCAATAGACATAATAGGAGAGATCCACTGCATCAAATAGTGTCCATTAGACAGGAAAGGATATTTGCATCATCGAGCTTGTTACGTTCTGGTTCATTCATGTCGAGTGCTTCATCTTTTGATTCGAACATGTCCAATTCATCACCAATTCCTTTTTTCACAACTGGTAGTACATCAACTGGACCACTGTTCAATTATGGTTGTAATGGTAATAACAGCAGTAGTAATAACATGTTGGCGAGTAGTAATATTGTCAGATATTGTTTTAAACATGAAGAGGCCATTCCACTTAATACCTACTGCAGAACTTGTGAATTGGTAATTTGTTCTCAGTGTGCCTTGTCCAAAGCACATAAAGGACACTTGATTGAGTTAATCAAGGATGTAGAAAATAGTGAAAGAATGCAATTGGGTGAACATGTTAAGGTTCTTAAACAATCATTCGAAGAATGGGAAGAGGAGTTCAGTGTCCATGATGAAGACTTGGAGGAAGAACTGACACTAATTGATGAACGAGAAGAATCACTCACATATCAGATTAATTTAGCATTTGATGAAATGAAGGAATGTCTAGAAAAGAGAAGAAATGTTCTCATAGAACAAGTGGAACAATCATCTCATGAAAACAAACAATCTGTTCATAACATTCTCAAAATGAAGAAGGAATCCAAAGAGTTACTTGGAGAGTTTGACAATTTGGAAGAGATGAGTGGATTTGATGTAATTGATAAAAAGTTGAATAGACTCAATCTTATCATTGTACTATACGAAAAGATGCAAAAAGAATTCAAGACGAGAAAACTCTCTGACCTTCATAGAATATCTCTGGACAAGTTTGCAAGTAGGAAGAATATTATTCAACATCACATTGATGAGCTAGGTCAAGTTGTCAAGAAGACAAATGATGATTCTGGTCCATCATCGACTTCTGTACCTATCAATTTCAAACATATAGAAACTATTGGATCAGCTAGCAATTCAAATAATAAGCATGTGCAGTTTAGCTTTCCATCCGATGTTAAAATTTCTCATCAACATGCATGTATTGTTGTAGCAGATTTTGGCAACAAGAAGATTCGTGTTTTGGATTTGATAACTAGGCAGTTCAAGTACGATATTGATACTGCGTCAGCTCCAAGAAACATTTCAATAGATCACACAGATGACGACTCTATTATTGTATCATGTGCAGATCACTGTGTTTACAAGTATTCATTACTTAATCAGGGAAAGTCAATAGTTTGGAGGAGCGGATCGCCAAATGAGAGTGGAAATTCTCAACATCTTTTCAAATATCCAAGAGCAAGTATTGTGGATATAGATGGCAATGTATACGTGTGTGATCATGGTAATCACCGAATCAAGGTATTAACATCTAGCAATGGCCAATTTGTGAAAATTATTGGAATAGATCAAAATTCAATTTAAACGGCCTTGGGGTGTTTGTATTGATAAGGATGGAAATTTAGTTATTAGTGAGAAGAAGAATAATAGAATACAAAGAATATCAAAGGAAGGAGATATTTCACTCTTTATGTTAGGAAAGAAAGGATCATCTCAATACGAATTTAACAAACCGAGAGGTATATTAATTGACAATCACACTGAGCATATGTTTATTTGCGATGGAGCTAATCATAGAATACAGGTATTTTCCAAAGCAGGAAAATTAATCAAAACCTTTGGTTCTGAAGGTTCCAAATCAAGCCAATTATTTCAACCTCATAGTTTATGTTTTGATTCAGTGAGTGGTCAATTATTTGTAGCGGATTGTGGAAATCACCGAGTACAGATATTCCAATAAACTTTTAATCGCTTTCACTGCTGCTTGAATTGTCTTGCTTAGAGCTTAGAAACTTAATTGCCTTGTTTGGTGAATTCCATGTAACCCAATCTTTTTCCTTGTGAATTGAATGGAAAGGAGTTCTTTTTTGAACTATCGTGTTCGTAAAGTGTAGAATCTGAAAAGTTAGCAGTAAATTTCTTTGTTCCGACTGTAAGTTCCATATATCTTGGATACCTGTCTCTATGGTACTTTCGTTTTCCTCTCAGCAACTTGGCGCTTGTTTTGGCGTCGAAAATTATAAACTCCTTTCCCGAATTATAAACTGTGACCTTATATTTTGAAGCTTTCTTTTGCTTAAATGGAGCGTAGGCATGTTCAAGGAAATTATTCTTTGTAGGATTGAAAGAGCCAATATGTTGTTGTCCTGGATCTATTTGAATGAATTCAATTTGTGGAGAGAGGTTACTATTCATCTTTTTTGGTCTCAGAATTTCCTGAATGTCATTAAGGGAGTACTCAAAGAATGTTGATAATTTGAGGTTATTGGTAATGTATTTTACACGTTGATCTATTTTTCTAAATCCCTCACTTGCAGTGTCATATGCAAAAGTAATGTCCACTTGTGAATAGTCATGCTTCTTTGATGGTTCTGTTAGTGATAAATCTCTTTCTGTACTCTCTATTGTTCTTCTTCCTTTAATCGACACAAGAGCGTCAAATTCGTGAAGTTTTTTAAACGAGTTGATAATCATTAAAATTCTTGCAAGACCATTAAATTGAGTGATGGTTGGCTTTAGATCACCTAATAAAATAGGATTTACCACCTTCTTAATATCGTAGCCACAAATACCTATCCTAAACCCTCTCATTGCATACTTTATCAATCTAGTTTCAAAAGTTGTTGATTGTCTATCCACATCCACAATATTACATCTAGTTCTTATTGCTTCTCTAGCTCTTGGTACGCAAAATACTTGATTTCCATCAAAACCAATGCTGCAACAGGCAATATCAAATCCCATCAACACTTCAGCCTTTTGTTTATCAAAAGATTTGTAAATTCTCAAAATTACTTAAACTTACTGGTGATTTGTAAATTCTCAATACTATTTGTACAGATTTTTTGTGATATCCTGAACATTTGAAGGTGATAGCATGTTGTGTTCTGATAATTAGTAATTCTCCATCCTTAGTATTTTTCTTGAAAGTGTTAAAAATACTAACAATCTTCTTTTCAGCATCTGTTTCTGAAAGACCATACAAAAATAAATCAATATCACTCTTTCTCCAAGGCTTATTTTGGAAATACTGTCTAATGGTATATTCTTCTGATGAAGTATTTTGACTCGGGCTAAATTTAGTATGCATATCATTTTCTTCATCTGTCACGTAATCATCATCTGATGAATCATTAGTATTTGGAGCTTCTCCATCACTTGCATCGTTATTACCCCAAAATTTGGAAAGACTTTTTTGTTGTTTCCATAGCTCAGTATTATATAACCTGCCACGTGAAAATTGTGTATCGCTACGAACTTTAACTTTCAAACAGGAAGCTAAAACTGATCCTCCAGCCACAAAAACATTAGACCAATCCATCTCCTTAAATATTCCATCTGTGAAAATGTCAAATTGTTTCAGAAATTGTTCTCTTGACTCTACAAGTTCAGGAGGTGTAGGAATTGTTAAGGATGACTTTTTGGCTAGCTCAAAAGCTTCACAAGGATCCTCAAAGTTGAAAAGTAACTTGCTTGGTTCCAAAACTGGATCTTTGCACCTGAAAGATTTCCTAATACTGTTGCTAGATCCAAAAATATTAATCAAGTTGATATATGGATCATTGAGGATTACATTTTCTCTATCAGCAACAAATAAATTTCTCAAAAAGTCCTCATATCTTTTGTATTTCAAATTCTTTTCTCCGATTTCTTCTATTGGATATCTACAAATATCAAAATATTCTAGAATACCGTTCAATCTGAAATATTTAGCCTCACTATAGACTTGTTTCTTTGTTTCTGTTAGAGTTGGGAAATTATCAATCTTTCCATTCAAAAGATATTCATGAATAAATTTGAAAATTTCTGGATCTCTATCAATAAATATTTCGATTCAATTTGGTAGAATTCTTTACAATGGTATAGAGCAAACTGTCAGGTTCTCTCAAAAGCTTGGATTTGGTTAAACTAAACTTGACTCCTCTAACATTGAAAGTGATATCCGTCATGTTCTTGGACATTTCCATTTCTTTCAAGTCTTCGAATTCCCTGGTTAGTTTTTCTTTTTGGTCCTTGATATATTTCTCAACTTTTTCCTTTTCTTCAAGAGTGATCATGGCAAACTTGGAATAAAATTCCTCATCCAAAGCTTCGTCGACCAGAGAAGAAGAAACTACTTCGGGTACTTCATCTGGAATATAGATATTCTTTCGTTCTCTAACCTCATTCTTGTAAATATCTATAAGTGATTTTAACTTGATAGTGAGTTTATCAAGCGCAAAAAAGTCTGATTCCTCCAAAAGCTTTTTCAAACGTTTGATATTCCTCTTACTTGCATCCTCCCAAATACCAATATGAGTGGTTGAACCAGTTCTCAAGTGTTCCAAAATTATTGGAAAATATTCAGGATCTCTATCAATTAAAATACACCCATTCTCATCCTTATCGACTCCAAACTGAGATTCCAACATGACACGAAGCATATTATCCCTCTTACACAAAGTAGACATTGTGCTTACAAAAATCTTCCCTCTCAAATTAAGTTTCACAATATTTTCCTCTTGTTGGGACAATTCAAATTCTTGTAAAACTTGTTTTCCATGAACATCCATCTCTGCAACCTCTTCTCCATCATCTCCACCAGAAAAACGCTCCACAAGCAATTCAACTTCCTTCTTCTTCATCTCATTCCGCTTCACTTCATCCTTCAACTCGATCAAACTCTCAACTCTAAATCTTTCCAAAGCCCGACGTTCCTTCCAAATATTTCTCTTACTTTCCATCTCCTTATCATCAAGAACACGAACATTTTTTTGATCATCATCATCACCCGAAGGCTGATTATTATTTTCCTTTCCGTGATGATCTTTTAGAGTTTCGTTTTTACGCTTCTTTGATTGCGGCATTTTTTTTAATGTTTTTTTGCCAGTTTTGAAAGGAAATTTATAGATTTTACAATGAGATCAAAGATCATGAAAATTGAGTTGTTGACTTCTAGCGGAAAATTGAAGATTGAAAATATTATTGAATAAGACACTTTACAAAAATTGGATAAAAATGGAAATTTGATAAGAGATGGACGAAACCCTTTGAAATTTCAAAAATCAATTTTCCTAAACATCAACAAAAAAATGTCTCTTCAAGGTTGGACCCTTTCGAATAACATAATCTTCTTCCTCCTCTTGTTGGTTTCCACAACTTTCGTCTATTGTGATTTTCAACCAAGAGAGCTTCATCTTGCATTCACCAACAATCCAAATGAACTTGTTGTTTCCTTCCACACTTCAAACTATTCGGAACAACTTTTAGGTAAACCTCTCATCACCTTCAGCACAAGTGAAAATTTAGCAAATTACGAAACTGCAAGTATTGGAAGTGTTGTTACAAGTTATGGAGATTCGTCCAAGACAGGATTTGATTTTCATGTCCTGTTAACAAATTTGAAATTTGCTACCAAGTATTACTACAAGTGTGGATTTGAAAAGGCAGAATTCTTATCCGAAACTTTCTTCTTTTACACAAGAACTGATCCGATGTCAGACGAAAGTAAGGAGACCACTATTGTTATCTATGGTGATCAAGGAACAACCAACAGCAAATATGTTATTGCTCAAACTCAAGGTTTCGTCTCAAATTTCCTTCAAAAATCAAAGAATAAGAATTTATTCATTTATCATTTAGGTGACATTGGTTACGCTGACGATTTTGCTGGTGCAATGTATCAACCAATTTGGACTAAATACATGCAAATGATGAATAGAATTATGCCATATGTTCCATATATGGTTTGTGTTGGAAATCATGAAGTAAGTTTATTTGGAGCAATTATTTATTCGAATCTACTTATTAGAATGGTCCTCAAAATAAGCCATATGATGAATTTGAAGCTGGTTTCCAAGCTTACAATCACAGATTCTTCATGCCAAGTAGAAACGATTCCTCAATCGGTCACAACATGTGGTACACTTTCAAACAAGGATTAATCACATTCATTGCAACCGATACTGAAACTAATTTCCCTCAATCATTCTTCCCTCAATATGATAATCTCTTTTCTGGAAATAAGAATCAATTAATTTGGTTGGAAGAAACTTTGAAGAATGTCGATAGAAAGGAAACTCCATTTTTGATTATTGTTGGACATCGTCCAATTTATTCATCAGATTATGCATTTTCTGATATTCCTGGAAATATTATTGGAGAATCTCTTAGATTACAAGCAGCATTTGAAGATTTATTGTACAAATATCATGTTGATATTGCATTTTATGGACATGTTCATTCCTATGGTAAGTGAATTCTTGAATTTTCCAAATATTTAACAATTTTTTGTAATCTTTGTAAAATATTTTTCAATTATTTCATTATTTAATTATTGGAAATTGATATCAATTTCTCGAGTAGAAAGAACTCATCCAGTCTACAAAACTAAAGTAGAATCCAAAACCAACATGCACAATCTCAGATATCCAATTCACATTGTCAATGGAGCTGGTGGAAATATCGAAGGTTTGACAGCAACCAAAGATTATCATTTTGGACATGAATGGACTGCTTCCATTTACAATAAGGATGAAGGTTTTGGAGTCCTCAAAACTTCTTCTGATTCCAAAGTCAACTCGTTAACATTTAATTATTTTGCTGCCACAACTGGACAACAAGTTGACACATTCACCATAACCAAGGACATTTAATAAATGTCAAGGTCAATCATTTCACCTGCAGACAAATGACGTTTTTAACATCACAAAAAAACATGTCTCTGCATCACCTAATCTTGGTTGCTTTGCTCATCTCAGCACAATTTGTTTGCTTTTCACAACAGCAAGCAACCATGGCGCCAAGTGTCAGCCACATGCTTCTTGCTGGCGGAAACACACCTTTCGGCTATTATGGAAATACGAAAGGTCTCACTCCTTCTTCCATCTTGTGTGGTCAAGATGATTTCATCTACAGTGTGGACACAAGCGTTGCTGGTATCAAAATAGCCAAATTACTACCTAGCGGCGTTATTTCCTCTTCTTTTGGCACTGACCATAGCTCAGCCACAGGAAGAACACTGGGAATGGCTTCGTATCCTGATGGCTCTGCTGCTGGAAAGTATTTTGTCTATGAATTGGATCCTGTAACCAAAATCCTAACCAAGAATTCAGTGAGTTTGAATGCTAATGGACCTGTTGGAACTATTCCAATGGCTGCAGAGGTGATAAGTGATCCAAGTGGATTGGCTGTCACATCAAATGGTGATTTACTATTTTCAGATAGTAAGGCGAATGTTATTCGAAGAATTAACATGACAGCACCTGGATTGGATGGAAATTACACAACAACAATTGTTGCTGGAGTTGTTGGAGCATCTGGATATGGTGGAGAATCTGTTGTGGCCACAGGAGCAATTTTATCTTCACCAACAGGAATAACTGTATTTGGAAATGCTTTTTATTTTGCTGAAACTTCTCTTAATATTATTCGAAAGGTTGACATGCAAACTGGATTATTGACAACTGTTGCTGGAATACAAGGTCAAAGTGGTGATAGTGGAGAGGGTTATTTGGCCACATCAGCATTTCTGAATGGTCCTCAATCAGTTGCCTTTAATAGCAATGGTGATATGTTCATTTCTGACTCAAAAAATAACAAAATCAAAAAGGTGTTTTTCAATAATGGAACTATTATCACAATTGCTGGAACTGGAAGTGCTAATTTTACTGGAGATGGATCAAATGCCAAGTTTGCAACTTTGAATTTGCCAACATTTATTTCAGTTTCCAATTCAACTGGTGACATTTATATTATTGATTCTCAAAATTACAGAATTAGAAAGATTACTGCAAGTACCAATGTTATTTCCACATTTCTAGGCAATGGACTTTCGAGAAATTACGGTGAAAATATTTCAGCTGGTGCAGCTTCTTTCAATTCCCCAGTTGGTTTCACATTTTCTTTGGCTTATCCTAATAATGTGATTTATGTTGCTGATACAGGAAATCATAGAATTAGATCATTCTCTCAATTCTATTCTGGCAGAAATATTGTAACTGTGGCAGGTTTACCGAGACCTGGACTTGGAGGTGAGAATTTGCCTGCCTTATCAAGTTCTTTCAATTTTCCATCTAATTTGGTGTTTCATCCAATTTCAGGAGATTTACTAATAGTCGATACCCAAAATCATAGAATTAGAAGTATGAGCAAGAGTACATCCTTCGTTAAAACAATTGCTGGAACTGGAATAGCAGGTTACAATGGAGAGGGTATGCTTTCGAATATGACCAAAATGAACTCACCATCTGGCATTGCAGTCCTAAGTACTGGTGAGATTATCTTTGCAGATACATTCAACAATTTGGTAAGAATGATTAATTTGCAAGGTATCGTTTCAATATTTAGTTCTAATGTTTCTGCACCTGTTGGTATTGCTGTCAATTCAAAAGATGAAATTTATATTGGTGATAGTGGTAATCAAAGAGTATTACGCTGTACCAAACAAGGAGTTTGTGTTACATTTGCTGGTACAAAGGGAGTTAAGGGTTATTATCCAAGCAGTTCCAAAGTTGCTGTTCCAGTTTCTCAAGTTTTATTCACTCAACCAACTTACATTGCACCTAATAATGCAGGAGATGTTTATGTGGTGGATAGTGGAAATGGAAGAATTGTTAAAATTGCAAGAGATGGAAAAGCTGCTAATGTTTTGAATAATTTGGTCAATCCAGGAAATATTGCATTCAATGAATATGAACAAAGTCCAATCTTTATCAGTTCTGATATAGTTCATGAGTTAAAGTCCACATGTAACTCCAATTATGTGCTCTCCATTTATGATTATGAATGTAATTTGATAACATGTTCTGGAGTTGCCTTGACAAACAGTTCTGTATGCTCCTCGCACGGAGTTTGTGCCTCAATGGACACATGTATCTGCAACACGGATGATACCTATTTTGGAAAGAATTGTGAGTTTAAACTATGTAATGGAGCTCAAATTTCATCCACTCAACCATGTGTAGCTCAACAATCACCATCCACAAAGGAAATCAAAGTTGAAACAATTTTAATCTCTTCATTGAATGCAAAGAATGTTACTTTTGACAAGTTTGAAACCATTCAAGTAACCTTCCCTTCTTCAATCGTTTCTCAATTGAATAGCACAGGTTCAGTTTCAGGCAATCTCAACATTGACCTCGTCAGTTCAGTTGTAAATCAAACTTTGGACAATTCACTCAATAGCTTATCAGAAAACAATACAATTTTCCTAGTGAGCTCCATTGTGACAATTTCACTATTTGACAGAGACACTGGAAAGGAAATTTCAGTCAAGCAACTCAGTGAACCAATCAATATTCAAATGAAATCCATCTCTGTTCCGAATTCCCTCCTTGAAAACCGTGAATTCTCCTTTGTGTGCATGTACCTAGACATTTCCTCCAACACTTGGAAAACCGATGGTGTTGAAACCATTATTCAAAACTTACAAAACACCACAGAAACATTGACCTTCTCCACCCTATGCAGAACCACACACTTGACCAGTTTCGCAGTCATTGATCCAACCTATAAAAAAGCCTCAAAATCTGATTCAAACAATAGCAATCTCCTCGATCTTGGCACCATCATTGGAATTGCTGTAGGAGGTGGTGCAGGTCTCTTAATTGTTTGCACCATGATGGTTCTCGCCATTGTTGTATTGGTTGTTTGCTGTGTGAAAAAGAGAAAGTAAATTGTTATCAAGTTCATCCAGTCTGGACCTCTTTTGGATGTCTCGAATATTGAGCTTGTTCAAAAACCTTGTTGAAATATCTTAATCAGGCTGCAAGACCCAAACATCGCAGTGGAATGATTCCTCAACCTTGAACATTTCTACTCCTTCACAACTACTGTTCCTTTTAAGGCGAATTGGGGTTGTTGAATCTCAAAACGCCTTGTTTTCAATAGCTGCATGGATAATGAGAAGCATTGGTCAATATCCGTTTCAATATCCTCATGCCATTATTCAGTCAATTTAATACGTCCTGCTTAATAGCGCACTGACAAACATCATCAGCATCACGTCAAATATTATTCCTCAACTACTACTTTCTCTCAATGATTGAAGATGATTACTTCTTTCTTTTTTGGGCTATCAAACAAAAGTGTGTGCCAACAAACAACCCATTCGATATTGAAGTATTCCTTCTATTAAATCCCTCGCGAATTCTTGTTGGTGTTTTTCGCTTCTCCTCAACAGCGATTCAGAAGACTTTCGATTTGAGCGCCAAAATGGTGCGACCTCAAGCAACAATTGTTTTGCATTTTGGTGTGTGGTGAAGTGGTTTTGTTGTATGAAAATTGTTCGGACAGCTCCTTTGTACCACTTGAAGTATTTTAGGTGAAGCATTTTCAGTAATACAACAAAAAAAACCCTCAACAACAACTAGAAGGCGAACTGTTGCTCTCAAGAGATTCCATTATACACTAACGAGCTAGGTACGAAAAGGTTCTTTTGAGTTAAATAGAAGGTAGGTAATATTATCAATGATTACAGTCTTGCTGATTATATTGTTCTTGTATTGTTCATCGTCATCTTTTTGTATTTTCATATTGCGTTATCTTTGGTCTTCTTTCGTCATCATTATCCAATAATAATAATTATTGCTTGCTTACTTGCCCGTTGGTGTTATTAATATATTTGATGACCGTCCTCATCACTATGAATTTCACCGATATGGAATGAATATCAATTATGGACAAATGTGCAAATTGTCCTCATCGACACCCAACAACAACATCCACAATTTATGCTTTGTTTATTTAACACACTCAACGAATCATCATGATGAATTAAAAAATTGCAACAATAACATCTAGATGTCAACGCTAACACAAAGAAGCAATACCAAACAAAAACAAGGTTTGGCAGCAACACCATCATCTCACGATGTTGCCAAGAACAAGGACAATAAGAAATCACCATTCAGAGCTATTCACTACAACAAGGATATTGTACAAACAACACCAGAAACACAATGGAGACCATATCCATGGTGTTTGTGGCCTGATTGGGTCAGTGGTGTTATGGGAATGTGTGTGATGGCTCCACTCACTCCTCCTCTCATTGTCTTGTTGACATTATCTAATGTTTGGATGGCTGCTATGCAGTGGTCCTGGAGCAAGTTTTTGAGTGTAACACCTCTCATCAGATCCATTCCTGACCTTGTTTATGAAAAGTTTGCCAAGTGGGCAGCCAAAAAGACCTTGAATGATGAAAAGAATTCTGAATTTATTCCTTCTCTAATTTGGTTGACCGTATTGTGCCCAACCATTCTTGCTGTTTCAACCTATAGATTGTACGTTGTTATTGTTAATTGTTTTATATTAATATTATCAATATTTTCACATTAATCCATGTGAAAAACATTAATAATTAACATTTCACACATTCCAACAACAAATTGGAACCCTCATCAACGATTTTCTTGTCACACAACGAACTCTTTTTCAATGTCACAACAATCAAATGAATCACAACAGCTATCATTATGGATTTGAATTCTCTACCTTCTTCCTTTTCCACTTGTTACGTTTGGGACCTCGTTTCCGTTTCTTCACTCACTTGCACGTTCTTCTCCACAAAGAAGGACACGACCATGATGGTTTCTTTAGTTCAAAGAAGACCAAATTATTACACCTTTTAAACCATTGGTATGTTCAATGGTTCTTGGGTCCATTCTATGGTCAAGTTCCAAACTCCTACTGTATTGGTCACAACAAGATCCATCACAAGTATGACAATGGTTTGGATGATGTTCACACAAATATTGACTTGGATCGTACTTCATCATGGAGTTTCATTATGTATGCTCCAAGATTTGGTGGCTATTGGGTTGGTATTACACCATTCTTCCATTTCCTCTTCACTGAAGAATACCAATTTGCTTGGGATATCTTGAAGGGAATGATTCTCTATTATGGAATTTGGGTTCTTGGATACTTTACTTTGGGATTCACTTATACTTTCTGTTACTTGATTTATCCACAATTGGAAGCCATCACTTTCTTTGCTGCCATTTCTTATATGTGGCATTTGTGGATTGATCCAAAGGATCCAACTAATCCATACATTAACTCTGTCACAATTGTTAAGGGTCACGATAACGTTTGGGGAGAAGATTACCATGCCATTCACCACCATGCTGTTCATGTTCACTGGAAGGATGCTGATGATCACTATGATGATCATGAAAGTGAATATGGAGAAAATCAAGCAACAATTTTCACTGATTGTGAAGAAGGTGTCTTGTTGTACTGGGTATTTAGTGGTCAATGGGATGAAATTGCTTCTCACTTTGTCGATATGTCTGGTAAGATGACCCATGATGAAAAGAAGGAACTTTTAATTAATAGAGCCAAATGTACTTTTGGTAAAAAGACACAATATGGGTGGTCTCACATGTTAAAGTTCTTTACCTCTAGTAAGAATTAAATTTTAAAAACAAATAAATTAAAAATTAATCATTAAAAAATGAGTGAAGAAATCATCGTGATCTTGAAACTGGATCATCACATCGGATCTGGAGTTTTAACTAATTTTTATAGGACCACTGCCAAGTTAGAGAGTAAACTAATCAACTATTCACAATATCTTTCATTATTCAAAGGTGAATTAAAGATCCACACACGTCCAAGATTATTATTCAGATCGAGCAGGGATGGATTTTCTCTTTCTGATTTTCATTCACGATGTGATAATCAATTCAAACTTGTAATTATTGTAAAATCACAAGAGGGTGATTTATTTGGAGGATACACAACTAAGAATATCAATACAATGCCAAAATCTACATATGACTCTGTGGGGGATAATGATTCATTTACTTTTCAATTTGATGAAGAAAAATTGCATATTTTCAGATTGTTGCCTTCGAGGTTGGAAACTGCCTTGCATCGATATGAGTTAACTTATCTTTTTGCCTTTTCTTGGAGTTTCTGGATTTGTGAAGATGCCAATACTAAAATATCTGGTTCACATGAGTCAACAACTGAAAATATACTTCCAGAATGTAGATTACCAGTTGGAAAAAAGTATTTTGGTGGATTGACTTTTCGTGTTGAGGATATGGAAGTTTTCAAGATTGAGGAATAGTATTGTGTGCTATAGTTACATTTAGTAAATTCTGGAGGTAAAAACATGATCAGCATTCACAAGTTTTGATACGTGATCAGAAATTATATTTACCACCAATATCTAAATCTGTGGACCATTTAAAACCATATTTATCATTCCAACTGATATCATTTTCACAATCTTTTTCTCGGGAATTCAAGTAATTTCCTTCCACAACAAGACGAAACAAAAATCAATTGGAATTACATCATTTTTTAATATTTAAATTTTAGATTAATTTTCAAAAATTACGTAATTGGATGGTGTGTTACTTTGTTTCATCCGAAACTTTAAGTGGAACACAACTTGGCACACTAAAGTCATCCATCATGTGAAAAGAAAAATGCGCAGACTGCTCGTTTTGCTGAGTTTATTCTTGTTTATTCAGCTTGGTTATTCGAAACTGGTTGAGTATAGATGGGAACCTATCAGTGGTGTGGCCAAATTTTCAACATCTTTTGCCAATGCATACCAATCCGAAAATCAGCCAGAAATTATATATTTTCAGGAATCTTCTTTTCGTATATTTAAATATAATCAAACTTCTGGTGATCGAAAATTATTGCTTGGTTGTTATACTAGTAGTATTTGTATGCCCGAGAATTCGGTTTCTACTGGTGATATCAATAGTGCAACTACCATTGATCTCACCATTACTGCTTTTCATGTGGACGAAACTTCATACGAAACTATTTATGTTGCTACCCACAAGCAGATCTACAAATTTCAAAATGGAAATTTAATTCTTCTTTCCAAGCAGTTAGGAGCTTCCACTACCATTCAGGAAGGTTCAGCACTTTCGAATACCACTTTCACCAAAATTGGTTCAATTTCTAGGGATCCTATTGGAAACTTGTATATTTGTGAGGAATCAAACCTATATAGAGTTGATTTAAACGGAATTATTAATTTTATGAGTTTGCGAGGTGGATTTACGCTAACCAAGAAAGATGGCTTTTCAAACGAAACAATTTTTTCAACTTATATTTCGAATATAAGATATCACAAGGGATACTTGTATGGATGTGATTTATTCTCAATATTCAAGATTAATTTACAAACATGGTGGATGACTGTCATTCAAGGGAGACAATTTGATGGAAATACCAATGATGGACCTGCTTTGGATGCTAAAGTGAATTTTGTGTATGGATTTGCAGTTTCTCCTCTTGATGATTCAATTTATCTTACAAATTTAGGATATTGGAAAGTGATTAATCAAACTACTGGGAATATTTCGACCATTTTGTTGTTCGATTCATCCATTGCATCACCAACTTTTTTCTCACCAAATCATATTTTAAATGGACAAACTATAATGAAAACTGATTTGTCCCTTAAACAAGTTTATCCAATTTTAACTATTAATGGAGCTATTAATGATGGTACTAATGTGCAAAATAGAGTGTTTGATTCAATAGCTGCTATTGCGTTCAATCAATCAAGTAATGAACTATTAATTGCTGATTCTAATTTTGGATTTAATTTGAAGAAAGTGGATTTGACAACTGGAACTGTGTCTACCATTACATTAATAGACAAATTTTCAAATGTTTCATGTTGGAATTCTTCTGAAGAGACTAATGAGAGTTTTATCCGTTCAAAATTCATTCCCAATGCATTACAACTCAGAAATTCTGATTTATACGTTTCATCAACTCAGATGATTCAAAAAATAGATGTATCTAAAGGAAATGGTTGTTTCTATGCTGGTTCCATTACTGGTGATAGATTAAGAAAGGAAGGTCCTCCGTCCTCAATAATTTTGAAAAATCCAACAGGAATATTCTGTCTCGATTCATTTTCTACGATTTATATTGCAGATACTGATAATCATAGAATTCTCAAATATATCTCAAAAGAAATGGTAGAGGTTATTGCTGGTATTGGAGTTCAGGGATTTTCTGGTGATGGAGGTTTGGCAATTAATGCTCAATTAGACAAACCTCATTCAGCTCATTTTGATAAGATTTCTGGGAATATTTACATTGCTGACAGTGGAAACCACAGAATTAGAATGATATTTCCTAATGGAACAATAACCACAATTGTTGGAAGTGGTACTAATGGATTTAATGGAGATGGATTGAATCCATTAGAAACTCATCTCAACTTACCAAAATATGTATTCTATGATTCTGAAATTTTATACATTTCAGATTCTTTCAATCATAGAGTCAGATCTTTTTTCAATGGAACTATAAGTACAGTATTAGGAAATGGAATTACTGGATCTAGACTTGTTCCCAATAATCCTAAAGAAACTCAATTGAATTCACCATTTGGATTGTTTGTTTCAAATTATAATCTCTTTGTAGCAGGTAAGTTTCTCTTTCCTACTAGTTAGGATACATTAATTTATATTAGATACTTATAATCACAGAATATTGTGTGTTTATTATGATTCCAAGGTTGAAATCATTGCTGGAACAGGTGAATCAGGTAAGTTTCTAATACATTAATGAATATTGATGAGAATAGGATATAATGGTGATGGTATGGTTGCAACACAGGCAAAACTCTTCCTACCAAGTATGGTATCTGTAGTTGACCAATCTATTATTTATATTGCTGATACTGCTAATAACAAAATTCGTATAATTTCTAGAGGTGTTATTTCATCCTTCTATGAAAAAATAATATCTCCAATTGGTTTATGCCCAGAAGTGTCATATTTTGCTTATACAGCAGGAAATTTAGTTTTATCAAATGGTCGAACGGAACCACTTGTAGGAGGTATTGCAGATGGATTGAATGTCTTTTATGCTAATGTAAATCCCACAAGAATTCTGTTAACTACAGACAACAAGATGGTCATTTCGGAATCTGAAACTAATAGGATTAGAATGATTGATAATATTAAGGGAGGTATCAAGACAATTTCTGGAACAGGTAAATTTGGATTTAGTGGAGATGATAATGCTGCAAACCTTGCCATGCTAGCTTCTCCAACTGGATTAGCACAAGGAGTAGATTCCAATTTGATTTATTTTGCTGATTCAAGTAATAATAGAATCAGAGTAGTAACTGGTGCCTCAACTTTGACATCATTAATAATGACAAAAGCTGGAACAGGAGATCAATCATATTCTTTTCCTGATTTACCGATAGATCCACTGAAGGCCAAGTTCAATACTCCAAGATTAGTGTCTAGGTTAAGCAATGGAAATATTCTGATTGGAGACACTCTCAACTATCGAATTCAGATGATTTCGAATACTGAAAATGGCGAGAAATTACGAACCATAGTCAATGTAGCAGACGCATATGGAAGTTCAGTAATTACAGACATGGTTGTGACCGAGCAAAATATAATTCTCGTCTCCACTATGGATGCAATTTACAACCTCTTGCCCCTTTGTGATAAGGGGTATCAACTTGTGAATAACAATACTGAATGCCTTCCTATTTGTTTTGGATCTCTTGGGCAATTTTCCTGTTCAGGCAGAGGCAAATGTGTAGAGCCAGATAATTGCTCATGCCTTCAGGGACTCTACACAGGAAGTCAATGTGAAATTCCAATATGTAATGGAATTGCTGCAAATGAATCAAGCGTTTGTTCTTATATGAATGGTACTTGTGGAATCAATAATCAGTGTACATGCAAGGATGGATTTTATGGCAACATGTGTGAGAATCCAATTTGTTTCTCACAAATAGTTGGAGAATCATGCGGAGGTAGTCTCAGAGGAACTTGTATTCATAAGGATAGATGCTCATGCAATCAACATTTTACTGGAGAGCGTTGTGAATTAAGAATGTGTTCAGGAAAAAGTGAGAATGACACTAAAGTGTGTAATGGACATGGTAAATGTGTGGAAAATGGAAGATGTACCTGTGACGCTTTATATTCTGGTTTAGATTGTTCAGATATGAGTCAAATATATGCCTTAGGTATTAGTGCTTCTATTGTTCTATTGATATTGACTGTATTGGCTGTGGTTTCTATTATATTAGGATTAGTTGTTCATAGAAAGAATAGAAAGGAAAGAAAAATATTGGAAACTGAGCTATCTCTTGATGAGAGGTTGCTATCAACTACTGACGCATACGAAATGTCTATTTCTTCTGCTTCTAGTAATATTCATTCAACTAGTGATGATCCTTCCTCTTTTGTTATTCCTCTCCATAAAATTGGAATGGATAAACCAATCAAGGTAAGTTTACTTTCGAATATAACAATTATTTAACAATTTTAATACAGAGACTGGGAGAAGGTGGAATAGGAAGTGTATTCATGTCAAAATATAATGGAATGATCGTTGCAGTTAAAGTATTTGATTTAAATAACTTGAACATTTCGGAAGAAGATTTCAAAAATGAGGCTATTCTATTAAGCAAACTTCGTCATCCTAATATTATCAATTTTTACGGAGTTTCTACATCACCAACGAAACGTTACATAATTATGGAATGTTTGGATCAGAGTATGGAGAAGGTGATTGCCAAATTAGAGTTTAAACAATTAACTCTCTCATTGGATCAAAAATTGAAAATGATTCTTAATATTGCTAATGGAATTGAATATTTACACAGCTTGAAACCAAGAAAAATCATCCATCGTGATCTAAAACCACAAAATATTCTATTGGATTCGAATGGAAATTGTAAATTGTGTGATTTTGGATTGAGCAAATCCATTTCACAAGCAACTGTTTCTGCACTTACTAATCAGTTGGGTACACATTTCTACATGAGTCCAGAAATGTTTGATATTAATGCTGTTGATCCTACCTATGCTACTGCAGTTGATATTTACAGTTTCTCAATAATCATGTGGCAATTATTATTCGAAATCAAAGATCCCTACCTCTTTAAATCGTCAGAATTATTCCACAAATTGAAAACGAAATCACTTGAACAAGTCTCATCCTATCAGCTTACCAAAATGATTTGTGAAAATAATTATAGACCTTCTATTCCATTCCAATCTATCAACGAATGTACAGATTGGTGTACCGAATTTATGAAGTCAGAACTAGGAAATACTTCAACAATTTTCAAATTGGGCCAATTGATTAAAGAGTGTTGGCAAGCAGATCCAAAACTCAGACCAAGTATTGAACAAGTTGTAGATCAATTACAATCACTTGAGAATGAGCTTGTATAATGAAACGTTGGAAGTTGTCACAATTTGGCTTATTAAAAGTTTTTGTAAATCTTCTGGAAGTTGGTGAATCTCTTGGCTTTTTTACACTCAATATCCTTGTTGACCAAACTCAATTTCTTAGAGTCAATGAGGTAAAAGATCAAGTATAGCTTCATGTTGATGTTTCTCATTCTGGAAGGAATGTACTGTACAAGACCGTAATCATGTTGTATGAGATAACAATGTCTTATTTGAAGTGCGTAACTCCTTTAACATGATAACTTGTCGATACCAAAACATTCCATTTAAACCACCAAATACGATACGTTGACAACCCTTGACAAGATACAGCCAAAACAATGAAAGATTCCCTTAAAAAAGAATAGGATATCTCTGCTGCTACAGTGGAGACAAAGAAAACAAAGAAAAAAATGTCAACAGCATTCAACAGTACCTATATGAATGTCACCAATGATTTCTTTCCACCTGTGTGGACCAGCAGTACATCAATTGGTAACAGTGTCTTGTATCTCTCTCTGTACTCAATTTACTTGATTACTTTTATTATTCTATTCTCAAGGATAAATGGACGAATTAAGATCTTGAACGAAAGTGCAAAATCCAAATCACGGAATAAAGTGATAAAGAGGAACCACATTATCATATTTGCCTTCGTTCTGATTCTAATCCTTGTTGAAATGATTAATTTGATTTTACGAATTGTTGGAGATGGATTATCGCTCAATGCAAGAATGAAACTGGACAATAATATGCAAGTTCTCACCAGTGAATATCTTGCCATTTGGATAGTGAATGGATTTTCAACTTTATTCATGTATTCCAATTTCATCATGCTCTTTTTGATAATGTTTGTTGTTCAAATGATATTGTAAGTAATTCATCTGAAATAGTCAACTGAAAAATTGAAAGTTGGAGAACAGCCATGATTATGAGATCCATTTCAAAATTTGCATTTCGAAGAATTAAAGAAATATCCACAATATCCATTATCATCTCTGCAATTCTCATACTTACATGCAATATCTTTTTAGCTATTACCATACCCTTGACCAAAATGGGAATAATAGATAATAATGTCTACACCATTCCAAATTTTATTCTGCTACTCATTGTTGTTATATTATTTATCAAAGATATGCTTGTTGTTTTGATTTCTGGTTTCATGGTCATTCGAACCATTAAGAAATCCTTAGAAAAGAATAACAAATCAAAGAATGACAAGCTGGAGAACCCATTCATTGTCATAGTGTCCCTAATGATTGGTTTAGTATTGTGCATTTTCCTTCAAATCTTTGCAGGGGTATTGGCTGGTGTTTTGCTTAGTACGGAGCTAAAACACTTAAAGTTTCTGTGGCACTTTTTTAATGGATTGGGAATAATTGTATTTGCCATATTGAATTTGTGTTTATTCTATCCATTATTTGTACAAACACAAATGGTGTTTGAGGAATTACATATTGATGATGTCAAGTCAACTGTATCAAGTCAAGTACAATCTTGAGCCATGTAATCAGAAAAATTTCTTGTTTGTAAGAAACAATCAAGAATCAAGAGAGGTTGGTGAATTGACGGCTTGGGATGACTTTCAGATCAGGAATAAACTGACTGGCAACAAACTTGGAAAGCTCTAAATTTTGTGGAATGGATAATCCTTTGTTAACCTGTCATTCTCTCTCCGCACATATTCAGATCTTACAACTTATCATTGTGATGAATGATAGACTGATCTACATGTGTTAAAAACGTGTAATATGCTTGATATAACCAATAAAGTTTAGAATTTTCCAGAAATACCCTTTCGCCAAGATTTCATTTTGCCATATTTGGGATCTCCACAGAAACCACTATTGAAATATAAAATGTACAGATATGTGAGAAACATAATGTGGTGAAACTGATCAATAACTCGTTGAAATGACTGATATGGATTGCAAACTATTGTTTACTTGTCATGTAATTGTGACTAGACAGTGTCAATTCCACTAAAGTATTTCATACTGAATTGACATCATCAAATACACTTCTATACATCATATATATCATATAGAACTAGTTTTAATATTTGATATTGTGAACTGACTCTGTTGGATACCATCTCTATAAATATAGCTAGATGAAAAGTGTCAATATTTGTTTTCACATACATGTTACTATGGAGAGTCCTCATTATATCATCTAAATAGGTATTTCTACTTTCAGTGGAATTGACTTTAGAAATAAATATTTAGTTGACTTGAAGATATTGAGCAGGGAATATGAAACTTTCTCAGATTGTTCTCCTCATCTAGGGAAGTGTATTCATATTTTATAATAGTATGATATTTTGTAAAATGACTGAGATAGAATGTAATCTATGAATTGAAAGTTGACTTTTTGATAGATTGTTATTAATATCATAGTGAATTCAATTCTGACAGACTGAAATTGATACTATATGTATAATAGTATGATTAAACATACCTGGTAAAGTTACACGATGGTTGGATGTACTTTCATTGAGATAGAGTGTACACTTGGATATAAGCACTATTGACATTGAACATTAACTGACTGACTAATTGAAAGTAATACGAATTGTTTCCAAACTACTACCAGTGTATTAAATAGATGTATACTCTGTGTGGTATCAATTCTAGACTGATTGTACGTGTAATGAGTGAGTTGGAGTATAATCTATGACATCATGTCAAATTTCTATAGTAAATTGATAGAGTTGATATGGGGTTGGTTAGGATTCAGAGTTGATTTATTTGGGTTATTTAAGAGATTACTTATTGAAGATTCATATCATTGATTATATTTCTTATCATCTATAAATGATGTAAATTTGATGTTTTCATTTCTTGTATTGATAGATATATAAAGGTCAGGTCAGTACTAACTTTTGAAATATGGAGTTGGGTTGGTGGGGTTTGGGTGAGTTTTATACACTTTCATACAATAGAGTGATATTGAAATGTACCCTTTGATATTTCTGGATGGGTAGCATGATTTAGTGATGATTCCGACAATAAAAATCATATATTGTTCATATAATTATCAAGATATTGTATAATTTATTAAATATAAAGTGGGTAATATTGAATATTCTTTGTAGGAGCGGAAGCACTTATTCTTGTCAGTTGGAGTCAGTATTGTATTAAGGTTCATTTAAGGAATCTTAAAAAAATACAATAACAACTCACCTGCATCAACATCATCAAGTATATCATCTATATTGAATATAAAGCAACAGCAAGAATGTATGGAGTTGATTCAACATGATTATTGGATTGGAGAGATGGCAAAAATATTACTATTATTGTATTTGTCAAGTTGGAAGTACCCTCAGGATCATCAGCGAGGTTTCCTCTTCATCTCTTCTTGTTAGAGAGGTTTTTCATCCACAAGATGGTCATCTTCTTCAATTGAAGAGGTTGCTTTATTATTAAGCACTGAGAGAAGCGTTTTTAAATTTTATTTTGATGAAATAAATCAAAATTTATTACGCACAACACATCAAGAACAACAACAGCAACATGCTGATACACCATCATCATCACTGGGTGAATTGGCCATCATTGTTGTATAATTTCTTGGAATTTATTGGATTAACAGTAAATTTTGGAATTACTCTCCTATTGAAGATGGAACATCAGCAACATCACCAAGATGATATTTAATTGGATAGTATTGTTTTCAGGAGTGGTTTCACGCTTTTTGTGGGCTCTTTCAACATACCATCATAAGAATGGTCATCATCTTGTTGAGGGAAGATGTTCAACCTTGTTTTGGAAGGTAGAATATCTTACCACCACTCTATTCTCCTATTTTGATTGGATTGGTGGAGGTGCCACCACCTCTTCATACATTACATCAAGTTGAATCTTCCCTCCATCATTTGATGGGGGAGCAACTTCTCCCTTCCATATTGTTTAATAAATTATTGTTATTATCATATAATGATACAATTATTGTTGTTGTTTGTTGTTAATTGTTGTTCTTAATAGAAACCGACAATTCCCCCTTAATAAGTTATACAACCACTTGGTTATTCGTATGAATTATTTCTAGATAATAATGCTATAGCACTGTTGGTTCAGTGGTTGTATGTTGGAATGTCAATTAAGGGACGAGTGATCGATTCAGGGTTTTGGGTTTGGGTGGGTTTGGGTTTGGGTTAGACGAAAACCCATCGACGACTAACGAACGGCCAATATTGAGTATCTGAATTTCATATATGTCATTCAAATATTAATAAAAAGCTTATATTGTAACGAAGCAGTCATATCTCAAAGTAGTTATAGAGATAATCAACTCTGATAAAATAAAAGTTAGGTTTTCCCGGTATTACTCTATGAATATGGAGATCGCCGGTCTGGATTAAATATATGTAGTAGACATAAATATGAGTTGACTATATTCGCAAATAAATTTGAAAAATATCATTGCGTTCAAAAATAATAAGGCACTGCCTGAAATATTAAGGTTTTTACCCTAGTAGGTCTAAAATTTCAAAGTTGGGTTGAAATTTAAATTTTAATATATTGTAGATATATATATGAATAGATGATATTATGAATTAATCATGTTGAATCGGTGTATTTAACAAGTTACAACATGTCTAAATATTAACTTTTCAACATTTATTGTACTATTATATGAATGTTATTAGAATCATCATCAATCTCATATATATGATGTATAATGATGATTTTCACATTGTAGAAGTGTTGGAAGTATAATATATGATATCCTTAGTATACTGTACTCATTCTACCTTAATTGACCAAGATATTGAGCCATACTATGGAAACACTATACCAATTTATTAAACTTGTTAATATTGTAGTAAATATCAAATATAATCATATATAATTGAAATAATCATTATTGGATCCATACTCAGACTGTAGGAAGTCAACTTGTGTGAAAATGACAATATCGGTAATTGAAGGATGAATATCATACATGACTTAATTCCACTCATTGATACATGTCTAATTATCATATTTTATGATATGTAATTGAAATAATTGAAATCTATCATATATATAGGGAGATAACCAATTAGGATGAAAGTAGGGGAAATTAAGCTCACTATTTACCAGGTAAACACTTTCAATAAGGACCTACATATTTTATTTGATAATATCGTTTAACTATGCATTTTATCGATAAATACCTCGTTTCATGATGTAATATTCTATATTTCCAATTTGGGAAATGTTGCAATGTCAATACTCAATAGAAATATTGCCATAATACCAATTATTGATTATATATCATGAAACTGATATTATAGACTCTAATTGATGTATGTATGAATGTATGATAGAAATATTTCAATTTTGACATTTCTTAATGACATGGATAGTTCACTAAGGTAGTAACTTTGTCATATGACAACTATCTAAGATGATATTGAAATCATTCCAAAATTGATAATATGAGAGTATTTGATGATTATAACATGACTATATTGAATTAGAATTGATTCTAATCATTATTGACATGTAAGAATGCAACCTTTGATCCATTGGGTCAGTAACTTGACAGATATCCCATTTATATAGATATTGATTTCTATCACTCAGTAACGTTACCAATATCATTTATAAGAGTAGTGGTATTATATTCTATCTTGTTGCACATCTTGATATTGACTTGTCATATTGTCATGAGTAGTTACCTACATGGCTAAATGACATGAATACTGAATGATGTCCAAATGATATGAAATTGATAGGAACCTCATTATATGATGTTAATAACATACTGTATCAATTTGGTAATGAATCTCATTGTCCTTAGGGTACTTCCTTA